ACTTTTCTCTAAAATGCTCAGAAATGCTTTGCGATGCTTGACAACCATAATTCAATATTCAAACGAGCATAGTTTGAATGTTTTGACCTATTTTCAGTGCCCTTTTTTCATCAGCACTCCCCCCCCCCCTTTCCGCCCTAATAATTGGTAAAGAGTGCCCTTTTTTAACAAGAGCCCTTTTTCTTAACAAGTGCCCTTTTTAAAAAAAGAAGTGGTGGTCTTTTTTGTGCCACTGGTCGTTCTAGTTTCCTTTTAGTGAATTTCACGCATGTATCGCCCTAAAAAGCACCATATATTGTCCCGTTATGTGCACAATCGTCGGTTTTGAACAGCGCCCCCCCCCCCCCCCTTCCCCTTTTTATTCTACGGAGGCCAAGTGTCCGGAGAAAAAAAAGTGTCTACATTTCACCACGGATGTGCAAATGCCCTTTTCACGAAATTGTTACCTCCCAAAAAATAAGACTGACCGTGCTACGCCACAAACTGCACCTACAGAAAAGAAATTCGAATCAGGCACCTCTAACTTTGTAGACGCATACGATCAACACACTGTCCAAAATATATTTTTTTAATTAACATGAATGTTTTATTTGTCTTCAAAATACATAAATAAATATAACCAGAATATACATATAGATGCTGAAAATACAAAGTGAGTTGATAGACATTGTTTAATCGATTAGTCTTTAATAGATAGCTATGATAAGTAAATGATTACTTTGTTTACTTTTGCATATCAAAATAATTTTCAATAAAATCACGTGTTTTTTCCAGTACCATAGACCCCAGTTAGGGAGTACACAATATTAATAGAATACAACTCTATAACACTAATCATTAGCATTTACAAAATTCAATTACAGAATTTATACAAAACATTTGTAAAAAGAAAATACAAAAACATAAAGTGAACAGAAGAATAACAAGAACCTTGGAGTGGGGTATAAAGTCTCGATAATATAAAAAAAAAAATTAACAAGTATTTAAAATATGCCCACACTATGGATCTATTTTTTGCTAAATGGAAATAAAAAATTAAATATTGAAAGAATTATTATTATTTTTTTTTACTGTAGATCAATTGTCTAAGGTGTGCAGATCTGGGCATACATGTACATTTCGACACCTGCCACTTAATACATTGCAACCCCCCCCCCAAAAAAAAAAAAACAGGTCACAGTAGAGGCAATGACGGTGAGCCTACCCCATCCTAAGCCCTCCCCAGGTACAGGACTGTAAGTAGAAAAAAAAACTGGATGAAAACGTCAGTGTGAGACGCAAATTTCACAATGACCCTGAAGGTCTTAGGCACACTATTATCATTCATATGTACACTTAATCTTGTATTTACATACCAATATTAAGGGGGGAGCTAAAGATCCCAGTGTAAGTCCAGCAGGAAATTCAAAGAACAAAAAGCAGGATTTTAGTTGTTCTTTGGATGCAAAATATAGAATGCTGTTTAGGGATATACCCCAGGCAGTAAGGTACAAGGATTTCTCCCCCATTTTGTAGAATACAAACTGTTAGCTTATACTACAATGCCCGTCCCACTCAAAACATAGATCTTGAAAAGTCTCTACACTTTTTGAACAGAACAACGAACAATAATGTCTCCATCTTCTCTGGACTATTTATCAGATCTGGTTCAGATCATCATCACCTTCACCGATAACATACAAGGGAAGAGGCCCTTATGCATCGTCCACAAACTAAGTAAAAGTACAAGGCTTCGATTTAAAGAGGCAACCTATTAAATACAAATGCAATTCTTAAATGCAGGGGTGTGAGTGACCACTGATAAAAATAGCTGGAAAAGGTGTAAAAAAGCTGAACTTTGGAAATCTCCTATACTTTTGTATACAGCAAGTGAGGAAAAAAAGCTGAAATCCAAAACAAAAAAAACTGAAATCAGCTTTAAAGCTGAGATTTCACACCCTTGTAAATGATCAATCAAGGTCATTTACGGCCTGATCAATAGTGAATAATATTAAACTGGCAATGGCATGATGATCAGCAGTGAAGAAAAATGAGAAGAAAAAGAAAATTGGCAGACCTTTACAGAACAGATGAAGTGGTGAAGAAAGTTCTCGCTACACAGTGTGCCAAGGATTGACTTGTCTTAGACCATGTGACATTTGTTTACAAACTTGGATGTGAGGTGTCACGTGATGCCAACTTTCGGCAAATGGTTCTCCTCTGCACTGCATGTATAGAACGCCATGGTCCAGTGGTTACGGTGTTGGACTCGTGTACGACGGTGCGTGGGTTCGAACCCGGCCAGGAACATGGTGTTTATGCCCTTGGGCAAGACACTTAACTACAATTGCCTCTCTCCACCCAGGAGTATAAATGGGTATCTGTGAGGGTCGAGGACCAATTGAGTGCTGATATCGGCTGCCGCGTGGTCCCATGGCCTGAAGAACGGGGTAATAATTGTAAAGCTCTTTGATATCGTTGATACGATGGAAAGCGCTATATAAGCACAATTATTATTATTATTTATATCACATATAAATGGTTTAAAGGGTGTTGACAAAAACAACCCGGTACTCAATGTGGGCCAAATAACATGCAAAAGGTGCTGCAATTGACCTATCGCTGTATGGAATTTTGTACATTAAGTTTTGTTTGTCTCAGATTTTGCGCGGTCCGCGTCCATTTGTATATCATGTAATTGGACAATATTTCACAAACTGCACTGACGCGAGTCTACCTCGATAGGTCAATTGACCTATCGCCGTTTGCGAGTCAGCCACGCCCCTTAGACAACCCTATGGAGTTTTTGTAAACCGATTTTTGTTTTGTCTCAGATTTTGCGCGTTCCGCGTCCATTTGTTTATCATGTAATTGGACAATATTTCACAAGCTGCGTTGGCGCGATTCTCAAGCGATTCTACGGCAATAGGTCAATTAATGTTTGGGTTGCCGAACAGTTGCCTATCGGCATGACGTCACAAGGCACATGGTCTATTGTAAACTAAAAGACTATTTCTACAGCAACTTCCCATCCAGAAGCAAGTACATGTACAAGTTACTGTACTCTGTGTGATACAGGGCCTACAATGAAAACAAACGCCACTGCTTCATCTATATCCAGGCTGCCAATAGACTTAAGTCACGTCTCTCATTGGCAAGAGAATTTTTTTTCACTGAGAAATGACTGGATACTCACGTAAAAATCCTTCACGAAATTACTTTTATCAATTTAATTGATAAAAGTAATTTCGTGAAGGATTTTTACGTGAGTATCCAGTCATTTCTCAGTGAAAAAAAATTCTCTTGCCAATGAGAGACGTGAATACATGTATATGAAGAAAGGAGAATAGTCTCTTATGAAAGAGGTAACAGGCAAGATTGTATCAATACTGTGAAGGGAGTCCAAAAAAGAAAAAGACGAAGAGAAACCCAGACAACCCATAAAATTCATTTCTCATTAATTCTCTGAAATTAATATGTCAATATAAAAATCACCGTTAAAGTTGTTTGAATAAAAAAAATAGTTTAATAAGAGTACATTTTCATCACCTGTATAAAAAAAAAGTTGTCTATTTTTGATCAAGTTACCACATTTCAAACAAGTGGCTTATTATAAAATTGAGGTAATGTATCGTTTAAAAAGGCAGACGTTTGACAATTAGCCTGATGAGAACACTGAAAATTTTAAAAATCGCACTTTTTTTATCCAAAAAAACAAAACAATAGAAGTTAATTAAAAGAGCACCAATTTGTCGTTCACTGCAAAATCATAGTCTTGAATCAAGTGATATTGAAAACAACAATTATTCAAAATAGAAGTTACCAAGAACATTTTTAAAAGTGACGTTTAAAAGCTACAAAAAAGTCTCGACATTTCACATCGCGCCAAAACAAAAAGCACTTTCACGTCGTAGTTAAGAGCTCCTTATTTTGTGTGTCCAAATACAGAAAAAAGACAGTCAAATGAAGCAGTAAAAGCATTTAAAGTTGTGAAATGGTTTAACCAACATGCCAACAAAATATGACAAGAGTGTCATTGCCTAGCGGTTAGGAGCACCGCACTGGACTCATGCTCTGGTGTTTCAGAGGCAGCAGAATGTGGGTTCCAGCCCAGCTCTGGAAACTTGGGCCCTTAAGCAAGGCACTTAACCATTATTGCTTCGTCCTTCGGATGGGACGTTAAGCCGTAGGTCCCGTGTGTTGTGTAATGCAATGCACATAAAAGAACCCAGTAACACTTATCGCTAAGAGAAGGGGTTTGCCCCGGTGTTTCTGGCCTCCTCTTAAAAAACTCCCCTGCAGAGTATTTAGGAGAAGAACCAACCAAGTACCAAGCACCAAGTTATGAGAATGCATTTGTCTTTGGAATGCTGTCTTTGGATCCAGTCAAAATATATTGCATGCATTAACATAACACAATGTTTTACCCATGTAGTGTTAACAAAAATGTCTTTTGTTGCAAACATTGCACTTTTAGAGGGAAAAAAAGGATACTGGCTTGTAAACTCAATGAGCTTTTTTTTTTTTCTATGAATAATTATACTGGCAATATACACATAACCTAATGCCATTGAATCTTAATTACCTAATGCCATTGAATTGAAATTAGAAAGCAAAATGAAAACAAGATTATAGCTATAGGGAATATACAACATTTGCAAACATCACAAAACAAAACTACCAAAATATTAATGAAATACTGGATTGTTAGTGAATGATAGTCTAAAGTGTCCTGTAAAATCATGGCAACTGGTGTGCTGTCATTTTCAAAAAAAGTGGTATTTTTGTGTTTTAAAAAATGTCTTTTTAAAAAATACTGCCCCCAATTTATTATATTTAGTTAGTCCGCATTTTGTTTGCAATCGATTACACACCTATGAACGGGTACAAGCCAGCTTGACTGGTTCCCTGACCTTACAACTCCCCAATGTCTTTAAATTGCTCCATTTCATCTTAAGTGGGATCAGGGAACCAGACTACAGGAACATGATTGTTTTTGTTGGTTTTTCCATCATCTACGAACACAAAACTTCCAACAAGTCAGTGTAACAATACTAACCCCCCAAGTCCATCCTTTTCTGAAAATTACAGCAAAGCAAATGTTGTATATTCCCTTTTAGTGACACAACACTGCAACGCTAAACAACATTGCCATGTTTCTGACAAAGCGATCAAGGTACATGTAAAACAACCCATCACTTGCGATTCTCAACATTTTCAGACCCTGTGTGACACAGATTGCAACAAAAAAATATAAATCGTAAACATTTGTAATAAAAAAAATCAACAGAAAATACAAAGGAAACAAATTATTGTTCTTATTTAAGCAGGGCCATGATTGCATGAAACAAGTTGCAATGAAATTAAATTCTAAACTGTATTAAAAACAAATTATAAACAGACCTTGATGAAGATTGCACCATCACTGCAATTTCGGTTTTTCAATGTCTGGAAAGGTTGACTTGAGATGGAGTTGTGAGTTACATTGATGTCGTGCTCCTTCGATTTCTAAAAAACAGAAAAGTAAAGAACACATTTTGAGAACGTGGATTTGTTCTCATTGATTACATCTGGGCAATTCCACGGTTACTCACGTTACGTTTTTGATGTACTTTTGAGATTCCTTGGGATGTAATTACCTTACTGAAAAGGTTTAATAACTGTTATCCTCATGGTAGACAGGGTAGACCTAGACCTACCTAAGCACCAAAGATGACATCCAGAAAAATCGTAACTCACGTTACAAAAATGTAACGTGAGTAACCATGGAATTGCCCATCTGAGGAAGCCGTTGATACAAAAAGTTTATGCATTTTTGTACACACTGTCAGTAACTTTAAAGTACTTCTCAGAAATAAATGTCAAAGACATATAATAAGAAATGATTTCGTCAGATTCTATATTGAGATGATGCACCAAAACTGTAAACATGTATTGTTTACGAGTAGCTTGTCTTATGCCCTGACTTACTGGCTTGCTCCCGAGTTACGGGAGGCACCCCGCCCCCGGGTGCCTGCCTGTAGACCACCGCTTCCCGACTGGGGGCGTCCTCCTCACAGCAACGCATGATGGTGACAATCTTGATGAAGTACAGGATACCGCAGAGCCAGCTGGAGCCTAGCTTGACCCAGAAGGGGGGCCAGGAACGGTGATGGGACTCCAGGGTGGCTTCTTCAGGTCTGTGGGAGGAAGCAACAAAATTTGCTGAAGCATACATACAGTAACTAATTAAGGATTTTGTAATTAACCCTAACTCCCTAGGGTGATTTACTAAGAAACTCTCTCATTCTTGCAAATCCCAACACCATAAGGCAAACTGCGCACATAAACAGTTAGACTCAAAAAAATAAACAGTGTATTTGTGGTACGCCTAATCCCAAGTAAAGCACAGTCAGTTTATAAGTGCAGTACTCATCCTAACAGATTCCAACAAACCCTGGCGCTGGGGTTTGGCTGGGGATGGTTGGGTTAATACAGAGTAGGCATAGAAAATGTGCTATTAGAACAGAGTGGTGACAATGGGCAAACAATTTGGGGGTTATTAGCTGAGCCAAAACCTTAGGCCCTTGGCAAAACCAAAAAAGAACTTTAATAAGTTGTTACAATTTGAATGCTGTTAAGAAACACCATTTTGGAGAGCAATTTTGCCATGTCGACCATAAGTGAATTATGTAACAAATTAAACTGGAGATATTTTAAGTTTACAGTGAGGAATGAACCAGAGTGGGGAGTCATAGGCTTTATTCACGAGTCTGCCATATTGAATTGAAAGCGAGGTAAAATCTTCATTTTTGAAACTTGCAAATAGAATAAGTCATGAAATAAAGTAAATTACAAATTAATATTAGTCTGTTCTGATGAGTAATTTACAATTTGTGATTAATTATACGCTAATGTTTTAATCCACATTTAAAAGAAACTTGGAAGTGAGGCTTGGAATGCATAAACAGTCTGGCACCAACCAATTCAATGGTTTACCAGGCCTATTTACACATACGTGATTTTGTTGCAACGACTAAGTCGCGCAGCAAAGTCGCACACGGGCATGTGTGAATGAACAAAATACGCAAAATGTTTTGAAATAAGCGCGATAAGGCACACGACTTTGTCGCGTAAAAATAAATGCACCTATTGATTTGTGCGTATATATAAAAATGCACGACATTATCGCGCGACAAAATCCAGTATGAGTAAATAAAACTCAGGGAAGACGATAAAAAATGGCTGGAATTCCTGTCGGTAAAAGAGGTAGGTTCTTTTGATTAATACCTTGTTTTTAGATCAATTGAGTAATGCAGTTGTTGTGAATGATTATTAAAATAAAGGTCTGGAGTTTACTACCGTATGTTGACCATTCGCGCCGACAATTGAGTGACATGCATTGCAATTGCAATGCATGCACATATGTAACTTCAACTTAAAGAGTTCGTTGACCAGTTTCCGGACAACTAATATATTAATACAAGATCCGGGCGCTTAATTGTGGTTGTCTTTTGGGTTGATTTTTTATTATAATTTAATTAAAGAGCAAATTAGAAAAAAATATTGCAACCTGATGCCTGACGCCACTTTTGTCATGTTTGTCTTCATACATGTATATCATCTCAATGAAGGTCAGTCAATGCAAATAATAATAATAATAATAACCGTATTTATATAGCGCCTTTTCCAAAGGATACAAAGCGCTGGGGGAGAATGCAACGAAAGACAGGTAATTAAAGAATCTGAACATATGAGACCCATTATGTAGCACCTTTTTGCTAGGTACTGCGGCGCATATTGCAGCCACTGCCAGAAACACCGGGGCTAACCCCTTCTCTTAGCGACAAGTGTTACTGGGTTCTTTAACGTGCATTACACAACACACGGGACCTACGGCTTTACGTCCCAACTGAAGGACGAAGCAATAATGGTAAAGTGCCTTGCTCAAGAGCACAAGCACCATGTTCCCACGGTCAGGATTCGAACCCATGTACCACGGCACACGAGTCGAACACCGTAACCATTGGAACACAGCGCCCCACAAATGATGATAAGACATGAATCTGGGACTGAGAAACAATTCCAATTTTGTTAGGAAATACTTAGAAAATAGACCATGAATATGGTCTATTGCAGTTGGTGCCCACGATGAGCATGACGCTGTGCCGCAGCTTTTCTACTACCACAGTTTCCACACCAGTCTGTGATCATAACTTGGTCATAAATTGGTGTAAATCTGAAATGCATTGCTCTGGATCCCATTCACAGTGTTACTCTCAAGGTACGTACTTGTGATGGATCCCAAGTCATGATTAAGTCCACCACAAGTCAATCGCAAGTTATCCTGTTTTAAGTCAACTCACCAGCTATTCAACGGAACCGTGACAAAAAGGCTTTTTTGTTCTTTTTCATCCACTGTTACTTGTGACTGAAGTTATGAATTGACAAGTGATTTACTTGTAACCAGACTTGTGATGTGTTGTGTCATTGTGAATCAAGGTCGTAACTCCATTCTGCAACAAAGTCGTGTCTTGCGCAAATACGCTCCGTGCAACAAGGTCGTATCTCGACGTCCATTGACTTTGTGTGTGCATCCGGGTTAACTTAAGTGGAGCTGCTGATCAGACAGCAAGGCACATTGTCAACGAGTGCCCAATCAGAAAACTGGACGGTGGCATCGTTCGTCTAACCAGCTGTGACCCGATCGCGACACGGTGGCTGTCAGACATTGACCTTGACATTTGATTCGCTGACCTTGACATTTGATTCAGCACTGCATACGAGAGAGAGAGATCTTAAGTGAGATACGACCTTCTGACATTCTGAAACTCGCGTTTCACGTACGGCCCATTTTAGGAGATTCGACCTTGTTGCATGGACACAACGTTGTGATGTACCACAAGTATCTCGACTACAACTCCATGATGCTTACAACCAATCAATTTGGTGAAGTGCACCTTACCTGTACCAGTTGGTGAGAGTCATCATGACATACAGAGATGCCAGCACGAGGGTCAGGTGGAAGAAGGAATAGCTGTAGATGACGCCTTCGCTCTCATTGTGTATCAGACCCCAACTCACTGGCCGTGACTCAGACAAAGCTTCTGCACACCAATCAGATAGCAAAGAACATAAGTTGTGTTTCAGAACAAAATGATAACGGAGTTGGGTAAAGAATTATGTTCCTGATGATGTACATGATTGGCTAATCATCACGTGACCGAAATTGCAAAATGTGATGACTGATATTACAAATGCAGTAGGGGTGTGCATCACTGTTTAAGTATTTCCATAGTTATTCATGATCAAACAACTGATTTACCCTTCACTTTTCTGTCTCTTTGTGTTTGTCAGCTTTCTCAAGAGAATGTTCCTGATTATTAGATTTAGAAAATGCTTTATGTGTTTTACACAAGTTCAAAAGAGAACATAAATGTTACAAATTAAAGACGACCTCCTAAATAATATATCGTGAAGGAGATTTGAGGATAAATGTTTTAAGTGGATAAAAAGTGAGCATGCCAAACTCAGTCATAAACAGTGTGCAACTGCCAGAAAAGAACCAGGACTGAGAAGAAACTTACCATCTCTGTGCTTTTTGGATGAAGAACCAAAACAGCACATGCTGGAACTCACACTTTTCCTTGGTGGAGCATTCTGAAATATTTTACCAAAAAAACAAACTGTTTGCAAATCATCAGAGAAACTGTAACCCTTCAAGTGGCTTTTTCTTCATAAATGCCAAGTAGCCGATTTCATGAGCCTTATCTTCTATAATTTTATTTTTAAGTCCATATTCAGTTTTCTAACTGTTTACGCCCACAATGCATGAAGGAAATACAGGATGACAGCCAAACAATTCTGCATATATAATCACTTATCGATAGACTGTAAACACACACTTGTAAAGTGGGGAGTTTTGAGACAAATGCTTTGAAGTACAGTGAATTGTGAACTGCGCCTTTTCTCAACATGATTTGAATATGTATGCTATTTCCAGAGGGCCAGCTCAGTGTGCTCTTTGTGCTCTATCTCACTGACATATCAACTGACTGACTGACTGACTCACTCACTGACTGTCACTTCTAACTCAGCCTTGTTGTAGGCTGGTGCTGAGAGTGGAGCAGTGCTATCGTATAGGATTACACCACACTCTAAATAGTGCCCCATTGTGTCGACCAGATGCATGAAAAGACTCCCAGTGACTACCCACTCTGAATTGATTGATTAGAATTTTGTGCACTCTGAGACCATATTTACTAGGATTGCTGGTATTAGTTTTTTTTTTTTTTACGGGTTTATTGCAACCAGTGCTATTCAATGGACATTCATAATTGACCCATTCCTATCGGTCGAGAGCCCATCATGGCATGCATGGTGGTGGTTTTAAACCGCTGATAAAACTCTGGCTGGTTTTAAACACTTAATTTCGGTGCCGCTGCGTTCTGCGCCACATCGCGCAGTACGCTCTGTGTGCACGTCAATCTCCATAAAAGGAGATTTTTAGCACTACGTGCATGAGGCACATACCATAGAAATGGCCAGAGGGGTGTTTCACAAAACATGAGGTAAAATCGTTGAACAAAATCGTCGAGCAAAATCATTGAGAAATGGTGAATTTTTGACTTGTTTTCACTTTTTGACCGAAAAGTATTTATGAAAAGGAATAAATATGTGCTTGGCGGGATCAAACAAGTACGTTTAAAACCTGCTGGGGGCCTGGATGCAGATAATGATACTCGCTTTTGGCATTGGCCATTATCCGCGTGGAGGCTCCTAGCCGGTTTTAAACGTACTTGTTTGAAACTGGCCAAGTATAAATTTATTCCCTCATGAATATGCAGCCTTGATATGTTGTTAGTATTTCAGCTTCTTTTGTTTTTATAAACACATGCAATAGCAACACAACAAGATCATGCACTCACTCTGTGATCATTGCTGGAGCTGGTGTAAGTGAGGGCATTCCCAGCATACCGAAAACTGCAAGCCACAGAAACCGATAGCAGGAAAGCACCATGCAATACAAGGCAATAGAAAGCAAGCAAACGAAACCATTGCATAAAGAAAAGCTCATTCTACCACAACCAAAGGAAAAACTTAACATTGGGACCCGAATCAGGCTTAAACAAGTATTGATAAAGTTTGGGTTTTGTTTGTTTTTTGTAGGTTTTATTTTGGGGGGGGGGGGATTTAGTTTCAATTGTTCTATTCGCAAATCAATCATTAAACTGAATTTTAAAAAACCCACATGATTCAGTCTATTTATATTTTCTAACTTTGTGAAATAGAACAATATCGAGGGAAAAAAATAGAAAAATACACCCAGCAAAGGCCCCAATTTGAGGCCTGTGCCCCTATTACCCCCCCCCCTCCACTCAGAAATTGAGGACAGAAAAAATGAGCTCTTTATTGTTAAAAAATGCACCCCGTGCTCCCTCTTGAAAAAACTATGGCCCTGTAAGTACCCTCTCCAAATTGGACCCAAGTTACAACACTGAATATACCGATAACCAAACTCAGGAAAACTAAAAAAGTTCATTTAAAATAAATTTCAATTGAACAAAAAAGCATGATTTCAAAATCGGGGACTTTGGCACATCCAACAAACTGTGATATTCAGTATCAGGCTCAGCTAGCATTGTTAGTTGATAAATTGTCAGAGCAACTATTAAGTCACTTCTTGTTATGTCACAAACAACTACAGAAAAGCTTATTCTGCCCCCCCCCCATAACTGAAACAAATACAGAATTCTTCGCTTGCAGAAATGCAATACTCTCACTGTAAAGCAAACATAACTTGGTTAATAGTGGCAAACGCAAATCGATATGTATGCAGCCAGGATCACACAAGGAACAATACACATTAAATGCGTGATGAGATCAACAATGACATTCAAGGTGGATGAAGCAATTTTAAAGACTTATATTAAAGTGGGGCAGGTTAGGGAAATATTTGAGGGAAATGTGCCTTTGATGATACAAGCATGGCACTCTGCACCCAATCAGAGTATGTCTTAAGAAAGTTATTTGGCTATGGGGCCATCGCAGATTTGTCCTTTGAAAAAAAGTCCCAATTTTCAAAATTATAAGAATGGCTGCCATTGCTTGTTATTCTTCCTATATTTTTTCAAAGGACAAATCTGCGTTGGCCCTATAGCCAAATTTTTTTCTCATGACACACTCTCGACTGTGTGCCAAATGCCATGCTTGAATCATCAAAGGCACAATACCATCATCTATCTGCCGCACTATTCCAGCGTGTATTACTAAAAATATTCTACGTGGAAAAACAAACCAAAATTCTGTTCATTGTGTGATCCTTTTGGCAACAAAATTAGCATTAAATATTAATGCGCAGCAATGCCATATCATGCTGCACTGGCAACAGGGTTAGTGTGCTGCATCTGGAGAGCAACATCTGCAAAGGTGAAGGATGCATCAACAGAAATGATTAACAGCATTCCACAGCGAAAAGCAAATATTCCGACCAATTCTTACAAAATGAGGCAAAAGTCTGTTTATGAAGATTATTCCAATATGGGAATCAGTGAAATTTGTCAATATTTTTATCTACCATAATGAAAAAAAAAAAAAAAAAATTAATAAATTAATTTAGTTCTGCTCAAAGTATGTTTATTATTTTTCAGTGGATTAAATTAAGAATTTCACCTTGTAAAGCGTACTTGAACATATTTTATGGAATTTGCACTACACAAAATGAACATATTATTATTGTATATTATTACTTTACTTGACAAGAACTCAAAACTTAGCGTTACTTGTGCATCAAGATGAAGATGTGAACATGCTCTTTCAGACCCTGTAAAAAATTTCAAACTGCCCTTCGACTCATTTTGTAAGATCCGATCACCTACATGTAACATAACTCATGCACTGCTGACACTGACAGGAAGCTGTGTGCTTCAGTGATAAAAACGTGACGAGGAAGAAGACTGAAAGACAATCCGTATACTGTCAATTTGCTGAACTACAAACAGGCAACACAACCATCATGCATCACATCATAGACATTCGGGAATTTATCTTTGTGGCTCTCTTACGTTTTGTCCGCGTTGTCTGCGATCATGTCTCCTATATGTCATGCCAGTCCACAGGCTAAATGAATCAAATGATATATGATACAGCAGAACTTTGTAGTTTGCCATTCAAGTGTCATTAAGAATTACTTCAAACAATTTTTTATTCATTGGTTAAGTAGTTTGCTATTCACAATCACTCTTGGAGGACAACTGCAGTAAGGAGGTGCATCAGAATTATATAATCAAAGATTGGGTATTTTTTTAACTTGCTCAATTCACAGGTAATATTAGCATGACAAAATTGTGACCTGTTCTGTCAAAATCAGACTTTTTCTGGGCACAAAGTCAAAAATGAGATTTTTGCATATTGTTAAAATATGTACATTTTCCTTTTAAAAGGTGGTTTTATTTTTGAAGCCGGTCACTCCTGGGCAAAGTTATGCTATTTTGAAGTTCATTGTGTCGAAAAGTAGAAAACGGAGAAAATTTCCACAAACGTCACGAAACAGACATTTCTTTACCTGATATACCTTAACAAATCATCAAAAATACTATATTTAGAGTTCAAATCACGGTTTCAAACTTTTATAGTATATTTTAGACATGTTCAGGATTACAAATATGCAAAAATTAGAGTATCGAAAAAAAATCACCCCACAGCATTTTTTGGCTCTATCTCAATTTCAACCTCTGCCCAGAAGCGTCTGCTTTTGATAGAACAGGTCACAATTTTGAAACCCATAATAAAATAAAGGGGTAATCTTCAAGTATGTCTTTTGTTACTAAAGACAACATGTGTCGTGTTCTTTTATATTGTGCTCCATATTGTGCAGAGCCAGTATTAGGAATCTTCAGTCATGCGTAACCATGGCATAAATTATTCAGGTCAATTTGGAACAGTCACCTTAAACAAAATTAAAGATACATAAGCGTGAAGGACAGACGAGTAATCAGAATGCAAAATAGAGCTCACCATGCATAGAGTACTAGGCCAAGTAACAGAAGTGCAGCCACTACAGCGTTGATCAGCTCAGTATGCATGCTATTCATGATGAATGTCGATGCGAAACCACTACCCAGGCCGCAGGTGACGTAGGTCGTGTTGTACGTGCTCTGCGTCCCATTAGCAACCAACAGGGTTTTAACTGCATGAATTACATGGGATAGCAAGAAACAGAATTAGAGATACTATCTTAGAAATACCTGATGATTATTACTATTACCCCTAACATACCTATTAAAATCTCATACATGTAGGCCCACAAAATGTATGATTATAATTTCAACTGATCATTCATTCTTCAGTTACCATTTCAACCAATCTAGCAATTTAGTTTTGAGACAATTGGTAAGTATACAAGTGGTCTGTGGACCGCATGTGTCGCTATTTTTCGGCGGGCAATCCCTACATATTTTGTGTTTAAAAAAAAAGGTCAAATTTTGTGTATTTTTAAACAACCTCAAATGACCCCTACATGACCTTTGACCTCCAATTTCGGAAGAGATGTGATGAACCCCCACCCAAGGATCACTCCCTCCAAGTTAAATTAAAATCCACACAAAGTCAGGTCTTAAATGACTAACTAAAAAATCCATGAAATTCTGTAGACGAAGAAACATTTGAAGCATATGTGAACAATGACCTCTAATGACCCTTACATGACCTTTGACCTCAATAATCTGATGAAGAATTGTGTCTTCCCACCCAAGAATCACTGCGTCCAAGTTTCAATAAAATCCATGAAAGCATGTAGAAGTTGTACATGTTTTTAAAAAAATAAACCAAGCTAATGAATTAGTCTCATCAGGCTCTCTAACCCACCGAGTATACAGTGCTTATAAAATATACATTTACATAAACTATACATTTACATAGAATATGCATTTACATCCCACACAGGAAATTCAGTATACCTATACTAGATGTTAAACGGGTCAACACATACCTTCCATAGGTGGCTCCACAAGAAGTGCAGACCATGTCAGGTACATGATGTATGCGGATACAATGGAGGCTTGCAGTAAACCACCTCGGGGATAGTCTGTCACAAACATACAATAAACATATCAATAGACACAAGAATTATTACCTTTGCCCTCATTAACAATGTCAAAGTACATCCCCTCCTATACATCATCTGCTTGATTTGTTGCAAATGACAGGGCATGCTTTCATCACAAAAACTGAAGAAGGATTCTGTTTTGCTTTTTTCGTTTCTAATCCCCTTTGGAATTTTAACAAGGACCCGGTGGGCAACAACGTTAATTTAAGTAATTTTCTGACAGTCCTCACAAGTCAAATCACTAATTCTCAATAGGGCTCGTTCAATGACGGCCATTTCTGTAGTAGTGCAACTGCATATTTTACGCAATCTAGCACGCATTGCGCAGTGTTGAAAATGTTCCAAACGCGCGCTAATTGTTGCTCGAAATGTGTTTGAAATAAGACGCAGACGATGCGCGTTATGCAAGTTGACGCTCAAAATGCCGATGCACGTGGATGGTTTGTAGGAAATGACGTCATTTGAACGAGACCTATTGAAGCTACTCCATTGGACTGTGACTTGACTTTTGATGAACTTGTGAATGCATCTTGTGAAAAATCTAACATAACAATACAACTTTGCCTGGCGGATTTGCCTGGTGATGGTCTCGGTTTGACTTGTGATACACTTAAAGGAGTCAGGTTGGCATAGTGGCACTTTCCTCACCTTCCACAGCTGTGACCTCGGTTTGAATCCCATCTGAGTCAATAATGTGGTTGGGTTTTCAGTCCCTGCCTGATTCCGTGCATTTTCCCTAGAATATTCTTCTGGGGTTTTCCTCCCACCTCTAAAACTGTAGCCTAATATCTTCTCATTGTCTTCTCTCTACAGGTTTCTTCAGGCTTGCGAGCTCCAGTGCCTAGGGTGCTTTTGAGGAATCCTTGGTTTCATTACCAGAAATATTTAAGATAACAATAAAACAAGTTAAAAAATACCAACTTTTGGGGAGGCAGGGTACGACAGAGAACACACTGATGAACGCACAGAGTACGCCACTCAAGCAGATGAACAGGAGGTTACGGATGCACTCCACACCAGCTCCAAAGAAATGGATCAGAAAGACCAGCAGGCCGATGGCGACGATGTAGAAGACAATCATGAAGAAGATCAAGGCTGTAAAAGACAGGGGGACATTATGGAGTTGTCTGCTGGGATGTGGTCTATGGTGTTTTGTACACGAGGGGTTATTTTAACCCTAATCTTCCTCTATCCTCCAAAATCCTCCTGGCGGTTTTGGAGGATTTTTGAGGATTGAGGCTATATGGCCAAAAAAGATTTTGGAGGATGCATTGTGTTGAGTTTGTAGGCTGTACCCTGAATTGTTTATGTTCAGCCATCCCTAATTGAGCCCGGAATTATGATCAGTATCATCCACACTGCTTCTGAAAGTAATCGGCATTGCCTCTCAATCCATTAACAGTGATTGTTGGAGGATTTTGAAGGATTGAGGCAATGGCCACCCCTCCACTGAACAAATTCAAGAAATGACGGACGATTTGGGAGGATTGAGGCTGAATCCAATTTGTACATTATGGCAATTGAATTGGAGGATTTTGCAGGGTTGATAGTTCCTAGCCAAAAGGGCCTAGGGAGTTAGGGTTAGTGGTACCCGAATCAGAGGATGTGATTTGCTCCCTAGGGTGTGCAATGCAAACCCATGAACCATATCGGAACAGATAAATGATTTTGTTACACCGTGGGTATTTTTTACGCAAATATTCTGAGTCTGTAACAATAACCAAACTATAATAAGAATAAATCTTTTGGTAAAAAACCTTTTTTATAACCAACCCCTTTTTTATTTTTCAAGCCAAATGCATCAGTCGGTGTTGCACGCTTTTGCATTGACAGAATTATCAATCGACATAAAGATGATCGATGTACCCAGAATATCTGTTGAATGTCTGCAATTAACACACTCCATTCCTTGGTCATACAACGTTTGTCTCTACTTTAGCATATCTGCAATGGATTTTATAATATGAAAATGTCACCGAGTGAACTTATTGTAAATTAAAAAGTTTTGCTGGGTTGTCAAAATTTCCAATTGCGGAATTTCATTGGATCGTTTGTGCTATAAGAAATGTGCATGAAAGTCTGTCTGAATTTTCCTTTCAATAAATGACAAAGGAATGGGGATTACTCACCAACATACCACAACACTGACCCGTTGTTGTCAATCTTTGCCGACCTGTGGTTCAAACACAAAAGCAGTTCAATTACTTATTAACTAAAATATGTGTAGTGTGCCAAATGGCTTCTCCTTTCATGAAGCCTCATAGTGCGGCACCTAAAAACTTGGGTAAACATTAATACCTTCTTTTTTTTCTAAAAAAAATTGCACAACTTCAGCCATTATTCAAAGGTTAAAGGATCATTTGCTTTTCATGTGTTTTGTTCATTTCCAATAATAACATCACTCAAAATCCTAAGCAAAATGTTAAACCTAACTTGTTGAACTTTCAGATCAGTGGATATTACACTTCTCGAGAAAATAGTGAAAAGCCATGCACAACCTTTTGATCAAGAAACACGATTTTGTCAATAGAACTCTTTATTTACAACAATCAGTCAATCACCTGATCATTGGAAATCTCCTACATTTCTTGATTTCTTCTAAATGACAGCAAGCCAGACAAAATCCTTTCACTGGGTGTTTAGTTCCAGTATGATCTTTAATCCAGGTAAGGTTTTTGATAATAGACCTTATGCGTAGCAGCCATCTCAGAGGGCAATGCCTTTGTTTGCTGGGATATGTATGAGTGAACCTTTTGTGCATCATTGTTACTAAATAAAAATAACAAAAGATGCCCTCTAAGATGGCTGATGCGCATAAGGTCTATAATTCGGTAGGTTTCTTATAAGATGAATGCAAGTGATCCTATGTCTTTAACTTGACTTTCATGAAATGAACGCCATGGTCCAGTGGTTATGGTATTTGACTCACGCACGATGGTGCGTGGGTTCAAATCCTGCCAGGAACATGGTGTTTGTGCCCTTGGGTAAGGCACTTAACTACGATTGCCTCTCTCCACCCAGGAGTAGAAATGGGTACCCGTGAGGGTCGAAGACCGATTGAGTGCTGATATCGGCTGCCGCGTGGTTTCATGGCCTGATCAACGGGGTGATAATTGTAAAGCGCTTGAGATTTCATTATTATGAAATGTGTCATAACTTTTTGAGTAACTTATGCAACAAAATGTGGTAGAAAGTACATGTAGATTGACACCACTGCGTAAAGATTTACGAAATCAGTTGCAGGTGTGCTCACTGACTAAAGGAGTATGGGCAATATTACCAGCTCTTATTCCACGTCCCGGCAAAATCCAGCAGCATCCAGAGCTGCATGAAGATGAAGAGAACAGCACCAGTGAAGCCGATGTACAGTGCTACCGTCAGCATGATGTCTGAGATTGGGAGGAAGAAGGAGCCTACCACCAGGCCTAGCATCACTGGAACCTTGAAGAACCAACACCTGATAGACATATGAGATGGGAGAAGGATCTTGAGATTGGAGATGGATCTTGATTAGATGTCTATAGATAGGGCACTATACGTAGCTAGGAATCAGGATGGCAGACCATTCCTTTGTTGTTTTTCACCCATGTGACACAGGTTTGAATCCCACTAGTGGTGGATCTAGCTTTCAGAAAACATGGGAGGGTGGTTGATATTAAAAGGGGGGGGGGGTGTGAGTGAAGGCGTGCCTTTCTGGTAGGGGTCTTTGGGCATGCTTTCTCTGGGGGCATGCTACAATGCCTTCTCCTGCATTCTAAGGCAATTTGAGAAAAAAAGTTGGGAACTTTAGCATTCCATTAATTAGTTTACTGGTATCATAACATTGGTCAGTGGCTGAACAGGGGGTAACCCCCCCCTAAAAAAAAAAAAAACATGTGTATGGACTGCATGCACAAGTACTCCCTCCGTGGTTACAAAGAGAGAGTTGGGAGAGTCCACTGGGAGGGACAACCACACGCATTGTCAATGGCACCTGACACTGACAAGAAAAAGCCATGGGTTTATGCATATTCAGAATGAAATAAGTCGTGCGCACTTCAAGCCAAACGTGTGTGTGTGAGTGGGCTGTCACCGCGTTATGGGGAAGTTTTTTAATTGTTAGGCAAATTAGGACCGAGTTGTGGGGACTTCCTTTGATCCCCATAAAGTACCATGGGACAACTTGTGTGTAGTCCCCACAACTACGGAACAAGTGGGTGTACGTGTTCTACATAACCCCCGAGGACCGACACACAAAGGGAGAACAACAGATCCTTTCAGTCCTCGGGAGTTGGGTCTTTGTTCAAAACGGTCCTCTGTATTAGGTTTGTGTGCTTAGTCCGTGGGAGAGTGTTATATTACAGGGACAAAGGGAAACACAAAGCATTGTCCTCGGGAGTATAGTAAAACAAGAGTGTCCTCGGGAGTATAGTAAAACAAGAGTGTATGTGCACATGGGGTGTGTGTCTTTCCGAACGGAGGTCTTGTGAGTAGCAATGAAGCCCCATCTACTTTTCACGCATGGGGTCCATAAACTCAACTCCACATACCCATTGTGTATGGCAGCTCTGCACGACTTGCTCGTCCGTACACCAACCGTTATGCCCAGCATGATGAAGTAGAATATGGCCATGGAGAAGCACACACGGTAAACTGAGGCATATCCAATCAGCCTGCTGCAGCCTTCACCAGCACCGATACTCAGACAAAACTCGGCCAGCTTAGGATACTAGGGTTGGGGGAAAAAAGGAAGGAGGTACTGTTTTAAAATGTTACATTATCATACCTGGAAATCCAACATTTATATGAAATGATTAAAACTTATCATCAAGATTCGAACCCCCACACCTTCAGCACATTAAAGCACACATTTATCTTACTGAGCTACTTAATCGCATCAATTGCTGAGGGTATTTAAATAATATAATATTAATGTGATGTCTTATACAAAGCTTGAATACATCCCTGTTGATCACGTGTCATTGAGTTGTTCATCCAATCCAACGGCCTGGCCACTTCGCAAAAACAGAAGTTCTTTTTCACAGTAAATACAGCTTCCGTAAAAATAGCCACGTACATTTTTACTTACTTTGGGAAGTGTTTCTGCCACAGTCTCTGACACAAACACACAGGACAAGACAAAACCACAGACGAAGAATATGGCATACAGGAGTCTGGTGCTTGTAGATTCACGAATGGGAGCACAAGCACAGGCACAGGACGAGCCTTTAAAGCAGCAATTTACCTGAAATAAATTAAAAAGAAAAGTTTATTCAACATTAAATAATGAATAATGAAAGGTTTCCGGAAACACCATGTGCGAATAATTTCTCAACTAAGAGAATGGTTCTGAAAAGAACCAGAGGTATAAACATTGCACTTGCAGTTTCAGTTACTAACCATAGGCATATGTAATACTACGGACATAATTTATTGGTTGATGTCTAGGTTCCTCATTTTCTTGTTATTGACGCCGTTTAGTGGTTGTTACATTTGTACCTTTTTACTTTTGTCAAATGGGAAAGATTCCCATATCTGACCATCACTTGTCGCCCTGTGCACAAACCCTTTGAGACTGGTCTGAAAATGTCTATGTTTTCTCAGTAAATAATTCAATATTTTCCCTGCTAAATTTGACTTTTTAGGACACATTATCACTTTCTGATGGCTGATAGGTCACTGAAGAGAAAAATTAGTGATGGCCAGATATGGGAATCTTTCCGTGAAAGGTACCACATGCTTTTGTGCAGTGAACGTCTTTGTTACACTGCATTGTGGGATAGCCTAATTTGTGTTGCAGAAAATCCCTGTCGGATCAGTGCGGGACATCGCGTACATACCGGTAGCTGCAATTCAAAACAATTCAAAACATGATTCAGCAACTTTTGATTTGAAATTGAGATCCTAGAATGCTGTTTTTCTCGAAATATACAGCTGAAGCTGAGCTGAAACTTCATCAGGTTAGTTGTTCAGTATCCTTCATTAGATTTTGAACACTTTTGTTGCTTCAAATGAACAAAATGCACAAATTACAAATGATGGACTATATATTTAAATGTCGACAACTAGTTTGGTTGGTCAAATAATTTATAAGTGGATTTTGTTCCCTTACACTAGAACCGGGCCCGTAGATACACGATCGCCCCGCCAAGCATACCTTCACTGTACTGCACACGTCCTAGACCGTGTATCCGTTACAAATACTTTGGTAGCTTTTTACATTCTGGGACGTTTTTGAAAAATTATCACTATAAGTATAGGGCCTAATAAAATTCAACATGTTGTTCATCATTCCATTTTTCATCAAAACTTTGATGAAGAATTAAGCAGAAACAGCCAAAGTGACAGACAGAATAAAGTTACAGTTTGGGATCACTTAGCCCCATAAATGTGGCCTATTTACTGGACTGCCTCCGTAAACATAGGCCACACATCCACATGTACAAAAATCGTGTCGACTTTGCCAAATTTTGATTTTCACATTTAGGCTTAGTTTGTAGGATTTCTTTGCTTTAGAAGCATACTCACCCTCTTTATAGGCTAATCAGAAAGTGCTGCCTTTTTCAGATGTCTAATTTTTGTGAAATTTCATGTTGAAATTTTGATACGCAAACGTGTAAAAAGTAATCTGGAAATTTCACGAAAAATATACATCTGAAAAAGGCAGCACTTTCTGATTAGCCTATAAAGAGGGTGAGTATGCTTCAAAAGCAAAAAAAAACCTACAAACTAAGCCTAAATGTGGAAATCAAAATTTGGCAAAGTCGACACGATTTTTGTACATGTGGATGTGTGGCCTATGTTTACGGAGGCAGTCCAGTAAATAGGCCACATTTATGGGGCTAGGGATCACTGACAAAAGTGACATGGCCGAGTCTAGTAAAATGATACACTGCAATAAATTGATTTGTTTTTCTGAAATGATCTTTCAATTTTCATTGAACATGTTGTTGTTGAATTTGAAACTTCAAGTTGAAGTAAAAATATTGTCCGAATGTTACAAAAAGGCGATAAGATCATAAAAATAGGCTCAAAGTTATATTACTAGTTTACTAGGCTACTAGTAGTACTGGACTAGATTTACCTGCGCCTCACAGCAGTCAGCCATTGCTTGATTTATTTGCCGAACGACGTTTCTCTTGAGTTTAATAAACTTCAGTCAGAACACAGTTTAGTATGGCCCATGTAACTGGACTCACTTGCAACACAGGAGTGACTGATTGTGTTTTTATTCCTCCATGTTGTGACTAACTTCTTATAACCAAGCCCTGTTTCATAATCATTTCATTGTTTTCCCACGCCAACTTTCCACGATCCTTTCTTCCCGTCGATGACGAACCAGCTGTTTTTGTGCTCCCTGTCATAATACTGTACTGTGCGCATGCGCGCGTAGGGTAATATTTCACTCCTAAACGCATTTCCAGCAGTAAGTGATTTTACCACGTCACGTCATGTGTTGCATGATAAAACATTGAGACAGCCCAGGCCAGCTGAGGCCAGTTCCCTCCTGGCTTTATTTCTTTTTAATCCAAGACGCACTCGGCCGTGATAAAACACGATATCAAGGACATATGCTAAATAATTTTGGGTCTGGTCTTCCTAAATTCACCATGTAGTGGAGACAAGTTCTGAATAAAAATCAAACGCTATGAAAAACGACTAACCAAATACCATTTTTCAAACCTCGGCCTTTTCATCTTTGCCAGATTGGTTTATCCTTCAACTTCGTTTCTGGCCTCGAAAGCATTGTAGGTCTTAACTGTTCAAACCAAATAAACAAATCCGACTTTTGCTTTTTTTTAACAGAATTTGACGTTGCTGCAGCAGAAAAGGTACCCTTATATAGCCCAACCTAAAATCTGGTAACTCGATCTAAAACCCCAACTCGAGCGAAGCCGGTATTTAAAAATGGCCTAAGTACGTCATTAATGAAAATGTGTACAGTTGGTAAGGTCGTTGCTATCGCGCTGTTCAAGTTACAGGAAACGTAAAAATGGACACAGCAAGTAATGTTGCTGTTAATTGTTGGTTATCTGCCTATGACTTTTGGCTCTAGATCATTTTTTGCATCGAAATATCACCACAATAGTTGCAGGTAGGTCTAACTGTATTTTGTAACTAGCCATTGCCGCCTGGTCGGTTATAACGTTGCTGCCCTTTAGCTTTCATTCTGTTGCATCTATTTCGTGAAAATCATGTAGTTCGCAATTCTTAACATTTAATAATAACTAGCTAATCTTGGAATCTGTTCATCTCCATACATTCAGTCATTGGACTTGTACCAGTCTAGTCTTAAGCTTCTAATTTAATTACTTGGCTTCACTCTCAGACGCAAAAATGTTGAAGAAAAGTCGCTTTTAGTTTTACTTTTTAAAAATTGAAATTTGAATTGAGACCTCAAACTTGACTGGTGTATGAGGACCTTGTCTTTGCCTCATGAACATTTTAAAGAATTGTGTCAGCTAAAGAGCGAGTAGGCCTAGATACCTAATGTTGGCCTGATTTTGTTTTGCATCTTTTTCTGCATTCAAGGTTCCAGACTGGGCCTAGGCCTACCCCAATGAAGAAAACCAAAACAAAACTTCTTTAAAAAGTAAGAGAAATAATATTACTAGGTTCACAGTTGGCACCTTGCAGGCAAAGATTGGCCAACTGACTGTACAAATCAACAGTCACCACTCACCACGCATTATATTAAATGCAACGAACAGGCCGTCAAGATTTTCATTAACTCCACATGTGGTGTGCCCATCCCTCCCCTCCATGAAAACAGTGACAAAACAAGAAGAATTTAAAATCAGTTGAATTGCAAACAATTTGTAGTCCTTACCATAATTTTGGTCTGATATGAGTGGCGTTGGGGGGGGGGGGGGGGGGATTTGACATGGGCATTATTTTCTTGAGGGGGGAGGGCACTCAATGGGTTTATAGTAATTAATAGTTCCAATCCAAATCTGACCAGGGAGGGGGAGCACCTCCCCATCCGCACCCCACTCCACCCCAACCCCAACCCCTTTAGCTTTAGTTGCCACTGGGTCTACCTTCATTTTGCTCTAGTCTTATGTGAGGAGAGTTATTGTATCCTAACTGCTTGGCTTTATGGGGCCCTTGTTAATAAAGGGGGTTTCAATGCCCCGGTTGAAAAGTTTAGTATGTGATGCAATTTATATGCCGCCTTCAGATGTGCATGACATGTGTTAATTGTGGAAATTTAATTTGAAATTACCAAACAATGGTAAACCTGACCAAAATAGCTTATCTTTAGAGCTTTCGTGTGGTTAATTCGTCAAAATGGAAGCATCATTCAGATTTAATGATAAAACCTCCAGAATCTGAAAAAATTTGATGAAGAACGCTTTGATAAATGGGAATATAGAACATTTGCAAACATCAAAAACAAAACTACCAAATTATTCTAAAATACTTTACTGGACTGTTGTAAAGTGTCATTTTGAAGAAAAGTGGTATTTTGTATCAATTTCCAATGCTGGTCAGCCGACCAGCATTGGAAAAAACTGGCTTTTTAAAATACTGCCCTCAAGTTACCACAATTATTTAGTTGGTTGGCAACTTGTTTGCAATCGATTACACACCTAGCTATGAATGGGTACAAACCAGCTAGACTGGTTCCCTGACCTTACAATTCCCAGATGTCTATAACTTGCTGTGTTTCATATTAAGTGGAGTCAGGGAGCCAGACTACAGGAACATGATTGTTTTCTTGGTTTTTCCATCATCTACGAACACAAAACTTCAAACAACCCCCAAATCCACTGATCCATTCCAAAAAGTTACAGAAAAAGCAAATGTGGTATTTTCCCTTTAAGCCTGACTGAAATCATCACAATATATTTTATCTGTTTGAAATTATGAAAGGTCAAAAAGTGTTGTTTTTTTATCATTTAAAATCCCCCTGCCCTACAAAATACTTGTTGTTTCTGTTGCAACTTTATTTTCCCTTCCCCCATATTATAATGCAAAACCTGAAATGCAAATCCTGAAAGGAGCAAAATCAAGTGGGAGAGAACAGGTTTATGTGCTCAAATCTCTCCGTTTTCCAAATCAATTTTACCTCAAACTTTTGAGTCTGCGGTCAAAATCAACTGCAAGTAGCAAGAACTTCAAAAATACACTGTCCTCACCAGCCCCAACAAAATAATACTGGGTGCACTATTGGAATTACTGGGTTTTTTTTTTTAGAGTACTTAGCGCCGGAATCCAATAGGTTTTTGTTGCCAATGTTCACCGCATTGTACACCGGTGACGCGAGGCTTAAGTTTAATAGGAACGTTGTCGTTCTCTAATCATAAAACAAAGACTGTAATCACCTTACTTCATACTGCCCTAAAAGCTTTCTCTTATTAAGTGTAGTTTGGCGTAATTACCGGTCAAGGTTATTTCTGAATGGCCTGCACTATGCGAAAATATCTAATATTTTTGTGCAATGCACCGTGTGCGATTCTTATAAACATCTGTCAGTTCAAATATGCCCCTACTTTCATTTTAAATTCTGAATGATATAATCACGACATAACTGATGCATTTTCATGGATTTTGAATGATGTTGGATCGACTGTATTAAAAAAAGTGCCAACCTACATATTTTTCTGCATGTGTTTCACCTGTACTATATTTTTTCTGCCTTTATATTTTCATTGTAAAATTCTGAAAAATCATGAAATTACTGATGCATGGAATATTTGAATGATGTTGGATCGAGTGTATAAAAAAAAAAACAATGAAAACCCATGCCATTGTTTCTATCTCGGTATTGTACCTGTGCTGGCGGTTGGTAAAGTCGTTGATTCGGTTCTTGTAGGCCTGCTGTTACTTGATACTCGCTTAGTTGTATATTTTCTAGATGCCAGTCTCATTGTTCACGTACATGTTTTTGTTTACTTCTTTATTAATATTGCCTCAGTCTGCATTAGTGGCTTCGCTCTATTTAATCGGCATAGTATTTGATTTCAGACGGTATTTAGAGAACACTTTTTGACAAAAATTGAAGAAAAAAAAGAGTACTTTTTAATTCACAGCGGTGTACGGATATTTTAGGTGCTAATTCATCAGACTTCTGTCAGTTGTTTTGATTATAAATACCCACATCGGTGGAGAGGGAACAGTGCGTGTCTCAAGATAACGAAGGCAGCCTAATTATTACATTAATCAATGATCTTGACCCATTGCCCTGCTGGTTCCTACCGCCCCTACTTCCTTAATTGCGCGTACCAGGTTGTCATGGCTACAGATATCGATTGTATCACAATACTCATTGTAATGATGACAGTAATAACATACGGAATTGGGTCTTGAGGTTGGCCGTTGCCCTTACGATAAGGTGCATTGTATATTAAATTAAATAGGAATAATGAGCGTATATTTTGTCATACAATAAATGTAACGGTTTTAGCCGTTATTTCAAAAATGAATTTTGTTTTAGTTACATTTTAAAAATGCATTGTGCCACATGGCAATTCCAGCGTTATGAAAGGAAAGTGTAATATCTGTGACATCTAATTAATAATTCAGAGAAATGATCCAGAACTAGTCTGTAATCTCAGTCCTTGACCATTCATACAGATGGTGGATGTATACGATTTGGGGGGGAAATACATGGGCCTTTAAAAGCTGTCATGGATCACGTTACATGTACATAACGCTGGGATTGCCCACATGTTCTTTAATTGAATAAATCTGACTAGGCCACAGCAATTCGCAAATTGTATGAATTAGGCCATGCATACGCAGAGGCTGACGGTTCTACCCTAATCATGAGAGATAATATTTACTCGGGCTGTTCTGTAGTTAATGGTTGCCTACCAATTTGCACTTTCATTTTGGCTCAATTGAAACTAATATGTTTGTTGTTTTAAAAAACAAATACGAATCGTTTAAATGAAATGGAAATGGTGTCCCCTTCCGAACAGGAAAGGTTTACATTCATAAAGGTCTTTTAGACATCACAACATAGTATATTAACGCCATGCACTATACAAAATACACGTGACAATAACAGAACTGAGAATAATAGTACGCGAAGGTCTGAAAAATACGCCGAGGCTTATAAATTGTATTATTTATGGAAACGTTTGTGGGGGTTTTTCTCGATCTGTTGTCCACACACTGCGATTCAAAAAAGATACGAAACACAAAAAAACGCCTGCTTGAATGGTTAATCCAATAGAGTTAAAAGGTTTTGAAGGCTCGCTCGTTTTGTTGCGTAAAGTGTGAATGCTATCACAGCTTAAAAAAAGATAAGGATTGCAAATAGGACGAGATATTTGTAATACGGCTTCCTTATACATCGACGTACACTGTACTGGATGTTAACGGTTTTCTTCTTTTTAAGTTCATACTTTGAACACCAGACTCTCCTTTGTTCGAGAAAAACAGTGGACACCAAACCGTGGGCAAACTGCATGAATATTTTGCAAAATTCAAACTATTCTTTCAAACGCTATCTTTTTTCTTTCTTTTCTTTTTTGTTTGGTAGTTGCAGGCCTCTGCATTGAAAAACATCCATTTGTTTTGGTTGAATTGTATAATAACACTAATTATGTCCAGTGCCGGTACTCGGCGCCACCGTGGTGTGTTTTGGTTTGCTGCCATGGTAACAGTTACAAAGCATGGTCCCCTCTCTATATACATCACACTCAAATGATTTTCCATTTAATAATTGGCTCGAAGTGCTTCCCAGCCTAACCCACGGCCTGATTTTACCGTAGCCATCAGGCGGTCGCTGTTAGCGACATTGCGGTATACTGTGACTATAGTGAGACGCAAGGCTGCAGTGCATGCAATGTTAAATACATCACTCCGTATTCCCAGGTGGTATTTCATCAAGTGCTGTTGTGTGGACGGACAGATCGATATTAGGCAGGAAAAGCCGACCGTTAATCACACTGTAACCACAGATACTACATTTCTGATGCGGTCTTAGGTGTTGGGATGACCTTGTTGCGTTGAAAATTGGCCACGACTTTAACATTAATATATTTACGATAAAATTCATTTTTAATTTGTGTTCCGTGATGAATAACCCTATGTCAGTATCTGTCTTGATTTTGTAGGAGCCGGTGGTTCGTGAAAATGGAATAACAACTCGGAGAAACGTTGTCATCGAGCGGTCATATTTTTTTTCTTGAAGAACATTTTCTTGTGGAAACGTTTCTGATGTGTGGACTTGAGCTTAAAGATAATCTGTGTGATGATGTAGGCATGTGTTATTACACAGAATGCCGCCCGGTAGACCAAACTTCGCAGTATGTTATATTTGCGGACGGGATTACGGCACCCGATCCATCGAAATCCACGAGCGCGAGTGTATTAAGAGGTGGCAGCTAGAAAACGACAGGCTTCCGCCCAACATGCGACGCGCCGCACCGCAGAAGCTAAAGGTCCTACCGGGAATCACGAGCGGAGCTGACAGGGGCTCCGATATGAACCGGCAGAACGTGGCGGCTTACAAAAGCTCTCAGGCACAGCTGCTACCGTGCTCCAAATGCGGCAGGACTTTCCTCCCGGAAAGGGTAAAGATCCACGAGAAGACCTGTCCCGCTGGAAGGGCCCCAGACACTCAAAGGGGTCAGCTAGGTGTGAGATCACGATCGAGAACAGAGCCGAGAGAGGCCGCGGAGGACAGGGAAGGTTTGTCCAAGTCATGGGGCGGGTCAATTACCCAGAGTGATGACAGCCAACCTCCTCGTCCAACTACAGCAACCTTAATTCGACCGAGTACGGTGACACTGAAACATCGTGACCTAGTAACTATCGACGATCAAGAGTATCAGATAACTGATGACAGTTTTTACCACCCTCATGATGAATCTTCCATCACCCCACTGCAGGACAGAAGCCAGACGCAGAGAGTGTCGAAACCCCGACCTAAAAGTGCAAAGAGAGGTCGTCAGTCAAACACGGGACCGGTATCTTCTCAACCGGGGACTCCGTCGTCGCAGTTCCGTGGTACCTCTTCCTCGCGGACCGCTGGTTCTCCTCTGCACCCGAGACCCCCTTCTAATCCTCGGCCAACGCCATCACCGGCCAGTACCTCGAAATTAGCTCCTATTAGAGGCAGACCTGCCACCGTCGTTTGTTACATCTGCGGACGAGAATTCGGCACGAAGTCGATCTCGATTCACGAGCCCCAGTGCCTTGAAAAATGGAAGGTTGAAAATAATCAGCTGCCGAAGCATCAACGGCGTCCCGTACCGAGGAAACCCCAGCCTCTTGGCACGCGCAACTCGAATGCTGCCAGTGCCGATCCTGATGGGTACAATCAGGCAGCATACCAATCAGCTAACTCGCAGTTGCTTCCTTGTGGAAATTGCGGTCGCACTTTCGCACCCGATCGTTTACCGATTCACGAGCGCTCGTGCGGCCGCCCCAAGACAACTACTCTCAGATCTAGCAATGGTCTGCAAGCATCTTCCAATTTTGGCAGTTCCAATGGACGTCAAAATATGAATAATACTGGGAAACCACGTACGCTGGTTTGCTACATCTGTGGTCGAGAGTTTGGTACTAAATCGCTTCCTATTCATGAACCACAGTGCCTCCAGAAGTGGCAAGTTCAAAACCAACAGTTGCCGAGAGAGCTCAGACGACCGCTTCCAAGGAAACCTGAGGTCATCGGAATGCAGGGTGGTCGATCCACCGGAGAGATGATAAATGAGGCTGCCTGGCAGGCGCACAAGGCAAACCTTGTCCCGTGTGATAGCTGCGGACGGACATTCGCAGCAGACAGAATTGCGAAGCATGCGGCATCTTGTCAGGCCAGGACTCAAGGACAGGAAAGAGGGAATAATTCATCTCAGAGGCCGAAATCAGGCGGTACAAGAAAGATACAGGTAGATCTATTCATAGAATCAAAATGATGTTGATCTTTTTTTATATTACTATCCGTCAATAGCAATTGGTTCCACGGACTACTCTTTAATTCACTTTAATCTTCTAAATTACAATCTCAATTCTTGTAAGATGGTTTTAAACTCTAAATAGTACTTGCAATTCAAGCAAGAACAAGGCACGCTTTACACCGGCACTGAACTCGTAACTGTCGACTAGAACGCAAGTCCGATATAAGAATCCACTTCATATTGCAATAATTACCACAGATGTCAAAGACAGCCACAGCAGTCAGGCGCCCTCAGACGGTCATATGTTACATCTGTGGCAGGGAGTTCGGGACAAAGTCCGTCTCAATTCACGAACCTCAATGCCTGAAGAAGTGGGCCATGGAAAACGAGCGTCTCCCAAAAGAGCTGAGAAGACCGCCACCAATCAAGCCACAGGAGAGGATGATCAAAGGTATGTTACCCGAGGTCTCAAAAAAACGTAGTCTGTTTACCAAATTCTTTAGGTTGATTGCTATCAAGCCTAGTATAAGCTGTTGACCAATACGCATAGATACAGCTATAGGTTTCACTGATTAAGTCTTTCGCATTATTGGTTGAGAATCTAAGAAAGACGTCTGTTGGGAATCGGTTGGAGAGAAACTAATACTGTATTGTCAATTGGACAACAGCAAATTTAGGGAAGGAGCAAAGCCACAAGATTCTTAAGTTGTGGACATTATTTTTTTTAACGGCAAGACGAAAGGGTGCAGATATCGGGATCGTATGAATACCTCTGAACACAATACCTCCTCGTTGATGAGAGGGTACTTGTCATCATCGATAGTCAAAATGGTATTTAGTTGATATGGCTTTGGAAGCCGTGCGTTCCGTTTAATCCGCAAACTCGAAAACAATTAAATTATCGTGTGTTACTTTTAACAGGAGGGTCCGGCCAGTACAACGTGGATCAGATGAACGAAGCGGCATGGCAGGCATCCCAAGCGAACCTCGTACCGTGTGATACGTGTGGACGGACCTTCCTACCGGACCGCCTAATGGTTCATAGGAGATCATGCAAGCCAAAGGACTGAAAGCAAAATGTTAGCAAATTCAAAAGTCGATGACCTCTACATCTTCGACTTGTGGACTACTATGGCAGAAACCCCAAGGGCTTACCTATATCTTGTAAAGCCATTTCATTGTAGAGGTCTCAGTCAGAAGCCCAAACCAGTCGTTACAAAGTGAGAATGGCGTCAGAGAGTGATGGTACAGAACAAATAATCTCAAGCAAAAATCGCTGTAAATTCACAGTGGCCCCCAGTAATGGCCGATGAATTGTGCCAACTAACGTGCAGAGTAGTAGTGGAGCGTGGTTGTTTGGTACAAAAGCTGACACTAAAGGCTTCTGCCTTATACTTTGGGTTACCGTTTACTATTTGTGGTATTCGCTGTGTGGCCAGTGCCGTTCTATATACCTGGAATAAATTATGTACATGTACTATGTACATCTGTTAACACTATAGACGAATCCAGGCACTGCAGGCATCCTTTAATGGAGAAACCATTGTGCACGCTGTTGTACAAAGCAACTGCCCCGTGACGGATTATCTGAACGACAACTAACACAATGCTTTCGCCATTGAAGGGGGCCTTCGTGATAGAATTGATAGCGTGCCTGGATTGGTCTATAGGATATTGTGAGACACATTCTACCTGTTGAAATCGTCTTCTTGTGTTTTTAGGCCAACTGAAATGTGTGTATATATAAGCTTAAGCCAGGTGACGGGTATTTGTACTTATATTAGTAGTTAATGCATCGGTGTCAAGCCGCTGTCTGAGATGTTATTTTGCACTTTAGGCTGTACATTAAAGAGATAAAAAGGTTCAAATTGAAACCGTTGGTACATGTAGTAACAGTGTAGTAACAGTGTGTAATTGGATTGAGTCGGATCCCACAATGATAGTTGATACAATTATTGTTGACACTTGATCATAATTATTTGAGTGATATTTGTGTCATCAGATCGGAGTAGTGAAGCCTTTAAAACTTGGAGAGGGCTAGGCTGAATTGGTCATACATTTAAAGGCATAACCTATCATTTGCAGATCCAGATCAGACCCCGATCCACTTCGCGTTTACACTTGTCGTCGATCCCCCTTCGATCCTCCTTGCGGGATCAGATCCCCCTTCGATCCCCATGGCAGGATCCAGTTTTCAAGGCTATGTATAGTTACGTGTTTAATTGATGATTTTAATACAGGCAATTGTTTGGCGAAGGGACCTAAAAGATAAAAAGCTGGAAAAGGTGTTAACCGGGCCCCTCTCTTCAGTGGAGTGTTTCCCTCATCTAATGCATATTCGCCCTGAACAAGGCTGAAAACCCTCTGAATGTTTACAGGGCTACAAATAACAAGAGAAATATAAACAGAAGAGTACTTGGGAAATCTGAAGCAGTAATAAGAATAAACTTTCATCTTGAACCTGGATGGTTGGAGGGAAATTAGCACGCAGGCAAGGTGGGTGAATTAGAGCCTAATGAACCCTGAACTTGCTTTGAAATACAGTTACCATGAAAGTAGACCTAATGGCTGGATTTGAATCAACATTTCGATGAAAAGTTGACACAGATAAACCATAGATCTGTTCCTTGCTCTATGGATAAATCTACAAAAACTGGTCCATTGACCCCAGCAATAGGGCACGACGTCACTAAACTATTTCTGACTAGAGTGCTGCGGGTTTTTATTTTTTAAAACAAGTAGTGGTGATACAATAATGACCACAACGTTGTCCAAACAAAAATATGCCACTGTATAGGTTACAGCAAATAAACTGCACTTATAATGGGGCAATAACGGCGACGAACTCACGCATCGATGGCGACACGTTTGAAGATTTGAAGATGCCAATTTGAACAAAATGCCAAACTGAAAAGGGTTCGAGTGCCTTGGTGATGTTAACTGACAAGATTATCTCCTTTTTAAGTAGACATATCTGTGTCTACTCTCCACAGTCCAGATAAGCTAAAGGCGTTCCGTCAATCACTGCATGACGGGTTTGTCTTTGTACGCGTGTCTGGTTTGTCGAGCTACGGTTTGTCTATCAAAACACCTTGGTGCAGGAAAGAAGAAAATGTTCAACCGGTTTATTTTGGTAGTTTTGGTGTTTTTCTGTAATTTTGAAACTCTAGGGTCTGACCGTATAACTTGCCTGTCTTAAAACATGTTGCTCTAGTAATATTCGCATTAAGGGTGCAGACCACTAAATAGGCCCTAGAATACCTATGCCAAGTCACAATATGCCTATGTATGTCAATTTCTCTCATTACTGGGGGGTTTACCCAAAAAAAGGGGTCTCAGTTGTGTACCAGTTTTGAACTTGCATTTGACCAGTGTGGACCACAGGTCGCTTTAATTGAACAAAATGTTATAATTATACTAGTAACTCAAACAAGTTAGGGCCTGAAAGTTCGAAAGGAGAAGGGCAAATTTAATGAGGAGCCAGGGTGGATACAGGCCTATACAAATAGCACGAAACAAAAGGAGCACGAAACAAATGGGGAAAGTGGGGCGTGTTGAGATGACAGGGGGAATAAGGGAGGGCGAAATCGTATTCGTCCCTATAGCACCCTTGGAAACGAGGACAGTTGGCAATACTGGAGGAGAAATGAGCATCGCGTCGATTCACAGGTTGGTGTGGACATGCAGGCTCCTGTGCTTTATAGCGCTCGGGTAGAATGTAAGTCGCTGAGCATGAGATAGGTGGGTTGGTGGTGAGATTGACGCATGTAATTTTTAAATTCCTCCATGGTCGACGTTTACCAAATCTTGATGTGGCGCACAAAATATGGGCACCCAAAAATGTCGCCGAAGCAAAACGTATGGCTGCGCGTGTCTTTACTTCAGAACTTGAAGTAATGTTGGCAAATCCTGCTGTCGTGATGAATCGTCTGTTCATCTGTTATGTATCTATTTGACGTGCCGTTGGAGTGGAGTGGCTTACCTTGATAACAAATCATGATCGCATCAGTGATTGGTCAATAATGATTTTGTGATTGGAAACAAACTATACACGTAGTTCGATTGCGCACAGCTCCCAAGAAATATGAACTTGATTCAGTTACACTGATCTGCATAACTGTATACAGGTGCCTGTTCATTGCCCCATGTCATGTGATGTTTCTAGGCACGTCATTGATAGAACGTAGTCATCATTGACTGCACTTGTAAAATATTTGCATTGTGGCCGCGGGCTGGGGATCCATACACGAATTCTGGATTTTAAGTGCCGGAAACGTTCGACACCAGTACACATGGCGCAAAAAGTCCCCAATTTTACCCGTAAAGTACTCCGGGTTGTTTGCCTCTTGGCGCTGGCCTGTGTCCACCTGATGCACCCGCAAGGTGTGGCCGGTTTTGAGTTGACCATCATACATACCAACGATGTCCGGGCCCGATTCGAGCCCATCAGCGCATCGGGCGGGGAATGCACCGCTGAGCTGGAGGCACAGGGGACTTGCTTCGGGGGGCTGGCCCGACGAGCTGCCAAGATCGAGGATATACGAGAAGCCAGCGAGAACGTCTTGCTGCTGGATGCAGGCCACCAATTCCAAGGAAGTATGTGGTTCTACGTGTACAGGGGCTTGGCAGCGGCACACTTCATGAACAGGCTCTCTTACGATGCCATGGTAAAATAAAACAATTTAAAAAAGGAGATTATTTTTTTTCCAAATAAAACATACACATTGAAAAATCTTGATTGGCCTAAATAGGAGGGAAAAAAAGTGAACTTGTTGAAGAGCACAGGGAAAGGCTTTCTACTTTCAAACCTGGGGGGGGGGGTTGAAAAACCCAAGTGCCCTTCAAAAACACAAGTGCCCCTCTCACATTAACAAGTGTGCACCTTCTCGAGATGCAAAACTATCCCTCGAAAGCACAAATACCCCTCTCGAAATAATAAAATTGTGTCCCTCTCGAGATGGAAAATTTGCCATCAAAAGCAACAGTGCCCCTCTCGCGATAAACAAAAAATGGTCTCTCTACATAACTAGTCAAATTCATGGGCGGACCCATCAGAGAGGTAATTACTGCCGGGGGAGGAGGGTGTGTGGTGTGCTGAAGGCCCGGGGGGGGGGGGGGGGGTAACGGGGCCATGCCTCCCCCCCCCCACCCCCCAGGCAGCCACTACGTACACCACCATCTTTGCCTACAAAAAAAGGTTAAAGTGGTCAGAAATTGCCTCAAATCACACCACAGAACATTTTAGAATCATTTTTTTCCGGGACCTTTTAAGCGGGCCCTGAACCACACGCTGTGAATTTGTGGACCCATTTTGTTGGGTTCAAAAAAATTTTGGGTCCCCCCCCCAAACAAAGTGCTCTCTGGCTTTCACACCAACGGAAGGTGCCCCGATTCTGGATAATTAAGTGCCCCTTTCGGTGTTGCACCCCCAGTTTGAAATGTTTTCCGCCGCCCCTGTCCATGCTATAGACGTCTCTCCTTAAATTAGCTTTATTTTATGAACGCTAATGAAAACAATGAGTTTTCGCGCGTTGCGTGACATTCCCTGGGCACCACCCCATATTTGCTTTTTTTTATCAGAGCTTTTCGTGCTGTCAGATTATCGGATTTATTTTGGGCCTACTTGCTATTCAATACAACAGTATCATTCCAGGGGCGGATCCTGGTTTGGGTTAACTCTAAAAGGGCCGGGTTATTTTGACCATCTCTCAGCGGGGGGGGGGGGGGGGGGATCTCGGCCATCGAGGGACGGAAACATTTTGAAACTCGGCACATGCATAGAGCAACTCATCATAAACATACCCAAGAAAGTTCATGACTATAGGTCAAAGGATTTTGGAATTATGGCTTATTAATTATTCATATGTACGAATGGTAATTCTGCTCTGTGTACACGACGTATATGGGAAAATTCAGTTTTCACGGCGCGTAGCCGAGGTATGTATGTTTTGTGTTTTTGGTATGAAAAGATGTGCAAGCCAGGGTCAAGGCTAAAAAGTCATAACAGCTCGAGTCGCGAAAAAAAAAATTCAAGGCTATCGCGGAAAAAAAGTTGAGGGAGGCGGATTCCGCCCTGGCCCTTTTAGGGTTAAGAGAGGGCTTAGCTGCCTACCAAGAGGGGGAGGGGTGGTTGTAGACCCCTAAATTCCCCCCCCCCCCTAAATCCGCCACTGCATTCAACCTAAAAATTGACATATAAAGTAATCAGCTTTTAATAAAATCACGTAAACAAAACACTTACAACAGGTGTGTACTAATGACGAATTGCCAACGAATACAAAGTACTGTATCCCATACATATTCTATTCTAGTTTAGTCATTTATTCAAACCACGGCGGCTTGAGAAAAAAACATTGTATAAGGCCAAAAAAAAAGTCTCCGGTTTCTGGTATGGAGCTTGCCCAAAAAGTGGTGCGGCGACGCGGCTTTTTTTTTTTTTACCTGATTTTTTTTGCTTCAAATGTCGGCTGATGACTGCAAATGGTGCCCGACTAAACTTAGTGCAAATTTATGGGAGTCCAGAGAGGCCACATAAAGCTTATTCTCGACCATAACCCAATCTAAAAACACATTAAAATTGTGCAGCAGCAGGATTCCAGTCAAACCAGTGAGTTTGACGGTTTTGAGACATCATCTTACATTGAAAAAAAAACTTTTTCATTTTGCCGACGCGCATGGCTACGGCGACGCGCGCGCATACCAGAAACCGGAGACTTTTTTTTTGGCCTAAGTACATAAATAGGGCAGGTTTACAATTTATATTTACATTTATATTTAACATGTTAACCTTTACAGACTATATGTTTGGAGTCGATTATACAACAATGGAGTCCAAACAGCTAGATTATACATTGGGAACTTTATGAAGCATTTATGATTCATCTCTGCTTGTGGATAACCATAGAGAAAGGAAATATAACAAACATTTCCAACGGTCAAATACCCGTAAACTGGGGTGGCCAATTATAGTCGGATGATAAGGCTGATAACATTATCTATGCCATGGGTCTACAAGTTATGCCCGGCGGTGTTCATGTTTTGAAATTCTCAACATGCTCACACAGCACCCAAATATTTCAGTTTGAAAGACATCTTTTCGAGCTTCAAGTCACAGTGAGCAATCCATTCAGTGAGCAGTTTCTTAAAATACTTGTCTGTTGCTAGCTATATCACTGCCAGAGGCCAATTACTGCACGCTGTCACTTCTGTCACGAAGGCTCCCTTTAATGGCGAAAGCATTGTGCTAGATATTAGGCAGATGTTGGAACATTAGCTTGCACGATGCTTTCGGCATTGAAGGAGGCCTCGTTTATGCACAGTGATCACATGCCCGGTTGTATGGTATACCCATCATCATCATCATCATCATCATCATCATTAGCCTAATTCAATCCACTGCTGGATGCAGGCCTCTCCACTATCTTTCCATGCTTTTCGGTCCCTTGCCAGTTGTTTCCATTTCTTCCCTATGAAATCAGAGATTTCATCTCGCCATCTCTTAGGCTGTCTTCCTCTTCGCCTCTTCAACGATAATGGCGTCCAATCCGTTACTTTCAGGGTCCATATATGGTTGTCTCTACTCATGACATGTCCTGCCCAACTCCACTTTTTTCTTTTGATCTCATCACCAACAAACGAAAATGGTGTATGTGCATGTTCTGGTTCTGGTTCTGGTGGTTACTGCGCAAACACCTCCCAAGTGGTTATCTCGCACGGGTCGGAGTGGTTGGCGCAGTGAACTAAATTTTAAAGTAGGCCTTGTTAACTAAGCTGAGAGATCTGGGTGCTCAATTCCCTATTTAAAAGCTTTGAAATTGGGAGCAGAGCGAATGTTGGGTGGTAGCAGGTTCCATTCCCTTGTAGTTCTTGGGTAAAGTGAACAGTTTGTTGACATTTGGCGGGACAATGATGTGAGGACCGAAGTTCTGTCTTATTGCATGAGTGTTGGTACTCTTGCTTGACGGCAGGTTTTATGGTGTGATCTTGTGGACTTCCTTGGAGATTGTCGTCAGTCGAAGTCGGATTCTGCGGAGTTAAGTTCGAGGGTGTCCCATAATATGAGAAAAGACAGCATGCTATTAATGCTGGATCTCCGCTTGTAATCGTTGCAAACAAAGCGAGCTGCTCGCCGTTGTATATGCCTACTTTCTCTACGTTGATCTTATTGTTGTTGTTAAACACACATGGTTCCTTATGGAACAGCCTAAGACCTTTATAGAAACTATCTGCCCCATAAGGTTAAAAAAAAATTATCCTCTGGTAAAATTGATTGCTGATTAGTTAGCAACTCAAAAAAATACTGTTCATCGCCGAACCTCACTGATTTTTAGAAAGCAAATAAATCTTAAGATGACACTGAACTATGTTCATATAATCACACCGTTACCACGCGCATTTTGAGCTATTGGGTAAACAAAGAAGACTATCATTGTGTGTGTGCTCTCTTTAGGCTATCGGACAGCACGAGTTCGACTTCGGGGTAGCAGGCTTGGCCAGATTCATCCAGAATCTCACATTTCCAGTGATAGCCAGTAACATCGATACATCCAGAGAACCCAATCTTGATGGTTTACTATCCAAACACCATGTTGTCCGATTCGCAAACGGGCAGAGAGTCGGCATCGTTGGATACAGTTACGCAGAAACGCCAAATATCGCAAACACTGGTACGTTATTCGTTGCCTCTCCCTTTACCCAAACAGAATGAAATGTCATCAGTTAATAGCTACGTATATATACACATATACATCATTCCGAGTACGCTATATCTGAACTTTCACCCCCCCCCCCCCCCCAATTGCTGTAGAAGTGTAAATCCCCTACAGGGTGAGTCCAAAAAAAAAGCGGAACCCAAACCCCAAAAATTATATTTAATATTTAAAAAAATGTGTTACGTGACCAAACAGAATAACGATTGGAAAGCCAATTTCATAAGCTACTTTCAGATGAAAACAATGCTGAAATTGCTCAATCTGTTCAAAGAAATCACCATTTAAACACGATGACCCTATAACCCTCTTTCGTCCAAAATTGCCATTTCAAGAATCGTCGTCACAATTGTCTTCAAACTTCACCAGCGATAAAACCTCAGTTTGAAAGTTAAAAATATTCAACAAAGTCCTTTTGAAGGCCCGTCTTGTAAAAAAGTGGATTTTATAAATGATATTGTTTGCCAGGGTTGTAAAAAAAGATATTGTGTATTACAGTTGTTGATAGTTGTTGAAACAAGTATTCTGTGTCATTTTTGTTGTTCCAAACTGTCAGAATACACAATAAACTGGTTTTTTTTTTTACGAAACAAGGTTTTAGGGTTTGCGTTTAAAAGGTGATATTTTTTTCATGTAAAAGTAGCTTATGAAATTGGCATTCCATTCATTCTTATGTTGGTGCTACATATCTTTTCAAATATGAAATATATATTCTTTGGGGTTTGGGTTCCGCTTCTTTTACTCACCCGGTACAATCTATTTCGGTTGCATAACTTAAAATGGTATGAGCCTATAGTTCATTTACAGGTTTAACACATACAATATCACTGTAAACTGATAACAGGTAGGCCTACTGCCTTGCTCCTAATGGACAGGAAAAACAATTAAGATTGGCACAGAGCTATTTCCTGTACTTGTCTAAATACAATTCTTTTAAATGCTTCATGAACACCTTTTTTTGTCAAGTTCACTAAGTCGTTTCTGAAAAAAGAATTAACAATGGTAGGCAAAACATGTCTGTATAGGGGTAGTTAGCAAAAGCAATGTCGAGTCTTCATGTGCCTTCAAATAGATGAGATTGCTTTGACGGGTAGTATACGAATGAATATCCTGGTTCAAAGAAAAATAATATCAAAACTTACATTTTTTGAAGCAATTTATGACAATAATCATACTAGTGTGAACCAATCTGAATATTATAAACTTCTTCAAACTTAAGAATTTTAAACTTAGAGCAAATTTGGCATGATGGCAGGCATTCCTGATGTATTTCTATTGTAGTGAAACAATCCTGTTGTATAAGATAGGTAGATTCAAATCAAACCACCCCATGCCAAGACTCCATAATTCAAATACGAATTAACCAATACATTGTAGATAGAAATACTATCTTTTATCGCCATAAGTCTTTTGGTTCTAATGAGAATATAATTAGTTAGTGGTCAACCCCCGAAACGTCGTTATGGATGCCGACTGAAGGTCCCCGTATTTTTATGCGGGGACACAGTCTAGACTGAAGGCGCTTACTATTTAACACAGTCTAAAAATATCATTACTCAAGTCACCGTGATGGAAATGGATTGCCCTACTTTCTATAGTACCCAGATAGTATGCTTCACATGTCGTGCATAATAGACTGATTAATTGCTCAGGGATTATGCAGAATGGTTTTCGATTTTCTTTCTGACCTTTTTTGTCGTTGATATTGTTATGTTAGGGCGGATGCTTGACTGCACATTATAACAGAAAAAGTGTGTATATTTACATTGGGAAAAAATGGTACTAGTATAGACTTGCATGTTTACAGTTTATGGAGGACTGGTGATTTTTGAAGACAATTGTGACGACGATTCTTGAAATCGCATTTTTGGACGAAAGAGGTTTTTAGGGTCATTGTGTTTAAATGGTAATATTCTTTGAACGGATTGAGCAAGTCAGTAATTTTTTTTTCATCTAAAAGTAGCTAATGAAATTGGCTTTCCAGTCATTATTATATTTGGTGCTACATATTTTTTAAAATATGAAATGTAATTTTGGGGGTTTGGGTTCCGCTTTTGTGACTCACGCTGTATATTTTTCATTGCTATTATTTACTTTTTTTCTGTAATTTTGACAGGGTGCTCCTCTTCAGAAGGCGTTGTCCTTCTCTTGGATGTCGCCCCATTCATACCATTATTCTACTCTTGATACAACATTTGTATAACCTATTTCGTTTATTCTATCATTTGGTGTAACAACTATTTTGTATGAATGGAAATTTAAAACAAACAAACAAACTTTTCAGTACGCTTCCGCACATAATCTAGTCCCCTAGTTTGCATATTACAACACTCTAGGTAACCTAGCGTTTATAGACGAGGTGGAAGGACTGCAGCCGGCTGTGGACAGCCTGATTTCCTCAGGTATCAACCAGATCGTTGCAGTTGGGCATTCCGGGTACGACAAGGCGCTGGACATCGCTAGCAGACTGGTCGGCGTGGACGTGGTGGTTAGTGGCCGTGACTCGACCCTCCTCTACACTGGTAAGCCCTGTGGGTATTATCTGTGAATTAGAAGGGTGTTAGTTATTGGGGTGGCGGGACTACTTTCCCCTCTCGTCATGGCTTGGGAACTAGTTGGATCTTCCCTTTAACTCGTCCTATATGCTGTAGAAAAGAAATACTGAAAAAATATATTAAAAGTATAAAATACGAATCACTAAATTTCTATATATGACTTGAAGCTTTGCATGGTGGATAAGATAAAGTAGAAAGATTGCGGGTAACACCATGTGGAAAGTAATCTATTCTTGGAAGAAGTGTGGTTCTGAAAAGAACCGGTTGGTTGAGTGTAGAACACGACGTTTCGGACAGTGTGCTCTGTGCATCATCACTCACCCTCCTGATAGTGGAGCTGCTTAGGTCCATTTTTGGCCGAAATCGTGCACTTTGTGGTAAAAGCATGAAATTTGGCAGGTGGGGTCCCAATGGGCTAGAATTCATTTTAAGATCGGGACCCATCCTGGATCTTGCCCATTTTGGGGGCAGAGCTTGATTTTTTTTAAAAGGGGGTGCAAACAATACAAACTCATGAAAACTGTATTTAACATCCATTTTCCTTGTTTTTCTATGGTTTGAAATAAACTTAAACATAAAATATAACATTCTAGCTTTCGAACACCACTTAATTTCCACCCATTTTGTAGGCGTGGCCTAAATGTACAAAAGAGGCGGTATATATTAGCAGTTTGGTTCTAATATAGAAAACATTATTCGGTTTGGTAGTAAAATCCTGAAAATTGGCAGGTCTAGTTAAAATGGGCTGAAAATAATTTTAAGAGGTGAACACATCTTGGATCTTGCACAATTTTCGGGGGCGGAGCTTGATTTTTCAAAAAGGGGAGTGCAAAAAATAAAAAACTCAGAAAAACTGTATTTAACATCCATTTTCCTTTGTTCTTCATGCTTGAAATAAACTTAGACATGAGAAATAACTTTATGAGAAATAACACGTTAAAATTGTGCAGCAGCAGGATTCCAGTCGAACCAGTGAGTTTGGTGGTTTGAGACATCATCTTACATTGAAAGACATCATCTTACATTGCCGACGCGCATGGCTATGGCGACGCGCGCGCATACCAGAAACCAGAGCCTTTTTTGGCCTAATAATCGTTTTTTTCGTTTTGTATGAATAAAAAGGAGTAAATGCTTCAGATTTCAAATATGCACTTGTCATTTACAAGGCTGGGTTGGGGCAACCTTGAAATTGTAAAGCAAAATAATTCTGCGCAAAAACTACTGCATTTATTAAAGTTCATAAAGTACAAATGATACCATATGTTTGTATGAATAAAGCATGGCATTTGCTTTTTCTACCACTTTCGAAGCATTTACTCGCATCAGTATGAATGAAAATTAAGCAAACACTTTTACTAAAAACCATTTGCTCTTGAGTAAATGGCCTGCAAAATGTAAAGCTTTACATGTTTATAAGTTTGCAGAAAATAAAACTATCATAACCGAAACGGAAAGCGGCACCGGGGAGGGTCACGTGCTGGAGGACAGATACAAAAAAAGCGCATCAAACGCGACGAACGCAATGCCGTTTACGTGCACAATGCGCTGTGCATCGGCACCCATGGTCTACATGTGAATTGGGTTTTCAGTCCCTACCTGATTCCGTGGGTTTTCCCCAGACTATTCTTCTGGGGTTTTCCTCCCACCTCTAAAACTGTAATTTATTCTCATTGTCTTCTCTCTACGTTTTTTTTTCGGGGTTTGCGAGCTACAGTGCCTGGGGCATGCACTTTTGAGGATCCTTGGTTTCATTACCAGAAAAAAATTATTTATCGTTTACTTCGTTTCGTATGAATATAAAGGAGTAAATGCTTCAGATTTCAAATATGCACTTGTCATTTACAAGGCTGGGTTGGGGCAACCTTGAAATTATAAAGTAAAATACTTCTGCGCAAAAATTACTGCATTTATTAAAGTTCATAAAGTACAAATGATACAATGTTCGTATGAATAAAACATGGCATTTGCTTTTGCTACCATTTTGAAGCATTTACTCGCATCTGTATGAATGAAAATTAAGCAAACACTTTTACTAAAAACCGTTTGCTAAATTCTGAAAATAATTACTTTTACCTTTTAGCTTTTGCTATACTATAAGCGTTTACTTCGTTTCTTATGAATAAAAAGGAGTAAATGCTACAAATTTTAAATATTTACTTGTCATATTTCAAGGTTGCGTTGGGGCTACCTTGAAAATATGGAAGCACATAATTATGCGCAAAAATTACTGCATTTATTAATGTTAATCGCGAAAAAGTACAAATAATACCATACGGTAGTTCGTATAAATAAAAACTGGCATTTGCATTACTCCCATCTGTACGTTTCGTATGAATATAAAGGAGTAAATGCTTCAGATTTCAAATATGCACTTGTCATTCACAAGGCTGGATTGGGGCAACCTTGAAATTATAAAGCAAATAATTCTGCGCAAAAGCTACAGCATTTATTATATGTTAATCGCGAAAAATTAATATTAACAAAGTTCATAAAGTACAAATGATACCATGTTCGTATGAATAAAACATGGCATTTGCTTTTACTGGTACTTCCAATTTTGAAGCATTTACTCGCATCTGTATAAATGAAAATTAAGCAAACACGTTCGTGTAGGTTTTATATGAATTAATCCCTAAACTCTATGATCTCAGAATAAATACAAGATTTCTATTGTTTTAGCCACTGTGACCTTGACCCTTGACCTTTCGACCCCCAATGCGATAGGCCTATGACCAAGAACGATCCACAAACCAAATTTGAAGTTCACATGTAAAGTATTTCTCAAGTTATCGTGCTGACAAAATTTCTTTTGTTTTAGCCACTGTGACCTTGACCCTTGACCTTTTGGCCCCAAATGCAAAGGCTTCTTAGGATTGCCAAGGACAATCCACAAACCAAATTTGAAGTTCATATGTAAAGTATTTCTCAAGTTATCGCGCTGACAAAATTTCTATTGTTTCAGCCACTGTGACATCGACCCTTGACCTTTCGGTCCCAAATGCAATAGGCTTCTTAGGATTACCAAGAATAATACACGAACCAAATTTGAAGTTCATATGTTTAAGTATTTCTCAAGTTATCCCGCTGACAAGATTTGTCCGGACACACACACACCCAGGTTTACGTTACATACCTTGTGTGGACATTCCTTTGTTTTCGTGTAGTTAAGAAAACTCGGTACAAAAAATAACTTTACTTAAACTGTGAAAACTCTTTCAACCCAATTTTTTTCTATGATTCCCTATAGTGTTTCTCTTCATTCTGCTACGGATAAACCTAACCCAAAAATGCCTCTAAACCTGTTTTCCAGAAAGGGCAAAACGTTATGTGGACACGGCTTAGTCCACATAACGTTAACACAACCTGCATTATGTGGACATCTTTTGTTCACAAGTCCACATAGGGAATGTAAGACAAACTCACACACCCACCCACCCACGGAAGGACAAGGCGGAAACAGTATGCCCCTTCGGCTTCGCCGCGGGGCATAAAAACGCCTGAAAGGGCACCCCCTAGCACGTCCAAGAAAGTTAGACTATTTTTAATTTAAAAACCATTCATCCAAATTTTACCAAACTTACCCTTAGATATTATATAGAAAAACATAATGACTTCGTGAGGTTTTAGGATCGTGACGTCAGCAAACTGGACATTGCTAACGCATTATTTAAGAAGTTACATATTTTCTCGAAAAAACCCAACATTATTCCCTCCTTTTCAGTCAGTAACACATTACTCCCCCAAGTCCCAACATCCATCTAATATAAATCCAACAGTACACACTGCAAGGAATGGACGCAGGCGCGGTTCTACCGGGGGGGGGGGGGCTAGGGGGGCTGTAGCCCCCCCAAAATTTTGTCTAGCCCCCCCCCCCCCCCAAAAAAAATAAATTCCGTAAAAAAAAAAATTGCATTAGCATAAAGAAGGATTGTGATGTACATGCGAACGGTCTCCCCCTAAAGAAGAAATAGCTGTGACAAGGGTACATTAGTTAATATAGCGTGAATGATTTTAGGATTTTATTGGCGCTCCCCATTGAAAATATGGCATGAACCTCCCCCCCCCCCTCCCCACCTATTGATTTTCGGAGGCCTAAGTGTCTGGAAAAAATAACCGGTCAACATTTCAGCACGCCTCCCTGAAAAAGTTCTGGATCCACCGTGCTAGCCCCCCCCCCCCAAAAAAAAATATATTGGTTCTAGAACCGCGCCTGAATGGACGTATATTCTGTGCACATTTTTATGTTTATATGCCTATATATATATATATTAAACATATTAGAAGAGCACTTTCAAGAAATCCTTCATTGGGCCGCCCCTAATTCCCCTCCCTCTCCTTGTGATCCCCATAGTGTTTATAATACATGCACAATTAGGAAATGCCGCCAATGTAAGTATACAGGGTGAGTGAACAAAAGGGCAACAATTAGTCTTGCAACCGTTTAAACTTATCTTTACAGTGTATGGTAAACATAGTTAACCGATAGAAAAGTTGTGTTTTTACCAGCAAAAATGATGATTTTCCCTCGTTTGAATCAAGCTGCTCTAATGTACCGCCTCTTTACATATTTAGGCCACGCCCGCAAAAGGGTGAAAATAACACGTTAGAATGTTAGAATTTACAAAGTGAATGTAAAATACAGTTTTCTGAGTTTTCTTTTTTTGCACTCCCCTTTTTGAAAAATCAAGCTTCGCCCCCCAAATGGGCAAGATCCAAGATGCGTTCACCTCAAAAAATTATTTTCGCCCATTTCAATTGGACATGCCAATTTTCAGAATTTTACCACCAAACTGAATGACGTTTTCCATATTAGAACCAAACTGCTAATATATACCGCCTCTTTTACCATTTAGACCACGCCCACAAAATGGGGGGAAATTAACAGGTGTTAGAATGCTAGAATGTCTTATTTCATGTTTAAGTTATTTCAAAGCGTAAAAAAAACAAGGAAATTTGATGTTAAATACAGTTTTCATGAGTTTGTATTGTTTGCACCCCCTTTTTTTGAAAAATCAAGCTCCGCTCCCAAAATGGGCAAGATCCAGGATGGGTCCCGATCTTAAAATGATTTTTAGCCCATTTTGACCACACATGCCAAATTTCATGCTTTTACCACAAAGTGCACGATTTTTCGCTTAGCAGCTCCACTATGAGGACGAACAGGGCGCACTGTCCGAAACATCGAGTTCGACACTCAACCAACCGGTTGTTTTCAGAACCACACTTCTTCCACATGGCGCTACCCGCAATCTCTACTTAAACAATTTCTGGAACTAAATGAAATTGATCTGGCAAAGTGCTTGTTCCAGACTGGTAGCACTGAGCACTATTTTTTAACCTCACCTTATAATATTCAAGATACTCGGATAATTATTATCCGAGTATCTTGAATATTATAAGGTGAGTTAAAAAAAGAAAGAAAAGAAACCCAAATGTTAATATTAAGTTTGGACCTTTTAATTGATGACGTCATCAGTGTCAATAAAATGTATACTGAAATGTATTAACCCAAAAGGATGCTATTTTGTTCAAGTAGAAACAAATGGTCCCACTGGAAACGGATGAATTTCTGTTCATAAAAATAGTCACAGCTTAACTGGCCAATAAAATAGTTCCAACTCAACAAACGTTGTGGCTCTAGTTGCAGTGTTATCAGTTCCATATAGGGAATGACAACTAAAGGACTGAATCTTTATGATCGATAGATGGCAAGTTTGGGGCGAGTTGAGGATATTTTATCAGTCTAGTTTTTATGAATAGTATTTTCATGTAAATGAAAATACACTTGAATTGGCGTCAGGCATGACAAGTTTAAATGAAAGCCGGCCCTGTTTATATTAGTTTGGGAATGTGCATAGCCGCAGGATGACCTTGCTGTTTGTTAAGGTTGAGTACAGAATGCCAGCAGCATACGTCAATGAAACTTTAAAATGAAAAAAAAAAACTTAAGGGGGAAGGTATTAACAATGCCCTATTGAAAAGGGGCAATTTACTATTTTTTGGGGTCAAACATCCATCGTGGCCTATAACTCAAATGGCGCCACAATATTGCTCAAGTCAATAATATCATGGACATGTCATTTTACTGAAATATCACGTATACCTTAGATATGATGCCGTGGGCAACATTTTAAAACTGTGTTTGTGTTGAAAAGGATTGAGTGATTTGAGCGATTCTTTTATACGAAAAGAAAGCTTTTTTATTGGGCTTTCACATCCTAGATCTGAAAAAGTACTACATGCAGAACTTCTTTAAAAAAAAAATAGGGGTCGCCATTGGGGTTTCCTTCTTTTCTTTTCTTTTTTTACTCACCCTGTGATAGACCTTATGCGCATCAGCCATCTAAGAGGGCATCTTTTGTTGTTTTAATTCAGTAACAATGATGCACAAAAGGTTTAATCGTGCATATTCCAATAAACAAAGGCATTGCCCTCAAAGATGGCGGCTACGCATAAGGTCTGTTAGTTGAGGAATAGTCAGAGGCAGTATTTGGTTTTATCAATGCGTGAAGCAATTCGTCATGGAGCCAGATCGGAAACACATGATCGTTTTCATAGTTTCAGTGAGATAATAATCTTACAAATTAAAAAGGCAGTTTAACACGGAATATCATGATAAGCAGGATGAAGCTATTGGCTCGAACTTGAAAGTAGTCCATGTGGACGAGGTTGCCTGTCGGTGCTATTAATGATGTTAAATAGCGCCAAGTTGTTCGAGCCAACCTCAAGTTTTTCTCAATATTTTCCCGGGAGTACTCTTCGTTGATAGGCTACGAAAGAAAAAAAATCAAACACGCCACATAGCAATATCTGGTCGAGCTCAGATCTCTTCCTCTCGTTGTTAATCTTCAAAACCAATTTCCCCCCTTGGAATTCATGGCTCGTAAAAACAAACAAACAAACAAACAAACACCCCAACAAATACCCCAACAAACACCCCAACAAAAACAGACAGACGGCATTGAATTAGCTAGAAGATCAACTCTTAACCCATGCCCTCACGGCACGACATGCATTGATCATGACCTACCCACAATGCTTTGCCACGTCCACACTTTCTTCAGGTTGCAGACTAGTAAATGACTATAAAACTAGACCTCAGTGATAAATACGCCAACTTCCTAAATTCAGGAGAAATACTCAAAACTCTCCAATGTGTTTGAGACACACCACAAATTAAAGCTTATTTCATCAACTTTCACTTTCTTTTCAATTTTGGTGGGATAACTCAATGACTTTTGGGAGAAATTTCCATCCAAAGACGATCACCCCTAAAAGTAAACCTGAAGCCCATCGCCATTCCCAAAAGTGATGCCTGCACTCCATTGCAAAATAGAACAATTTTAGGACTCATTTCATCCACATCAATTCACAGAAATACAAGCTCGAGGGAAAACAAGGCTTCCACCCTTTTTTTTTTTTTTTTTTTTTTTTACAAACCCTCAAGTTCTGGGCCACAAAATGCTTTAATAGCAGAAAAATTGAGGGCATGCAAATCGTGATTTGGACGGCGTACGCAAATTCGGGTCTATTTACTGGCCTGCAATGTTCGCATCTTGAGAAAAGGAATAGCCGTCAGTGGGCGCCCTTGGCATAAGGCGGCGGGCACGAGCGAATATTCTTGTTGATTCGTTGCACCATTCGTTTCTCTTAAAAGGTGAGAAGCCCTCTACTGAGACACCTAGAGGTGACTTCCCCACAGTGGTTCACCCAGCCCACGACCCAACGGCAACCGTGCTGGTGGTCCAAGCGTGGCAGTATGGCAAATATCTGGGCAATTTGAGTGTCTCGTTTGACGATGAGGGCGCTGTGACGGGATTTGGCGGGAACACCATCCTGTTGGATGACAGTGTGGAAGAAGGTAAAATCGAAATTAACTGTTTGTATGGGTTTTTGTTTTCTGTTGTTGTTTTAGGGTTACTTCTGAATTTGGCAGTGTAAGAGATGTTGACGACTCTCGTTGAAGCAATTTTTTTTAAATTTATGGCCTTTTTCAAACTTTTTTATTATAGCGTCAGACTAATTTTGGCATGGTGTCAGAAGCTTTCAAACATTATTAATTTGATTGCGGTGATCCTTTCAATGGAAAACTCTCTAGAAAAAAAAATACACTATGAGGATTTGTCAATAATACGATTTCAAACGTAAAAGTCTGACAACCTGGTTTTCAGACTTGTGTCATTTCGTTACCCTTGTTACATTTGTTTCATTTTTGACGTGTACTCAAAGACGAGGACATTTTGGAAGAGATGGAGCCCTGGAGAGACCACGTGACCGAAGTAGCCAATCAGGTCGTCGGGCAGACGACTGTCGACCTAGATATTGCAGCTTGCACCTCTGCCGAATGTGCTTTAGGAAATCTTGTGGCAGACGCTATGCTGTTCCCAAACTTGAACACATCGGATGGTTGGAGTGACGTCGGCATTAGCATCACCACTACCGGAAGTATGGCTTCGTCTGCGGACATCGGTGAGGTTTTCTCTCTGTTAATGATGGTTTCAAATCCGCTTCCGAATTCCTCCAATGTAAACCTTTCGTTTGCTATGTCCTTCCTTTCGTTTTTCAACAGACTATTCTATAATCTAGATCACAGCTGTATTTGTTTTGTTTTTCCTTCGAAAATCAATATCCTATATTAAAAGATCCTTCGCTGTCTGTCTGTCTGTCTGTGTGTCACGTATTTGTAAAAGGCGTAAAGAGTGTGTGCAGGTCCCATGTCACAGTCCTCTGAAGTCACGGTTGACATGGGGGGGGGAATCATGTATTTGTTTTGTTTTGCTTTTTTGGCAAATTTGTTTCTTTGACACTTTAGTTTTCTCTAAATGAAAACAGTCCAAAACGTATCGCTATTACGCAAAACAAAACGTTGATGATGAAAAATGTGGCAAAATTGCTTCACCAAGGTTTACCACGCCCACTTGGGGTCAACATGCAACTTGAGGTCAAAGTACTACATTAGTATATAACCCTTAACAGTTGATCGTACGAATTGGTACAGTATATAAAATGCATTTCGAAACTTGACTGTATCATTAACCCCTTCTCAAAACTTCGTCAATTTTATTGAGGGTTTTATATACGACTCCACCCAGCTAGTTCGCGCGGCACCCGCTAATAAAATAATGCATATAAAGACATCCATAATCCATTATAAGTACATCTGTGAAATTTTCACAATTCAATCTGACAAAGGGTTTTGTTGTGGTCATTTGTATCTAGGTCTTTTGTAGTTCACTCTCATGCGTGTACATTTAGCACGGTCAATGGAAAAAGTTCGCATTTTGGCCTACCTGCCTCGGTCAGCGGAAAAAAAAACTCTCGAAGGCTCGGCAGCAAAAAAATGCATTGCGACGATATCAGTGAAAATGTACGGGAGGGGTGGTGGATTCCACGATATTTTTTAGGATTAAAATCAGGTATATGCACAATTATTTTGAAAAATACCCCAAAACTCGTACATTTTACTACAAAAAAATATATATTTTTTTTTTGCAGAGGCTAGTCACAACAAAAACTGTAGATTCCTTATATAATATACAGTTTAATGTAGATTATTATTTTTTAAGAACCTACAGTAAAGTAGAAATTAATCTATACTATACTGAATAGAGTGACGTCACAAGAGTAGTGCAAGTAACAATAGTTTAGAGTGTAAACTTTGGCACATTCAAGAAGTCGTGCGTACTTCGCGCGCGAACCAGTACAGTACAGTACGCACACGGGGCTCTCAAAAGTGGTCAAAACGCGCCCTCTTTGTTAGCGCACGGAGCCCATAGGTACACTGGGATACTCCGCTCTGGTTCAAATCTGTCACGGTTTAATGTTATTGGATTTGTGAAAGCACTTACGGTGTACTTTGACCGGATTTGCGAGGGACTTGTGATGAACTCGACTACAACACTGATGGAATGTAACTTGCGATGCTTTGGCTTTCTTCACGTTTAGGGGATATAACGACCGCATCAATCAACAAAATAATACCATATGGGGACACTATAGACGTGATTGAGCTGCAAGGCAGGTACCTGCTTGAAGCGCTGGAAAACTCGGTATATGAATGGGATGAAGCCAAAATAAACTACCAAATGATGCAAATGGCTGGTGAGTATAGAGAGGCTTTATCATGCTGCCACCGTTCCAGTCATGTTCCCTGTATCCAATAACAGTACTGACTGATAATGGTTTTTGTGCAAAAAGGAACCAGACTATTTTTCCTTCCAGCCTCGCTTTGGTTATACGTTGATTTGAATGGGGTAAAATCAAGATGGCCGCATTATCACTTATAGACCATTATCACTTATAGACTATGATAATGATCTATTAGTGTAACAACCCCTGATCTCTCATTGGACGGATGTTTTACACGGTGACCCAGGTCAACACTTCCGTTTGTGTGTATATGGCTTTACGATAGAGGACATGCAGACATACAAAGGGGGCAACAAAATATCCTTTCAGTCCTCGAGCGTTGGGGCTTTTTTTGAAAACGGTCCTCGATCGTACGGTTATTTGCTTAATCTATGGGAGAGTGGTATATTACAGGGACAAAGGGAAACACAAAGCATTGTCCTGGGGCGTATAGAAATTCTTGTGTGTGTATATATGACGCATGTGCACGGGATGTACGTACATTGTTAGTATATCGAGTGACCCACAAAATGCTTTGCGATTCTGCGAGCTTCCTTCTCAAGATTTTGGGAAGACTTGAGTGCAAAGACAAGAAAATTGAGTACAAAGACGAGCACAGGTAGGGAAACCAAATAATGGTGTCTGATACAAGATTCAAGTGTCCCCTAGCATCGATTCTTAATATCGCCCTGTTTCTTCATAATCACCAGGAATGCGCGTGGTGTACGACGTGTCCCGCCCGCCCGGTCAGCGCGTAGTGTCAGCGGACGTACGCTGCGCAAACTGCCCGGTGCCCGTCTACCAAAAACTGCGTCCGGATGCTGTCTACAAAGTCGTGGTCAACAGCTACATAGAGCAAGGGAAATACGGGTACTCGTCCTTCTTGGACAAGACAAGCGTCCGAAGGGGTACGATTTACAGTGCAAACACTTTCGAAAATCTTTCGGGTAGTATTAAACAACGTACGAGGAAAATATGAAGTTGAAGTGAAATCGATTCATTTTTGGATGATTTGGTGGTAACGGTGATTGCAAGGCCCACCTCGCAACGCTTAAAATTAAGTGCAATTTGAAGTACTATCCCCCCACACACCCCTGCCCTCATCAAAACGGCGCGGTTTCCTTCACACTTAACGCCTCTGTGGTGAAGTTTCCTTGAAAGGTTTACACAAACTTCCATCGTGTTTCACAAGTTGTTTTTTTTATACGAAATTAAAGTACCTATAACAGAATGACACGATAAATCATTAAGAAAAACAGTACATCTCTAATTCTTTTTTCTTTTTTCATTATAAATTTATTTCAAGAATAGAAAAGGTTTATAACTCCGAATTTATACGTTGATTGTGGCAGGTGGTTTGGATGCAGACATTTTGAGAGACTACCTCCAGACGTATTCACCCATTTCTCACAGCGTTGAGATAGGGCGTCAATTTATCTACAACGGCGATGCGCCTTGCTACACCGACGTGAAGTCCTCGGGAAATACTGTAAAAGCTAGGGACAGGTGGTTATTTGTAATGACATGGTTCATGTCTCTACGATTGATACAATATTATGGGTAAACATTGATGGGAAGAAAGTACCGGTGTGGACATGATTGAAGGCGTTGTATACACTCTTAAAATTCCCGGGTAAGACCCGACCCCGGTCCGGGTCACGTCAGATTTGATCCGACACTTTTCCGGGTCAAAATGACACTTCTCCGAGTCGCTTTTCAACACTGGTCCATAGTCCGGGAAAGGGTCGTGTCAATTTCACCCAAAAAAAGTGTTCACTTTACTCGAAAAATTATTGTCGTTTTGAGCCCAGAGGAGTGACAGGTCGAATCTGACCCGGATTCAGGGTCGAATCTGAGCCCGGCTTTTTCATGAGTGTAAACCTTGTTCACAGTTTCGGATTAAAATTCAAGTTAAAGTTTTTCTTTTTATGTGTTCGCGTTTCATCCGCCACACACTCTATTTTTTCTTTCTTGCAAGCCCTCGGTAAACACTGAGAATCAAGGGCGGATCCAGAACACAATTTTTTTTGGGGGGGGGGGGCCAAAAAAGCAATTCCATGTAACAAAATGTTACTCTTTGTTGTGTCAAATCTTTTACGGCTTGATTTTTGGACCTGTTATACAAAAATATTTTGTGAGTAAATCTTCACTTTCTTAAATATATCTTTCAGCAGGGGCGTGAATCCCGGGGAAGGGGGTAGGGATGATATATCCCCCTACACTTTTTGATCAGGGGAATGGGCCATCGAGTCATCCCCACGTTTTCGTGGTGAGAATAAAACAGCCCAATTGTATTAAATAGCCCTGAAAAATTGAGAAGAAACAGTACAAAACCGTTTTGGTGCAAGGCACATAAGCCGTAAGTACAGGTATACGTAAGATGTACTATTTTACCAGGAAGAGCGCCTGGTATTGTGATGTGGTGTCCATCCCCCCCCCCCCCCCTCCGCCTTTCGAATTTCCACGCCGGGGTAATTTGATGAGTTTGGTCATCCCCTATCCCCCCATCCCCACCCCATTCGCCGACACGGATTTCCGCCACAGACTTGCAGTAATATTAACTGAGTTGTCAATTATTGACCAGTCTTTCTTTTATTTATGGATGTATTCTCTAAAGGAGTTTGGAATAGATGTCTTCTTGAACTGAATTGAATTGAATTGAATTATTGGTGTTTGATGTCAATTCGTCATTTTACTCCAGTTAAGGCTTTCAGCAATGTACATTGTAGATCAGGTCATGTTTTATATGCAGAATATATAAGTCCTTTAATAGTGTGACAAAAATATTTTATGTATACAAAAAATTGGTATAATTAAATAGCAAAAAATATACGATTATTAGTTTCATTTTACTTTCATGCTGTAAGTCGGGTATACTTTTTGCTGTGGTTTTGTGTCTTTTTGTATTTAAGCGTAATTTTAAGGATGATTGAACGACGTGACAAACATCCTTTTTTCAATGACTACAGCATAATATCAAAATTCAAGCTAGAACAGAAACATTGATTTGCTGAGAATTACGCTGCAGACAGAGTACAACTTAAAAACTACTCTTACATTCTACAGTTGAAGCATAACATGCGCTAGTTAATAAGAATTACCAAAACTGTTAATTGCTTGCCTTAGGGAGACATGCCCATAGACTTGAGCACAAGTAAAAGCCAACAAAAACCCTCCCATGACCCAATTTGAAAATCCCGCACACCCCAAACTTTTCAATTATACTATGTACTATTCTCGGCAAAAAGCAATCGTATGACAAGCAATCGTAAGTTCTAAAAGAACTTGTCTTACGGGACTTACAGGACTGTTCTTATCAGAACAAAAACGACTTAGCGAAGTTGATAATAAGCAGGACAAGTTCTTTTCAGAACTAAATATCTTCTAAGCAGTTATTACCACATGGTGTTACCGCAAACCGAAACGATACTAAAAAGCAATCGTTTTAAGCATTTTGCGACGGTAACATTCGCTCTAGAAATGGTGTAGTTAACAAATTAGGGCTACACGTCTCTGTAATGGCCAGTGTCTCCCGGATGTCAAATAATTAACTACAAAGAGACTCCCTGGGATACCACTGTCAAGTAGTTGATGTTTTTTAAGCCACTATAGAGCAACTTATTCATTCTGTATTTTTAAGCCTTCTTTTAAGTTTTTAATCAAAAATGATATAAAGCAATATTATACAGCACTGTAGAGCACACTATTAACATGTGACTTTATCCTTTTATGTTAGTAAAAGACGATAATTCGGTTTTAATACATTGTATATGGTCTCAGAAAATGATAGTCATCATTACACTGGTCTCTTGTGAAAAATTAATATCGCAATATTTACAGCCTTCCCTTAATAACTATTTGTTTTCCTGTTTTCGTTTGTTCATTACTCCTATGGGAGAGAAAATTCACAGAAACTGAATTACACTCATGGCCTACTCTATAGGCCGAGATGTTTTCAAGTCATTTCTGCAGTTCAAATCAAACAGGTCTGCAGTTTTTCCGCTCTTTTTTCCACTATAAAACAGTGCAAGCAAAATAAAGCCAAAATTGCTGCAACAAACAGAAGCCATATATAAAATCTATAAACTCTAAAAAGTCACATGCAGGTCAGATTTGACCGGAAATATGGGTTCTTCTTAAGGTGATACTTATCATATCAGGATAAAAACATGACACCTTTTTCTAGATGTTCGTGTCATTTCCGGAATTGTCCCAGAGAAGTGTAAGTTTGACCCGGAAAAGTGTGGTCTGCATTTTCTTTTTCAGAACCTCACAAGCGCACTAGAGAGATTGTTTTGTTAGGTGATGCTATCGTTAACTTAATATTACTGCTGTCTTCACCAGTCAAACGTTCAAATCTTATCTGATCCTTGACCGTTTTATCAGGTGAAATATGACTCGGATTCCGATCAAATCCGACCCGGAACTCTTTAAGTGTATAATACTCTCTATTCAACTAAAGCATTTATTTTTTTGATACGGCATGAACGTCTGCTTGATTTGTGGGGCTCCCTTCCACCTCTGTGATAATTCGTTTAAAAAAGTTATGCTTGCGGAAGAAACATGACTTTTTAGTTCGCATCCACAGTTGGCAAGGACAAACTGGGAGGGGGGAGGTATACACCGATTTCAAGTTGACAAAGGATCAGATAACGTTTGTTTTGGTAATATTTCCCCCTTATTTCCGCAGTCCCCTCTGCCGTTTTCCCTTCACCACATCATGATTGACGTATAACTCGTCCTCTTTCCCTCTACCAACTGTTACCGGCGTCTCGTATTGGTTACTGCTCGCTGCGACGTTACCATAGACCATCTCTGAGACAGGCCTGGTCCCATTCCCATCACCATCTGGCGGGCATGTAAGATCCAGGTATTCCGGTACCAGGCCCTGGTATGGCGATATCTGAGACTTGTCCGTGCGGCCTGTGTTGGACAGACCGATGTAGTCCGCACCTGGATCGCGCTGATCGTCGTCGCCTGCTCGAGGGGTATTTGCCTTGCGGCGATGCTTCGTCTTCATCCGGAGCAGGATCAGGCATGTTATGATCACAATCAATACCACGGGGATGCAGGAGCCGAGTGCAATGTAAAGTGTGCTTGTACCTGATGGGGAGCTTGTGTTCGAACGATTCGGTGGAGCTGACCTCGAGGCGGGCACGGGTGTGGTTTTCACCGAGACGATCTGAAGTGTAGCTGTGCCCCACGCACGCCCATCTGCCGTCACATCGGAGACAAAACACGTCAGGAGGATCTCCTCCGCGCCTCGTGTGGTTCGTACGTTGGTCAGGTTCAACATGTCACCTTGGATCTGATGGTCAAAATCGAGGCTCTGTGACACACTAGGTAAATCCCAGGTGTACTGCCGGCTGACTTCTTGGAAGAAGCGACCAATGCACCTGAAGGAAACGTTGCCACCGCTTTGAATTGACAAGAGACTCGGCTGTATCTCGGCTTCCGGGGGAATATCCACAATTATGGAACAGTTTCGCGTGTCACGTAGAGCTGAACTATTCAGCAGACAGTTCAACTCCAGACCGTCGTCAATGTCTGTTATACGATGAGTGTATGTCAGAACTCCCTGAGAAGGCCCTGCCACTAGGTTTGGACCTTGGTACCAAGAAAGCTGGGCTGGGGGAAGGCCGCCTGAGGAGTTACACGTAATCTGGATGTCAGCGCCAACCTTGTGATTGGATAAAGGGTCGTTCGTCAGACAATGGGGCGATTCCCCATTGGGTGGAACGATAACAGTGAGGTATCCTTGGGCTGATGATAGGGGCCTCTCACCATCATCCACCGGTAACCTAGATCGGTATAAATCACATGAGTAACTACCTGCATCTTCCAATGTCACGCCACTGATCATCAATCCAACAGTGGTATAATCCAGATCGCGTGGCGACGCCATGCAGGTGTGTCGCGCTGTTACCATCGAACGCCTCCCATCACACTCAAACACGTCATTGTGATGTCTGAACAGCACTGTCTGCCTTCGGAACAAGTAATACAAATCAATTCCCCTCCACGTACATCGCAGCTCGGTTGTTTCTCCAAAGACAACAGTCTTGCTGCCTGGTCCCTCAATGAGTTCGATATTCTGCGCACTGCTAAGACCAACCATGACAGTGATAAAAAGCACCATTCGACATAAGCTTGTAGGCGGTAAACCTAACGCACCCATGGTGTTGGTTTACTGGATTGAATTTCCTCAGGAGCTTGTTGTTCAGTAGCTTATACGCCGGCACGAAATACAATGTAGTTCTGAACCGGATACGTCGACTTCACTGTGGTCATTGTATAGCTACACTGCAATCTGAGATGTGTGGAAGCTCGTGAACACCATGCGCATTATGGCATAACACAAACGAAAATGACGGTTGAAATGAAACTAAATGTATATCATGCTTATATTTCCGCGACATCACTTCCCTATATAAACCTTTTTAACACAAGACCCGCGTCCGAACAGGCCTATCTCTCTTAAACATGTACATGTGCACCCAATCTTTAAACCAACCTCGTCCCCAGTGCTAACAGTATTTCCAACCTCATTTCCGATAGTAAGCCCTGGATAGGAAACTTTCTTCCTGTATCCTGATTTGATACCGCAATTTGCTAGTAATGGATTTATATTGTGTAGTTGGTGTTGTTATGTACAACGTGCATCACGTGTTTTCACGATCAAAAGTGTGATTATAACGTCCACACCTTCTCAAAAATACTCCTTTCCTTTCCAGTTTGCTTATATTCAATATGAAATGTGATACTGCATATTGACGGGCCAGATTGAAACATTTTAACTTCCAAAAACATCGTGTTTTCATAACTCACGGCGCGACGAATTGATGTTGTTTTTACCCCAGACAACGCATACAAAAACAAACGCTAATATGTAACACATGCAGGCACCAGACTATTCCTCATTTGCATACGTGTTCAAAAATATTGCACATGCAAATGATCCAATACCAGGGTGAGAGACGAGAGCAGGTAGTGGTGGGCACGTACTGCTTGACACCCTGGGGACGAGGTTGTCTGTAACTTAGTTCGTTTTAATGAGGAAATTTGAATGTTCATATTCATGAGCAAAACTGTGACGCTATCTTTTGGGCAAAATTGTGACACTATCTTGTAGGTAGTCTGGTTCCCTGACATAACAATTTCCCCCGACGTCCAGACATCTAAATTGTAGGTCAGGCAGCCTCCAATGCTCAAAATAAACATGACGACATTGACGGCCCTTTTTCAAAGCTCGGCTTCGTTTCCGAATTCGCTTTATCACTTAAAGCTTTTAATGTTCCGATATATATCACTTATAGCTTTTAATGTTCCGATATTTTTTTTAATAAATCACTTGCTTCATATATCATACAATTATGATATACAGTTTTATATTTCTGCAAGAAAACATTGACTAATGTTGATCTGCAATCCTCAAAGTTAGGGACCCAAATAGCCTGCTAGCAGGCGGAGCCGAATGGAGACCACGCCGAGTTTTGGAAAAAAAATTCAAAATCAAACATGACGCAGCAAAAAGTTCGCCCCTCGTATAGGATCCGAGTATGCTTGATGCACAAAATCGTCGTTGAATTTCAAGTTTTCTAAATGAAAGCAATGAATATTAATTATCAACTCATTTTTAAAAGTTTTTAATAAGCAATTAGCAGTTAATAAAACCTATATTTGAAAGAGATGAGTATAAAAAGGCTATTCTTGTTTACAAAATAATGTATAATCAAAATTACTCCTTTGTATATGACAAATACGTTTACACCACTTATTCAGATTCGTGAAACGAGACAATCCACTGATATGGCACAGAAGATTCCTTTTGCAAAAAAAAACCCAATGTCATACCTCAAGCTTTGCTGTAACTGGTAAAATCACTAAGAATAATTTGCATGTACATTTGAGAACCACGACTTCTCCAACCTCATTTAAATCTGAACTACGTTAAGCGTTCAGTCAGTAATATTTCTGCAAATATTTATGTATTATTTCGCTGTCTTCTCTGATTATACAAATATAAATAGGTGCTGATCTACGGAGTCAAACTTGGTTGCCATAATAATAAGGTGCCGGATGGGAATTTCCCTGTGTTCTCTCCCAAAGGGGGTTTTCGCCCCTCCCGTAATCAGCGAATATAATTATAACAATATATTTTCTTGATGTTACAAGACAGATACAAATTCTTTGTGTTCACTGAATTCACCGTATAGTAAAGCCTGTTAGCGATATTGTTTCACACAGTACATGTAGTTATAATAGTTTTACAATATTGTATTTATAATATTTGCTTAACAATTTATTATGCATTAATCCAATAATACTTTTATCCCATTGTATTGTTTTGTATTGTATTGTATTTGCACTGTATTTGTATAAATGTTTGTAGTCATTTTTGATTGTATGCAGGGCCCAATGGAAACCAGTTTTGAACTGTTTGGGCATACCCTGGGTAAAGAAATGTAATAAACAAATAAATATTATACTCGGAGAGTATTTGGGCGCTATGCGATTGTCGACGAAATGAATTCGGCAAACTTCGGACATTTTCGGAAAAAGGAGAAATTCCTCCCGTTTTAGTCACGTGACGTAAATTGTAATACAATTACCGAAGGGTACCTGACCTAAGATTCATCAGGAATAGTCAGAATCTTTTGGTCTGGGAACCAGACTATCTTGTAGGCAGAAAGAGCTTCGTGTGAGTGTCAAAACTGCTTAAATACAGTTGCTGGAACAAAAAAATGTTGTTTTTCCTCAGAAAATCATTTTGCTCTTTGGTGGAATTATTACATGAGATCGAGTCGGTCGATGAGCAAACGTTTAGCACAATCTGTTAAACTTGGGCGATGTTTTAGTTCACAATTTTTGTTCAGGGAAAATCGCGATGTCATGAGTGACATCACAGATGCAGCACCCTCAGATATGTTTTTGTTTAAGAAATATGTTGTTATACGCGTAAGTTCATTATCCAGTTGTATAACAGTTTGCTATTTTTTTTAAGCTCAGATGTATGAGGTATTTCCTCAAAATATTTTGGCGCGAAGTTGATTCCATGGTCTGTCAAGGAAAACATCTGCGTCAGCTATCAACATACCGACAATTCTAATATATACCAACAGGATATGTCTCCAAGTTAAATCAATATTTACAAAGCAACCAATGCATCTCTGCATTTAAAGTCCTCTTTATATTTGTTAATAAAAGTATAAAGCATATTTTACAGCACTTACAACACACTAATATTATTATAATCAATAAAGAATATCAAGTGACTTTTTTCTTTACGTCAACAAAGGAAGAGTAATGTATTAAATTTCAATATGCTCTTAGAAAATGATAGTATCACATAGCAACATAATCGTCTCTTTTTAAAACTTAAGATCGCTAAACTGTCCCTTAATATTGTTTAGTTTTTCAGGTTTATTTTTTCAACAGCTACCCTCATGGAAGATTCATTCACAGAAACTGAATTACAAGGCCACAAAGTTTTAAAATCATGTCAGGAGTTCACATTTAACATGCAGGCACCCACGGTTTTTCCTCCCTTTTTCTCTACAAAACGATGCAAGTCGTAAATGAAGAGAATCGTTGCTGAGAAAAACAAACCATAAAGTCCTATTGTTATATACCACTTAACTCCAAAACACCAGAAAGTATCATTGTTAGCCTGGACAAAAAAACGGTCAAATATTACTGGGGTTAATCCGGATCAATTTCGACATTGGGTTTTTAGAGTGTAGGCCCTTATTATTCTCTTTTTAATTTGAAAAGACTTTTTATAGATACATGATGGTCTGCTTATTTGTGGGGCTTCTCCCAGCCTCAATGGTTTGTTTTGCCTATGTACAAAAAACGTCATGTATGCGTTCGGGAAAAAATATGGCTTTTTAGTCAACTTCCACAATTGGCAAGGACCAACTATATAGGGGTGCCACGGACTAATTTCAAGTTGACCAAGGATCAGATAAACTTTATGGGGTTGGTTTTTATTTTTGGGGGGGGGGATAATATACTTTCCCTTTTAGTGTTTCCCCTTATTTCCTAGGTCCCCTCTGCCGTTTTCCCTTCACCACATCATGGTTCACGTATAACTCGTCCTCTGTCCCTTTAGTGCCAACTGTTACCGGCGTCTCGTATTGGTTACTGCTTGCTGTGACGTCTTCGGGAAACCCAGTGACTTCATAGACCGTCTCTGAGACAGGCCTGGTCCCATCCCCATCTGGCGGGCAAGTAAGATCTAGATATTCCGGCACCAGACCTTGGTAGGCTGATCTCTGAGGCTCATCCGTGCGGCCTGTGTTGGACAGACCCATGTAGTCCGCGCCTGGATCGCGCTGATCGTCGTCGCCTGCTCGTGGTGTAACTGGCAAATTTGCCTTGCGGCGATGCTTCGTTTTCATCCGGAGCAGGAGCAGGCATGTTATGATCACAATCAATACCACGGGGATGCAGGAGCAGAGTACAATGACAAGTGTGCTGGCACCTGATGAGGGGCTTCGATTTGCAGGCCTGTAAGCAGGGTGTCCAGTTGTGTAACAGTTTGCTATGTTTTAAGCTCAGATGTATGAGGTATTTGCTCAAAATATTTTGGCGCGAAGTTTATTCCATGGTCTGTCGAGGAAAACATCTGCGTCAGCTACCAACATACCGACAATTCTAATATAAACTAACAGGATATGACTCGAAGTTAAATCAATACTTACAAAGCAACCAATGCATCTCTGCATTTAAAGTCCTCTTTTTATTGTTAATAAAAGTATAAAGCAATTTTTACAGCACTTACAGCACACTATTTACAATCAACAAAGAATATCAAGTGACTTTTTTTCCTTTACGTAAACAAAAGGAAGAGTAATGTATTAAATTTCAATATGCTCTTAGAAAATGAAAGTATCACGTAGCAGCATATTCGTCTCTTTTTAAAACTTCAGATCGCAATCTCTAAAATGTCACTTAATTGTTATGTTTTACAGGGTTCTTTTCAACAGCTACCCTCATGGGAGATTAATTCACAGAAACTGCATTACAAGGCCGCGAAGATTTGAAATCATGTCCGGGGTTCACATTATTAAACATGCAGGTACCCACGGTTTTTCCTTTTTCACTACAATCGATTCAAATCCAAATGAAGAGAAACGTTGCTGAGAAATAAAACCTTAAAGTCCTATTATTATATACCACTTAACTCCAAAACACCAGAAGGTATCATTGTTACCCTGGACAAAAAAAACAGTCAAATATTACTGGGGTTAATCCGGGTCAATTTCGACATTGGGTTTTTAGAGTGTAGGCCCATATTATTCTCTTTTTAATTTGAAAAGACTTTTTATAGATACATGATGGTCTGCTTATTTGTGGGGCTTCTCCCAGCCTCAATTGTTTGTTTTGCCTATGTACAAAAAACGTCATGTATGCGTTCGGGAAAAATATGGCTTTTTAGTCCGCTTCCACAATTGGCAAGGACCAACTATATAGGGGTGCCACGGACTAATTTCAAGTTGACCAAGGATCAGATAAAATTCATGGGTTTATACTTTCCCTTTTAGTGTTTCCCATTATTTCCGCGGTCCCCTCTGCCGTTTTCCCTTCACCACATCATGGTTCACGTATAACTCGTCCTCTGTCCCTTTAGTGCCAACTGTTACCGGCGTCTCGTATTGGTTACTTGCTGTGACGACTTCGGGAAACCCAGTGACTTCATAGACCGTCTCTGAGACAGGCCTGGTCCCATCCCCATCTGGCGGGCAAGTAAGATCTAGATATTCCGGCACCAGACCTTGGTAGGCTGATCTCTGAGGCTCATCCGTGCGGCCTGTGTTGGACAGACCCATGTAGTCCGCGCCTGGATCGCGCTGATCGTCGTCGCCTGCTCGTGGTGTAACTGGCAAATTTGCCTTGCGGCGATGCTTCGCTTTCATCCGGAGCAGGAGCAGGCATGTTATGATCACAATCAATACCACGGGGATGCAGGAGCAGAGTACAATGACAAGTGTGCTGGCACCTGATGAGGGGCTTCGATTCGGTGGAGCTGACCTCGAGGCGGGCACGGGTGTGGTTTTCACCGAGACGATCTGAAGTGTAGCTGTGTCCCACACACGCCCGCCTGCACCTGCTGTTTCGGACACGAAACATGTCAGGTGGAATTCCTCCGCGCCTCGTGTGGTTCGTACGTTGGTCAGGTACATCATGTCACCTTGGATCTGATGGTCAAAATCGAGGCTCTGTGACACATTGGGTAAATCCCAGGTGTAAAGCTGGCTTACTTCTTGGAAGAAGCGACCAATGCACCTGAAGGAAACGTTGCTACCGCTGTAAATTGACAAGAAACTCGGCTGTATCTCGGCTTCCGGGGGAATATCCACAATTACGGAACAGTTTCGCGTGTCACGTAGAGCTGAACTATTCAGCAGACAGTTCAACTCCAGACCGTCGTCACTGTCTGTTATACGACGAGTGTATGTCAGAACTCCCTGAGAAGGCCCTGCCACTAGGTTTGGACCTTGGTACCAAGAGAGCTGGGCTGGGGGAACCCCACCTGAGGAGTAACACGTGATCTGGATGTCAGCACCAACCTTGTGATCGGATACGGGGTCGTTTATCAGACAATGGGGCGATTCTCCATTGGGTGGAACGATAACAGTGAGGTATCCTTGGGCTGATGATAGGGGCCCCTCACCTTCACTTAACGGGAGCCTTTCCTCGTCTACATCACAGGAGTAATTACCTGCATCTTCCAATGTCACACCACTGATCACCAATTCAACAGTGGTATGATACGGATCGCGTGGCGATTCCATGATGCAGGTGTGTCGCGGTGTTGGCATTGAACGCCCTCTAGAACACGTAAGGCTGTTGTTGCGATGTTTGAACAATACTTCCCAAATTCGGAAAATGTAACGGCTGTAAGATCCCTCCCAGGTACATCGCAGCGCAGTTGTCTCTCCAATGACAACAGTCATGTTACCCGGTCCCTCAACGCGTTCGACATTCTGCGCACTGTTAAGACCAACCATGACGGTAATAAAAAGCACCAATCGACATACGATTATAGGCGGTAACCCCAAGGCACCCATGGTGTTGGTTTGCTGGTTTGATTTTCCTCAGGAGCTTGTTGTTCATCAGCTAATACGCCTGCACGAAATAGTTTTGAACCGAATACGTCGACTACACTATGGTCATTGTAGCTACACAATCTGAGATGTGTGGAATTAAGCTTGTGAACACCGTGCGTAAACGAAAACGAAAATGACGGTTGAAATGAAATTAAATATAGTTCATGCTTATATTTCCGCGACATCACTTCCCTTTAGCCTATATAAACCGGGGTTTTACTTGTTCATGCATCGATATGGAGCTGTGTACAAGCCACAGGACATAGTTCGTTTTAATGAGGGAAATTTGAATTGCAATATTCATGAGCAAAACTGTGACGCTACATTTATGTTAATATTCATGAGCAAAACTGTGACGCTATCTCGTAGGCAGAAAGAGTCTCGTGTCAGCGTCAAAACTGCTTAAATACAGTTGCTAGAACAAATAGAATGTTGTTTCCTCATAAAATAATTTTGCCCTTTTGTTGCATTAGTACGTGAGATCGAATCAGTCGATGAGCAAACGTTTAGCACGAACTGTTTAAGTGAGCAATGTTTTCGGTTCACAAAATGTGTCCAGAAAATCGTGGTGTCATGAGTGATATCACAGATGCAGCACCTTAATATATCTTTTCGTGTCAAAAATATATTATGTTATACGCATATGTCTTAGTAGTCTATGTAATAGACGCTCGTTGTTCGTACGGAGCACACGGCTCGCCCCGAAGAACGGGTGATACTCAGACTAATGTCTTAGTAGGGCGTCATGTTATATTAAAGTTTGTACGGCAGACGGATAGTGCCAATATAGTGTGAATATATTTTTTTTTGGTGCGTGTGAAAATATTTTTTTGTACAGCGGCCGCCGCTTATGCCGCCAGATAATAAGTGGCGGCCGCCACATAAGTCGTCATAATAAGTGGCGGCCGCTGTACAAAAAAAATATATTCACACTCATTGAGTGGCACTATCCGTCTTCCGTAAGTTTGCTACTTTTAAGCTCTGATGTACATGGTATTTGCTCAAGATATTTTGGAGCGAAGTTGATTCCACGGGCTCTTTACGTGGGCCTAGATATCTACAGACAACCACAACCGTCAGCTAACCACGGGATCCGTGAGCTAACGTACCAACCATTCTAGTACACTAACAGGATATGATTCCAAGTTAAATCAATATTGTCAGGATACGGGTTTTCCCCCCAAATTGGTAATGTTCGGGATTCGGGGAAATGGTCTCACAATATGGTTGAAAGCGAAAGTGAATTTGACACCCAGGTTACAGTCAAGGCCTTTTTACTGGTGGGGGAAATATACATGCCCACCCGTATTAAGTATTTATGAACGTAACAGTACTTAAATTGTGTTTTCACAGGGAAACAGGAGACGAGTGTGCATCAAAATTGAACCGAGGAATAACCAACTTCACAAAAAACCTTCAAGATTGCGAATTAAAAAAGGTATAAATTTACCAACAACATGTTAAAAATCATCCAGAGCAAGCACAATACACTGGCAACAGAATCATTTTAATAACGGGGTCATCTTTTTGCTGTTTCTTTTTGCAAAAGGAAGCACAGCTTGGAATTAATCAAATTCAACATTCAATTGAAGGAATCAAAACAAATACTCTGAATTTATTTTTAAAACACCTAAATATTGATGACTTTTTGAATTAGGGCCCCCAAAAAAGAACTGTATCTTGTACGATGGAAATCTTTTGGTATTGATGTCAATTTCAGTTCTGTGTTTTGCCCACAGTTTAGGCCTTCACTCACCCCCCCCCCCCCCATATCAACCCCCAGTTTCCTGAAAGCTAGATCCGTCCCTGCCAGAGTTAAAATATTTAAGAGATCTTTTTGTCTATTTGAATGTCTTCATTAGAAATGTATCAACAAACTGCTTGAATAAATTTGGCAATGAAGCATGCATCTTAATTTAATCTCAGTACTTGTACAAACACCTTTTTCATTAAAACAACTCAATTTGTTGAAATGAAATGCTATGTCACACACATGTTTGTGACTTAATACAACATTTCGAACTGCCAATGAGTTTTTGTTCCTCTTCAAATTTTACAAAAGTTAGACACTCGTTTAAAAATTATGATTTTGAACTATTTCGTCAATCGCTAGTAGCCAGTTTCTTCACTGACTTTTGACCTTTTTCTTCTGTGAGCCGAGACGTTTCTTGCGTTGCCTCCACATGTGACTCAGCAGAAAGGGCCCACCTTGAGAAAAAGACAAAAAACCTCCAAAATCAATCTTAGAATAGCAAAGTACCTGTGGTGAATTTGTGCCCTTTAAAGACGCATTCCAATGCTATTTTAAGTTTCTCCTCCAAAAACGATTCGTTTTTTCATATTGCTATTTTCCTAAAAATATCAAAGTTATTCACTTTTGAATGAAACATCAAATGAAAATAAACAATCCATATCCGTTTAGTTAGAACAGTTGTCACATTTACCTACGGAACAGTTTTACCACAGTGGGGTGCTGTGGTCCAATGGTTACGGTGTTCGACTCGTGTGCCGTGGTGCATGGGTTCGAATCCTGACCATGGGAACATGGTGCTTGTGCTCTTGAGCAAGGCACTTTACCACTATGGCTTCGTCCTTCGGAAGGGATGCAGAGCCGTAGGTCCCGTGTGTTGTGTAATGCAAGTCAAAGAACTAGTAACACTTATCGCTAAGAGAACGGGTTTGCCCCCGTGTTTCTGGCAGTGGCTGCAATATGCGCCGCAGCACCTTGTATACCCTTATAAAGGTGCTACATAATGGGTCTCATATTTCTCATAAACTTCATTTACCTGCTATTAATAATAGACATTATTTCCAACGCCTTGAGTCCCTAATTGTTGGTAGATACATGCGCTATATAAGACTCCAGTATTATCCTCCCAGTTTAAGTGGCAAGATTTATCATTTGGAAATTCTACCATCATACAGTATTCTGTTAAAAACGGGAGCAATACCTACTCACCTGTAGCAATAAACCCTAGATGTACATACAGGTAATATTCAAAACTGAAAGCCATGTTGACCGAGTTGGGCAGAGTCAGAGAAAACATGCCAGTGTCCCTGAAATACGGGATTGCGATGAACGTCACTATGGCTGCAAACAGAAAATATAATGTTGCAATGTAAAAACAATGCCAGTTTATAGCAATAAAGTGACAGACGCACCATATGGGTGAGCATGGGATCAATGATTTCATGTTAGATTTTGAATTTCGAATGTTCAGAGAACAAGTGGAAAACTTTATGAGCCAACAAAAGGGACAAATAAGTTCTGTGGTTGGTTGGTGATGATAAATCCTTAAAAGTCGGAATGTCTTCACAACTGTTCAAATTGGGAACTTGTAGGGGTTAGGCAGCGTTGGGAGGGAGGGGGCAGGGCAGTTGCCCCCCCCCCAACTTCCCCCCCCCCCCCCCGCCATTTCCACACTAGTCCCTTAAATTTGTCCTTCGATATTGAAAACAATGGCTGTTTGTATAGGCGACAGCCATTTTCTGCTGTGGCGCCATGCTCGTACGAGTTGCACTCAGGAAGTACACACTCCGGGTTCCCTCGACCAAAAGGCTTTTTAATACCAAAATGTGCATGCGCCTCGTCTTTAGGAACGCATGCGACATGAGCGTTTGCCTTTAGTGAAGTCCCACGCGCTTACCCGGACACGTGATGCACCCCGGATGCTGACACGTAAAAAGACTAGGACGAGCGGCGTAGCCGCGAGGGCCTTTACCATCTCATGGAGAACGCTTATTTTTTTTTTTACATTTGTCTACCAATTTGGTAGACATGCATAATGCATTACCCGTTGTGAATTGACCAATGAAAATGCAGAATTACTATCGTAAATCAGCCATCGTCTGGCGCCAGACAGCACGCGCGCCATGGCCCGCGTGCAGTTGATGGTAACCGCAAACCACCGTTAGATGATTGGTTTATATTGCTTGATTTATATTACGTGAATAAATGAATAAGTGATTAGTGTCACGAGATAGTAAAGGCCCTCGCAGCTCGCCGCTCGTGCTAGTCTTTTTACGTGCCAGCATCCAGGGTACGTTACGTGTCCGGATGGTCCAGGTATAGGCGAATGGGACTTGACTAAAGGCTACATGAGCGTCAGCGTGGCAACCACCTCAAAAATGGATTCTACTTTCGCTCGGTGAATTCCAGTACATGTACACAAAAGCAGGTTGTCTCAGTGTAGGGTGGGAAGGGATTTTGCAACTGCAGCGCACCTTTGTGTTTGCAATTTGTTTTGAGTTGGACACATCTCTGCTGAAGGGTTGTCGCATGACGCTGACGATAGTCGCCCAAACAATGCCTTTGTTATAGTTCATTTGAATACAGTGAGTTGACGTGTCATTGGACGAGGCCTGATTGACTTGTGATGGACTTGACTACATACACTCAGACTAGGGCGTTGAAGCGACATCAACAGAATAACATCTAAAAAAAAAGGTTCTGTGACTCTCTGATTTCTTGATCTGTATGACCTTTAACCCTTACCCTACTAGACCCTCCAACGCATGCCAATATGTGCCTCAAGAAAATCTCCTATGTTTTTTGCATGGCCCTCCAATATCTGCCATGTCATTTCAAGGGTAACTGGACAGGCACTCCAATACATGCCACAGAGAACAATGAGAGTCCTCTGATAACAAAGTGAGTGCCCCCAGCTGGTCAGTATCAGGCACCCTCCAGGGCCTCCAACTCCTGCCAATTGGAGCCTTCACTGTTAAGACAAACTATCTGCCAATAAACTGCAGCTGGAGGGCATTGGCATAACCAACTGACATGCAGTAAACTACCCTCAGAGAGTAAGGGTTAGTTGACATGACAAATGACCTAAATGACCTATATGACATTATACCTTCCGACAATAATCCAAGCGGGTACAGTGGCATCCACATGGTGTATCGCAGCCATGATATGACCTCACTGTCATAGTTCAAAGTTGCGCATATGTAGAATGGGTATCTGAAATCAAAATTATCAAAACAGACATACTCATTTTCTGTATTGATAATATACCAATTCATTAAGCCCCCCCCCCCCCCCCCCCCCCGACTGCACATATGGATAACGTCGGACCACGTGATGTACAAGGTCGTTAAGGTGGTGGTACCTTAGTTTGGTCTTTAATTGTTTTCTACTCATTAGATGTCACATAATAGTGATGAACAGGGTGAGTAAAAAAAAATGGAAAACCTGAACCTCAAAAAATATAATTCATATTTAAAAAAATATGTAGCACCAAAAATAATAAAGACTGGAAAGCCAATTTCATAAACTACTTTTAGATGAAAAAATTACTTAAAATGCTCAATTCATTCAAAGCATATCACCATTTTAAACACAATGACCCTAAAACCTCTTTCGTCCAAAAATGCGATTTCATGAATCGTCATCGCAATTGTCTTCAAACATCACCCGCGATAAAACCTCAGTTTAAAAGTTGAAAATATTCAACAAAGTCGTTTTGAAGACCCATCTTTTGCAAAAAAAGTGGATTTTATAAATCATATCTATTGCCTAAGTAGGGTTGTAAATAAAGATATTGTGTACTACAGTTGTTGACAGTTGTTGAAACAAGTATTCTGTGTCATTTTCTTTGTTGTTCCAAACAGTCAGAACACACAATAAATGGCATTTTTTTTAGGAAACAGGTTTTAGGGTCATTGCGTTTAAATGGTGATATTCTTTAACAGATTGAACAATTTCAGTAATTTTTTTAATCTAAAAGTAGTTTCTGAAATTGGCTTTCCAATCGTTATTATTTTTGGTGCTACATATTTTTTTAAATATGAAATATATTTTTGGGGGTTTGGGTTCCGCTTTTTGGACTCACCCTGTATAACATTCACTTTTCCAACAGCAGCTCATAAAAATGTCTGACATGTACTTCCGAATTTAAGGAATTGCCCTACAGTAAAACCAGCAACTACAAGGCACATTATTTTTGAGGTATCACAATTATAATCATCCACTATTATCGATGCTCAAGGAGCAGGCTACATCATCATTACCCCTGCTCACTGGAACAATGCAACGTTCCAAAGACAATCTCAGCTCCCTGGGGAGTACACAGCTGGGTGCTGCCATTTTGGCAAAAAGTAGCTAACATCAATCACGGCCATCTCTGTAGGAGAACTGCAACTGCGTATTTTACGCAATCAAGCACGCATTGCGTAGTATTGAAAATGTTCCAAACACGCGCGCTTGTTGCTCGAAATGTGTTCGAAATACAACGCAGCCGATGCGCGTTGTGCAAGTTGACACTGAAAATGCCAATGCACATGATGTCTATAGGAAATGACGCCATTTGAACGAGACCTATAACCATCTCTGCCCTCAAAGGTACCCATTTACTCCTGGGTGGAGAGAAGCAATGAGTGACAAAGTGCCTTGCCCAAGGGCACTGCACCATAACCTCAGGCTGGAGTCAAACCTGCAACCTGCAGAATTACCCACAGACCATGAGCTCAATGCTCCAGACCAGAATGTCACGGCACACCAATAACACAATGTGCAAGGAGCTGTTAACCCATTAGTCCATGTACTGCCCCAAACCACTCTGGTTTGATGGCTTCTTCATGGAATCAATACAATGTAATACAATTTTAATACAATGAAGTACAAGTGCTAATGAGTTTAACAAAAGAACAATCCATTAATCCCCACCCCAGTAATGACCTATCAAAGTAATGACAGTGCAACCAAATATCTCAGATAGGCCTGACATGTGCGCACTTAGGCCTGACTTGCCAAATTTTGCCCACGCCAATTGTATCTTGTGGAATTCTGAAGAACTTTGTCTGATCCTCTAGCACTTGAATAGTAATAACACGAAACATGCAATCCTCCTGATATATTCACAGACTCATGGATGAATTTTTTTTATATCCTGTATTTTTCCATTAATTATTGAATAAAGCCTGAATCTTGCCAACTTACCTCACGACCTCTATGGTGCTCCATATCAGAAACAGATAGCACACAATGGGTTCCCCATGGATGTCTTCATTAGGCATGATAACCATGAACAGCAGAAGGTCGCGACCTATGACCTTTAACAAAACAATGATATCAAAATCACTGACCTTCATTTTCAAGAAACTCAATAGTACATAGAATTAGATGGTACGATGTGGACCATCACAAGAGTATTATGTGAAGAACATGTGTCTGGTTCAAGTGCGGCTGCACCACCCCTCGCACGTTTTGCCTTTTTTTTTTTTAAATGCAAGCGCCAGCACCCCATATAAAGAAACAAATAACGCTACTTATTGTCCGATGGTGTCAAATAACATCAAGTTTGAAGACTGCGTCTGTAAGTCACATGGTTTCAATTCCCCCCCCCCCCCCCCCTCCCCAACAGACTTAATTCCTGGCTACCTTTGAGCACAGGGTGATCTGTTGGCAAGTTTGTTGTCATACCCCAAAATTGATTTGGCATCAAATCTTGATGCAGCGCGTGATGTAGATCGTTCGTATATCGGCAACCATATATGGAAGACTGGGGCAAACCGGTCAAAAAGTGACATACATTAATGTATGGCGTAACAGGCATGCACTCACTATGCAGTCCTAACCTCCCCTAAAGCTACAAAACATTACTAACAGTAATTTCTAGTATGCAGTACTCTAGCCAATTATTGTCCAGTATTTGTAGTGGGTTTTTAGCATTTGGTACTTCACCCCAACAAATTAACTAGTATTCTGTGGCACTTAGTACTTCATAACAACATACTTTAGTAGTATATTCCTATCACTTGTAGCATAAATTCTGTGGAAGTTGGGGCCAAATTTGTTATGGTATCAGGTTGTCAATGAAATAAGAAGACCCCTTATCTAGACAGAATACTAATATAAAACGAATTAACAAAAACTAATGACCAGTGTTGTAGTCAAGGTACTTGACATGGATCACAACTTTATAATTTTAATGTATCTGGTGATTTTTATGTATCTGGTGATTTTAATGTATTTTGAATCAACACTTGTTTAATATACCTAATTTTAATTTCTGCATATATTTTAAAATAAAGTTTGCGCTTACTAAATTGAAGTTTTATTATTAAGTTTGGTCGTAAGCCAATTTGCATGTTCAGTAACAACTAACAAGGCACTAACAACTACAAATGAATGCCTTAACATTCACAGTTGGTTTAAATAGCTTGGGAATTGACATTGGACAGGATGACCTGTGAGGACTTGTGAGGACTTGTATAGACTTGTGAGGACTTATATGGACTTGTGAGGACTTGTATGGACTTGTGAGGACTTATGAGGACTTGTATGGACTTGTGAGGACTTGTATGGACTTGTGAGGACTTATGAGGACTTGTGATATGGATATGTATGTATATGGACTTGATATGTATATGGACTTGTGAGGACTTGTATGTATGGACTTGTAAGGACTTGTGAGGACTTGTATGGACTTGTGAGGACTTATATGGACTTGTGAGGACTTATATGGACTTGTGAGGACTTGTATGGACTTGTGAGGACTTGTATGGACTTGTGAGGACTTGTGCTAGACTTGCGAGGACTTGTAAGTGACTTGTGATTGATATCAAGTAAGACTCTAACACCATCACTGTTTATGGCCACACCTGCATAAATGGAGCAGCCACACCCGTTTTGACGAGGCCTGTCAGAGGATGAACAATCTCCAGTAGCGCCAGCAGCTGACACACACCGAGAGGATAAAAGGACTTCTCAAATGCGAGAAGCATCTCAGCTAGGAAATGGATAAACAAAAAGACAACAGCAAACTATAAACAGCAGCCAATTTCACCAAACTTTACACAATGGATAACTCCACTTGTGCCACAGTTTATTGCATAAGTTGTGCAACATTCCACCCTGCCCAACATTTCACTTATGACATATTTCACAAAATGTTTGTAGTGCTTAAGTCTTAAAAATTATGGCGTAGCTTCTGCAATAAATTAAAGGTGGCATAAGTTACGGTGTAGTGACTCAAATTGTGATCACGGTGGAGCCTGACATTACTCAACTTATCAAGGTTTTATCAACATGACTCTCACAGCCTCGAACCTGAAGCACTATGAATTGCTAATTGACCTGTGACAGGATTTTTAGAGTTGCCGCAGGATTCTGAAGAACTTCAGACAAAACTGTTTTCAAGCATTTCAAAATGGCGGGCAGAGGTGATTCAATGACTGTTTTGTGACTAAATAGAAATTACAAAAATACATAAACCAGCCACCTCAACTGCTTTTATTATCCTCGTCCAAGATATTTAAAGGTAATATACGATATTTGCTTTGCTGTAATTTTCAGAAAATACCAGATGTGGGGGTTAGTATTCTACAGCAAGTTTTTTGTTCATGGATGCTGGTAAAACCCAGAAACAAAACGATGCTCTTGTGGTCCGGCTCCCTGACTCTACTTCAAACAAAACAGAGCAATTTATAGTCGTCAGGGAACCAGACTAGCTTGCTTGCACCCTTTCATTAATGTGTAACCAATTGTAAACAAAAAGTGCAGTTTTGTATGGAGGATTTTATTCTCTTTCCTAATACCCGCAGGCCCTCATTTTGACCTCTGCCCAGTTCTGTCTCATTCTGCAAGAATGCTTAATAATTTTGTGAATTTTATGCAAAATGAAGGCAATGACATGCATAATGTTTCCACTTACATTTGCCATAGAGAATAAACCAGGAGAAAAGCAGGATAACAATGTAACTGTAGCCGATGAACTGGACCAAGTTATAGATGAACAAGTAACCTCTCTTCAAGTCTGCGTATGCTAGAAATCAAACATAAAATAACAGACTTGACTCCATGAAATATCTACTCCACCTTGAAACCACAAAACAACGGCTCACATAATCATCACTGTTACGCTGATGCTATTTGGTCATGGGGGTGTATGGCCTAGTTGTTAGGGTTCGTGACTCATGATCAGAGATTCAGGGGTTCGAATCCAGCTTGTGGCCTTGGGCAAGCAGCTTCTCCCCCACTTGCCTCTCTCCACCCAGGAGTATGAATGGGTACCGGCATTAGCTGGGGAGTAACCTGCGATGGACTGGCATCCCATCCAGGGTGAACAGAAATATTCTCAGTTGTTTCCTGCCAAGGAAACTGGCTATAAACGCTGGCCCGATGGGCCCCATTGGCTCGTGACAGACTTTACCCCACTTAGTATTTGTTCATTCGAGCCCAAATGACCATTCCCCTTTGTAGAAAAAAATAACACAAAATGAAAGAAAAGGAGAGTCCCCATGCACGTACTGATTCGTTTTTAGGTACTACAAATGTATAGCAATTTGAATTTCCTGGAATATGCAACAACAACTGAGGCAGTTTGCTGAGGCAGTTTGCTGAGGCAGTGTTTGCCTTATTGCTAACACCTTTTTAACATAGGTCACTGCAGAAAATAGTCCAAAGGAAAGTTTCTATTTAGCTGTTTGTCCTCTGTGACATTGACAATATTAACTGTTCACGCCGCTTTGATTTTATTGGGAACATTTTCCTCTGTGTGTGTTGACACTACTCACCTTTTTCTTGGGCCTCCATGATGTCTTTCTCAATGCGTTTCAGCTGCTCACGTTGCTCAAGCTACAGAAATAGAGTCAAGAACTTATGTAGTAAAATATCGTTATACTATCAAATGTCAGGGACACTCAAGGGCATCGCTGTTGTGGTGGCTGGGAGTGGAGTCGGGGTCGAGGTGGGGAGGGTGTTGATGTCACACCTCCTCCCTCCCCCCCCCCCCCATTAATTTGTACTTTTACGAAAAATCATTCTGGCCTTTAATGTTATGTTTGCTGGCATTTAAGCCGCAATGAATAGTGCCACCTATAGTCTGATGCTATCCAGTCTCTTCTGGTTTGAACAGCACCCAGTCAGATGGTGTCTGGTCTCCCCCCCCCCCCCACCTGGAAAAAAAATTGATCTATTAATTTTGAACAAATAAAAATTGATTAAAAAGATAGAAGAGGTACTATACCCTTACATGGTACTACAACCATCAATTTATAGGTTTGAATACATATTTAAATTAATATCTCTTTTTTTCCCCGTATCAATAGTAATTAGTGATTTTTATAATGAACAACACAAAGGCTGAGGAATGCACACACACAAATCAAATCATGTCATAAAATGTGCATGAAATTTGTATACAAATCAAAGGTACATGTAGGTACACATATACAACAGAAACATTTTGTTTTGAGTACCTGCAACTGAATTGAATCAAGCAATGTTAGGTTTTTCTTAAGACAACTTACGTATAGCCATAAAACAGTGTAAATATGTTGCTGTAGAAATGTACATGTACTGTACATGTACATGTACGTAACATGAACACTATAGTATAGTGTGCATTTGCTTAAAAGTACATAATACATACAAAGGTTGATCTTATCTTAAAACAATCTGCCTTATCATTTTTGTCATGGAATTTGGTCCCTGTAATCTACGCAAGTCTTTTGACCATTGATCCCATGTACCCTGGACAAAAGTTGGCGTCATCTGTGCAATACAGAAGTATGCCCCACTCCCACGAACAACACAGACATTGCAATGCCAATGTCTGGCAATCATCTGCAAATGCTTAATAGGAAATGCTTGCACTGTTTGGCTGAAAGAAACACACCCTCTTTTTTCCAGTTGTGAAAAAAAAATGAACAAGGGGGCTGGCTGCTGATAATGGACAAACGTCCCTCTCAGGCTGACAAATTCAACAAAGCCACCCCAGCAGTCAAAATCAATCATGTGACCGTTTCTAAAGGCTAGGCCAAAAAAAATAATAATTTCTGCTTCCGATTACATGGCTTTTGAAAATAGGGTAGGTAGGAAGGGATTTTTTTAATTTTTTTTTTTTGCATTTTTTTTTGTGTTGATCATATGTAGTTGTCTGCGTGTAGTCAAGGGTAAAAGGTAGTAATTGATGGTTTCGAGTTTTTTTCCCCTCATTTTTCCCAAATAAAATTAGGATACGGGCTGTCAAAATAGGGTAGGTAGGGTGACCGGAAGCAGAACTATTATTTTTTGGCCTTAAGAGCTCCCTGTTTACATATTAAGCAGGATTGACTGGCTGCGACTGTTTATGTAACTTGATATAGCTATGCTTTGACTGTAGGTGATTGGTAAGCCGGCTGTACCTACCAGTTGCTTTCTTTTGTCTGTTGATGGAATTCGACTAGTCATATTGGTTACAAAACTAGTGATCTGACTGTTGGGGACTAGCCTGTGTATCAAGGCATGGAAGGGGAACAGGATTGATTTTTTTACTGTTGGTGACTATTCAGGAAGCAGGAACTTTAACAACAGACCACACATTAATAAATATGTTACTGAAGCAAAAGATTTCTTCATCACACTTGTAATTTTGCTATCACGAACAAGCAATCACAGTGCATGAACATGTGAAGTAGCATATTCTGTCCCATCTAGGGCATTCTGTGCCATTGTGCTATGATCACACTGGCTCTTGGGAAGGGGAAGTGTGGGGAGGGGCAAGGGACAAGGGGGAAGGGGGGGGGAGTGAGGGAGCGGTGGAGCATTAATTTCTTATCTTTATAACTGTCAAAATTAAGTTTCAAGTACTTTTCACTAGCTCATGGTTTTCCATGTGCTGTGAGCATGTTTAGATTTCTTGCTTTGCACATTTGCACCGTAAGCATTCCAAAAGTCCAGGCCAAAAATAGAGTCCACTTATGACAAATTTGACCTCTCAAACCAGGCTGGCCACAGGCCTGTAGCAGGAACGCTAAATGAAAAAGTTCGGGGGCACTTCATGCAGAATTTCAGAAGGAATTTCATGAAAACAGAAGGCATGACATATTAATGAAATTCATGCTGAACAATTTTAGAAGGGAGTTTGAAAAAAAAATATGATGTACAAATCAAGAAAAAGAGCAACATTAAATTTCCTTTTAGAAGATGGAAAAAACAACAACACAACAAGCTTTAAATACAAAACAGAAAGACAGGGTGGATAAATCAGACATGCAAGTAGGAATTTAGAAAAAAAACGAAGAAACTCCAAACCAGACAAGACTATGTACAGTATTTTTTAATTTGTAACGGCAAACATAAGTTATACAAAACCAGGAAATCAGCGGATCCAAGGAAAAGTTGCATGCCCGATAAATAATGCATAAAGTTCCTTTTACTGACCACTTGTGTTTGCTGTTCATCCTCTTCGCTGTCGTCCATCGTCCACTTGTCAAAGTCCAGACGCAGCCAGGCAGGTTTCAGCTTCTTATAGGTCACTCGGGGCCAAGGGTCGTTGACCTCTGCCTTGACAAGGTTGATCTCAACATTGCGGTCGGAAATCCGGTAGGTGCTCTCCTGAAAATGTGAAAATCGGACAGTCTTTTGCATTTTAAAACCCTTCAAGTTTCGCATCCACTAATTTTCCCATGAAGTCAACACTTCAACATCCTTTGAGGTAATCTTCTGTGGAGTATGGATAACACTTCAAAACTCTCCACAATTCTTTTGTGTGGTATAAAGCACAAGGCAAGCAAGTGGATTCTATTACGCTTCACTGCCCTCCGCAGCAGTGTGCTACATGTATGTTTTGTGTAGTGACTCTCTCTGTGCGACCCAGTCACTTTAGCAATTCATAACCCGTCACCCGAAGGGTTTTAAAACAGTTGTGCATGTATCTCAGGAGAAGTACTTAAAGAGGTTGTGGAATGCTCGAAGACATTTCCGTCATTTTTCGGGTATATGTAGCCTAAGGTGTGATGAAATAAAAACGACTATTGTGTCTGTCATGAAATGCGTACAAAAGGTACTTTTGAGAGCTGTTTTTCAGGTCCTGTTTCGACCCGAACGTGCAATTTGTGTTAAAGTCATCGTTGGGGGCAGCAAACAAAACATAGTAAATCGTGACGTAATAAACAGGACTCCCGATGCAGCGTAGTATAAACGAGTCCTGTCAGCATGTTTTTGCATAAATTAATAACATATCATCGGGAGAACATCCACTTTCAAAGTAGGGGTGTACATCGGAACTGGGTACCGGAGTACCGACTGCTGATGTCAGGAACCAGTTCCAGATTATGGGATAGGGTACCCGTAACCAACTTTGTACTTAGTAACTTTTCAGACAATGAAAAAGAAAGGTTTTGAATGCCATTTGTGGGGAATATTCAAAATGAAAACAAGGCTACACAGATACCAAAACAGATTTCACTTTTATGTGCATTTTAAAGGGAATGTACATCATTGGCTTTTGCTGTAATTTTCAAAAATGAACTATTTGGGGGGTTAGCATAATAGGTCAGTTACACTGACATGTTTGAAGTTTTGTGTTCGACCACGCTGGAAAAACCAAGAAAAACAAAAAAGTTCAAGTAGTCTGGTTCCCTGACTCCACTACAGATGAAATGGATCAATTTATAGATGCCGGAAAATTGTAAGGTAAGGGAACCACTCTAGCTGGCCTGCACCCGTTCATGAACATGTAACCAATAGCAAACAAAATTTGGACTGAAAAAAGGTAAATTTGGAGCAGTAGTTGAAAAATAGTTAGGTTTTTCCAACGGTGGTTGGCCGACCACTGTTGGAAATGTATACAAAAACACCATTTTCTTGAAAATGACTTCACACCAGGTGCCATAATTTTACAGGATGCTTTAGACTGTCATTTATCAACATCCTAGGAAGGCATTTCGTAAAAACTTGTAGTTTTATTTTTGGATGTTTGCAAATGTTGTATATTCCCTTTAACGCATCACAGATGACACTCGCAAAAACATTGCAGTTTACACCGTAAAGCCATAAAGCTATTCAGACAACTTCTGGGACTTGAATTTCAGGGTTGGGTTTCTTTTACGGGTAACCAGGTACCCGTGTTTTATTTCAATAGGGTACCCGATTCCTAGTACTCCCCTTAAATGCACATTACTATGTCAAAGGGAAGCGAGAGCGGCGAAAAGAGACTACAGCAGGGAAAGCCCTTTAGACCTCACGTGAAATGCATTGTGAATGTCTGTTCATGTTACAGGAATGTTTTCCCAGTATTTGTACCTTCTCATTAACGGGTCCGTAGAAATCCAGTGAGAATCTGTAGGTATGCAGTCCGCCAGCTCCAATGCCTTGCGCTGGAAACATTTAAAATGTAATAACATTTTGGTGTAATGTGTCAAAAGAAAGTTATTACTTTATGTGGTAAGTGGCCAGTATGTGTGACTTGTACACACAGTGATGCACATATCAACTGTCCCCCCCCCCCCAACCCAGGCTGCCCCGCCCATGATGTGGGGATTGTCACTTTTGTTGTGACAAAATCTCCACTATTTCCGCACTAAGTGACAATCTCCAACCTCACTGGTTGCCTGTCCATCTTTTTGGGGGGGGGCACAAAATTTCTTTGCCCCCCCCCCCCCAAATTGTGTTTTGGATCCGCCCTTGCGTGATGATGTGTCACTCATGTGACTATAATTAGTTCTATATCAGTGGTCATTTCATAAAACAGGGCCTTGGCCTTGGCCTTGAGGGTTAAGCCTTGGCCTTGCTTGGCCTCGAGGCTTGAGGGTCAAAGCTTTGGCCTTGAGGGTCAAAGCCTTGGCCTTGGCCTTGGCCTTGAGGGTCAAAGCCTTTGCTCCAATACTGGCGCCAGTAGTTAAAAATGTTTGTGAATGACCCAACAAATCCCCAGCCAGATTTCACAACACACGGGACCTCCGGGTTTACGTCCCACCCAAAGGAAGAAGCAATAATGGTAAAGTGCCTTGCTTAAGGGCACAAGTTTCCAGGCCCGGCTCAAACCCACGCCACTGTTGCCTCTGAAACACCAGAGCATGAGTCCGCTGCATGTGTCCAGTGCTCTTAACCGCTAGCTTTTCAAACATGTTTTTTATTGCCTATAGATCTAAACATTTTGCAGAAGTAGCCTACCTTCAAATTGAAGACTCTCCTCTGTAACATCAATAGAGTGATTCTGCCAAATATTTAAAAAGAAAAATAAAGGCGTGACAATACTTTGCAGGCCACACCTAATGAAACTATGCAAACATTTTATAAACGGGAAAAATGCATGATATGGCCATGGTAGGTTGAACCACCGCCACGGACAATTTGGTGGCGCTATTCTCATGCCCAAAATGACCTACTTTTTTGTGACCGCCTTTTTTAAAAAGGTTTGACATGGAGTATCACATACAGAGATACTTTCGCTTAGCTCCAAACATTAATAAAAGAGAATTGCAGGGTGTAGTTGACCTTAGAAAGTTTGGTTTATTTAAATCACATTGCCAAAAAAAGTTGTGGATTCCCAAAAACAGGGATGCCGTTATTTGTGTGTAAATTTCCCATACGTTTGTACACATAATCAACTGACGAGGTCACATTTATTTCAGCCAAATCGAGCATCATTTTAAGGCAACTTTTAAATTGCAATAATGTCAGAACTGCTTGCCCCATGAAGTTAGGAGACCATTTGTTTAATTGCATTTTGAAAGCTCTTTAAGATTTAGTAAATTCTACAACTATCAAATCAACTTTGAAATTTGATGACTCCTGCACCCGATTTCATCAAACTCTTCGTAACTTACGATGCATCGCAGCGCTGCGACGCGTCGTATCTCTACGTCCTGCGATCCATTTCACTAAACACGTCGTAAGTGCGACGCATCGTAGGTGTATTTATAGCACAACTCGGTGACTGTTTTATGTCTTTATAGCGTACAGTAAATAGTCGTCTGATATTCAACAAAGGGTCGTCGGACCTCAGCTCGAAATTTAAATGTTAAAACGTAAAGCAAAATGGCGGCCGTGCGATGCAATTTTGAAGGAAAACAAGCTCTCATTGGACTGTATACATGTAGCTACTTTGAAATTTCAACTCTGATATTCCGGTCTAATTCATAATCATTCAATGAATTTTCTATTGACAACTTTACACACATTGCCTCGGTATTATAATCTCGTTAATGTAATTTTTGTGGCATAAAACTGGCTTAGAAATGACTCTTCTTATTTTGCGACGACCACTAGACACGTCGTAACTTGCGACGTGTTTTAAGCCGTTGTCAAGGAACTTACAAGAAAATTTAGTGAACTTTAGTGAAATGGAAGATACGACACGTCGCTAGTTGCGACGTGTTACACGTCGTAACTTGAGTTGCGACGCGTCGCAGCGCGTCGTGAAATCGGGTGCTGGCCTACCTAGCCATGGTGTAGCCCCACTAGTGTGGCCGTCGGTATGCTGCGCTGAACCTTTGGCCACACACCGTGGTACCGCGCGCTACTGAGGACGAAGTTTTCATAAAAATTCAGGGCAGTTTCTTACATTCTCAGTTTCTTACTTTCTTATGGTTGTATTCTATGATGTCTCACCTGTCACTTCTGCGACGGCTGTTTTCTGTGCCGTAGATCCTGAATAGAGATCGGTGCACGTGGCCCCCTGACGATAAATGCATGGTACAGGAAACAGCCGTCGCATTTGCAACTCGCGCCCTCGCGCGCTCGACAAGCAATTTGCATACACGCGACGTCACAGCTTGAGGTCATCTCTTGTCCCATTCAAAATGGCTGCCATCACCAGACGTTTCACGAGTGCATATGGACTCCAGAAAGATTGAAGAATATCTCGGAAAATGGAACATCATTAGACCTTTAAGCATCCCAGAAGTGACAGGTGAGACATCATAGAATACAACCATAAGAAAGTAGCTGGAGTTACCCAGCCCTGAGTTTTATCATTGGGTTGTCATCTAGGTGACAACCCAATGATAAAACTCAGGGCTGGGTAACTCCAGCTAATAAGAAAGTAAGAAACTGAGAATGTAAGAAACTGCCCTGAATTTTTATGAAAACTTCGTCCTCAGTAGCGCGCGGTACCACGGTGTGTGGCCAAAGGTTCAGCGCAGCATACCGACGGCTAGCCCCATAAATGTGGCCTATTTACTGGACTGCCTCCGTAAACATAGGCCACACATCCACATGTACAAAAATCGTGTCGACGGAGCCAAATTTTGATTTTCACATTTAGGCTTAGTTTGTAGGGTTTTTTGCTTTAGAAGCATACTCACCCTCTTTACAGGCTAATCAGAAAGTGCTGCCTTTTTCAGATGTCTAATTTTTGTGAAATTTCATGTTGAAATTTTGATACGCAAACGTGTAAAAATGAATCTGGAAATTTCACGAAAAATATACATCTGAAAAAGGCAGCACTTTCTGATTAGCCTATAAAGAGGGTGAGTATGCTTCTAAAGCAAAAAAAACCTACAAACTAAGCCTAAATGTGAAAATCAAAATTTGGCTCCGTCGACACGATTTTTGTACATGTGGATGTGTGGCCTATGTTTACGGAGGCAGTCCAGTAAATAGGCCACATTTATGGGGCTAACCGACGGCCACACTAGTGGGGCTATCCATGGTGCACTACTGGTGATGTCCTTTCTTTCCTCATGTTCCTTTGACATGTTTGAATTATGATCAACAAATTACAAGTTTTAGTATTAATTAAGTACAGACAGTACTAAGTAGGCCTAAGTAGATATATCATCGAACCTCCATTATCTGCGCAGGTAACACTTTGCAACGCGCACGAGTTGCCAGCGCAAATTAAACTAAGCATGGATTGCATTGCTAGGCGAGTGCGTACAAATAGGATCGCGTAGTTTTAAGGGGTCTGACGTAGCCCGACTGCGTCTGGCCGTACAGTACTATCGCAAGCTCTGTAGTACGGCCAGACGCCCGATGCTTCCACAGAGACTGAATTTTGTTGGCCGCCGATGTAGCGATTTTGCTACATCTTTTGATCGCAATTATCTTTTCATCCAGGACACAAATTTCCAAAGTTAAGGTTCGTAGTCGTAGAGCAACTCATACCTTTTCGAAAAAAACGTTGTTTGATCTCAATATTTTCATCCATCTGGCCACAAGACGAATTTCAGTCATCAGATTCCACAAATATCGTCCCCCCATGCGATCCCCCATGCGATTTCAAAATGGCGGCCGCGCTGTAATGATGCAATATGCAGGCGCGCCCGCGCAAACTCATGAATATGCATAACAGTCTGTGACGTATGACCTCGTGTTTTTGGACGTACGGCCCCGCCGCACGCACGTCCAAAAACACGAGGTCATTACGTCACAGACTGTTTATGCATATTCATGAGTTTGCGAGGGCGTGCCTGCATATTGCATACATTACAGCGCGGCCGCCATTTTGAAATCGCATGGGGGATCGCATGGGGGACGATATTTGTGGAATCTGATGACTGAAATTCGTCTTGTGGCCAGATGGATGAAAATATTGAGACCAAACAACCTTTTTTCGAAAAGGTATGAGTTGCTCTACGACTACGAACCTTAACTTTGGAAATTTGTGTCCTGGATGAAAAGATAATCGCGATCGAAAGATGTAGCAAAATCGCTACATCGGCGGCCAACAAAATTCAGTCTCTGTGGAAGCATCGGGCGTCTGGCCGTACTACAGAGCTTGCGATAGTACTGTGCGGCCAGACGCAGTCGGGCTAGGTCTGACGTTGATTAAAACCTACAGTTACATCGCTGACGTCAACACGAAGAGACACTTTCTTGTCAGTTTGTGCCCAGTAAACAGTCGGATGCAGTACAGCTTCTCCGGACATGCTTCAATCTTTCACGAAGACGGGGGGAAAACAAAATTAGGGCCTAGGTCTCATCTAAAATCTAACATTCTTCGTAAAACGCGTGGATCATGGTTGGCCAGAAATCGTCTATGGAGGGCGTGTGATTAAAGCCATGAAAAAAAAGCCCCGTCCGAAACGAAATAAAAAACGGGCCGCTCCCACGATTTAAAAAAATGCTGGGGGGGGGGGGGGGAGAAGGGAGAATTTTAATTTAATGCACAGACACAGAGGTTTTTACTGCGACTGCATGCCCACAAATATTAATAAAGTAGTTCTTCCAACGAATGTCAGCTTCCAATATAAGTTTTGCCCTTCACCGAGGTGATTGTGTGTTAATTACCCGACCCCTCACGACCTCCTGCTAGCTTACCACTCCACCGACTCGGAGCTTGCGGGATAGATTGGCCGGTTCGAATCTGATGTAGCAGCAGGTACCACAATGAAACTACATGTACATGTATTCATAAATTTGGGTCAGGATAATGTAAATTCAACATTAGGTTTTGCCGATAAAATTATGTCAGCTTTGAGAATTGATCTTAATACGTCCCAATACTAATAATTGCCTTTAATGCAAGGGTCGTAGTAGGCTGCACTCTCACCCCACCCCAACAGCTAGCCAAAACTAGCTGGATCCACCCCAGGGTCGGGTCAAATTAGAACCGGCGTTGACGAACTTGACGTTGGAGTTCAGCCCTACAGCCCCCCCACCCCCCCCCCCCCCCCAACTCAAAGAAATACCCCGGGACGGCTTGGCTTGATGTATGATGTGAATAATTCATTCTCTAAAATTCTGAAACAGAAGAAATGATATTCACCATGACGAAACGACAAATCAGATGAGAGACGCATCAAAATGATGTCGATGATTCCTAGGAAAGTTTAATTTTCAATCATTGTGGGGAATGCACTATGTTACCAATTCGATTTACGGGAAAAACTCCAAAGACCAGAAACCCAAAACTAGTTTAAAAGTAGGCATATTCAGAACATAAAATTAGAATCGGTTTCAGAACTTATTTTCTCTCAAACTCAATCTACCTCGCATTTTACCTTAAACTAAATTTAAGGTAAAATGGTAAATATAATTTATTACAAGAAAATTTATTTTCATACATTTTGCTCTCTTCGACAACAACAAATTTCTCCCAAAAGGATATTGTTTTTTTGCGTATCCAATCTCCTAAGTAAAAAGCTTTCATTTTGTATTGCTTTTGCGCCTCTAAATCACAACAGGGTCCACCTGGATTATTTTCGGGCCGCAAACAATTAGAAATTTGGAATTTAATTACTCCATAACAATGTGAATTAACGGAATCATGGCTAGAGAAGTACCAATTGCACTTTTTTTTCTTTTGGTTGAACTCGAGAATAGCAAGGTCATCAGAATTAGAAAACAAAACTTGCGCCGCCATATATGTCTCGTTTCGCAACAGTCTTGCAGAAATCATGTTAATTACTCAATATTATACTTAATAAAACGGGATAATTGTTTTCCATATTATCAGGGTTCAGAAACGTTACATTTCTAGCATCTAACTTATTGTGGCAGTTGTACGCTGACCATGCACTTTAATTAAGACATAATGAGACACTTTACTGCATGGCTGTCTTGTCAAGTTGATAAATGTGTGATTTCCTGTACCAGTCTAATGAAAATGTAATTTTCTTAACTTCAAACCCTACTTTTAAAACGTCTTTTCCATTGTCCCTCATAACATTCAATGAAGTATAAGCAATCCATTTAAAAACCAAATTCACATGTCATTCACAAATGACATTCTGAGTTGTGACTTGTTCACATAATCATGCATATTTATTATTTTGAGAGGTCAAACTTGAGCCCTAAAGATCAATGTACCAAAAACCAGAAGTAAATTAAACCTTCTACTTTAATGTAGTTCAATGTAGGTAAAATTGTATGTACTGATATACGGGTGCAATGTAGATTGTTTTTTTAACAGCATTGGAAACATAATAATTTTCTTTTGCATGTTATTGTGCACACATTATACAATTTATCTCACCACTTTTACAGCAATCACAATTCAAGAGGTACACGTGCAGTGCAGATGAGAACACTTTAAAGAAACTTGGTATCACGTGACGTGACCACAACATCATATCTGTAAACAAACGTAACATGGTCTGTGTGCACTTTAAAATGTTACTTGACTTACACAGGTCCGTGTTTTTGTTGTCCTGACGAATATTTTCCTTTTATTACGCGAAGCTATAATCTATTCAGTTTACCGCGTGCCTTTGGTTTTACCAGCACGCCTTGGGCTAATGAACTTATTACACAGCTGATTCAGTTCCTTCAAGATTATCTTCAGCTCTGGTCTCTGGTCTGGTTCCTCGACCACACATCTATCTCCTATCGTCTTGAAACTAGACAGGAGTCGGTTGTCTTTGCCAATGTCTTGTAAAGCAATCCCAAGACTGTAGACGTCTGACTTCACGTTGTATCTACTCCTGCCCTCCACTATTTCTGGAGCCATCTGGGTGCAGTTCTTGAAGGCGAACATCATCTGCATGAAGGTCAAGATCTTAGGTGGCGGTGGGTTCTTGATTGGCGAGGCTTTCCCCAAATCTATTATCTTCGCCTCCCAGGTTGCAGTTACTTTTCTAGGATCTCGCCAGACCAAAATGTTACTAATATGCAGGTCGTTATGCGTCCAGCCTGCGCCGTGGAGCATCTCGAGTCCTTCAGTAACGTCAATGCAGATCCTCACCCAATCCAGCGGCAGCAAGTGTGGACCTCGGGGACTCTTGTACAACAGTTTGAAGGCACTCAAAGAGATCATTGTCCGGGCATTCCCAACGAACTCTTGAGCGAAGGAATACAGGTCAAGTACTCCCAGGAAATTTGGGAAGACTCTGCAAGATTTCACTGCCTCCATGGCACGTAGCTCCTGCAACATTTCAGCGGTTCGTTTGTCTTTTTGGTTGCTTCCTGGTATGTCTGTGAGTCGTTTGACGGCCATGAGCGTGCCATCCACGCGGGATCTCATGAGGAAGACTTCTCCATAATCCCCGGAGCCAAGTTTGATGGCAGTTCCTTTTCTAGTCTGAACAGGTTCCAGGTCCCTTTCGTCGATTATTGGTAGGCCCAGTTTTTGTAGATCCTTAGATGTTGGCTTGGCTGGAGATCCTTGCTTCTGAACTGCCGTTGACTTCCGAAATGTCCTTTTGCGAATCGCTGGGCAGAGGGGTGCTACCTTTGATTTTGATGGCTTTGTAAGGTTTCGCTGTTGGGGAACTGTATTCTTTACAGTGGCAATATTTGGGTTTGATAGCAAAGCTGCTTGATGCACAGATGAGGAAGTCGCTCCTGACACGCGGTTTGTCTTACTTGAAGTACAATTCTGCACACAGTGTCGACTAAGGTTATTCGAGTTGCTCCTGTGACTTTGGGCTTTCACAGGAAGATGCTGCTGACTGTGGTGTGAACTGCTGCTACCCGTCGGTTCCCTTTTCATTGTGCAACAAAGAACAGGAAAAATATAACAGTATAAGTTTCTTTTAATGTGTAACTCGCTTCTATATCGTCAAACATTAACTACCTCTTTGTCGAGATTTTTGGAGGTCCATTTATTAATGTTGGACATACCTTTTATCGGCCTTTGCCATCACTGTCTTCAACTGGCTTAGCAGTGTCTCTGCTCTCCTCGCATTTTCTTCTATTTCCTGGATGTGATAATGACATCGGGAGTATTTATCGTGCAAGTGAAATAAACCAGTTACACCAATAAATAGAACCGATTAACGAGGTAAATATAATACTAAACATGTCATACTTTCTATACTGCTAACAGATGATAAAACTTTGAAATGAAAAACATCGCGTACAAGATGAGCAAAGTCAAAATATCTGATTGTACGTGGCATCCCTCGAAGACTACATGAGCATCCTGGTGAGAATTTGTGCAATTTCAAAGACTTTTGGTTAAAATAGTCCACAATATGCTCAGCTTACCTTTCCCTCGTTACTTGTATACGGCAGGGTGTCATTAGTCAAGTCTCTGAGAGTTTGCAGATCCACCCTTCTCTTAATGTGGACGGTAATCTCCTGGACTCGGCGCTGTTTTGCACTTGGTGACATCGTTCGCATCTCGTCTGCCAAAGCGTCTGGTTTGACGTCCAACTGTACCAGTTATGATAGAAAGTCTGACGTTACCAAAGGAAAGATCTGGGACATTGCGGATACATTTTTTGTTTTGAATGATAAGATAAATTACCGAACTGAAATTTACTCACAATGGTCCTGTGACCCGGAACAGTTTTGTTCGTTGCGACTTGAGGCGAAATCAGCGAAGATGGTCCCTGACTTGGTTTCCTTGAGTCCTTCACCACACACGGTGATGTTCCTATGACGAGATTCTTTCCAGTGAGCCTGAAGCTCCTGATGTTTGTTTTGCCAAGGGAAGAAGCCGTCAATTTCCGACCTCCTTCTGCTGGTTTTACAGGTTCTCCTTGGATAACTGTCTGAGAAAACTCTCCCTTGACTGATGAAGATACGCCGGCCCTAGCACGAGTTTCATCGGGGTTGTTTCCCTGTTTATCGTGGCAAGGACTGGTGGTAGTTGAACTTCTGCATCTGATCAACGAGGTCTGATCTAAAGATGTCTCCCGGTTGTCAGATGCTCCCAAGAGCTCCCCGGATGCCACACTAACATGTCCTGGACTGCATCCTGGTTCCTCGTTCTGCAACTTCTCACAAGGACACAGTCGGGTGGTACTTCCAAGGTCACCTTGATATTCATTTTCTATGATTTTTGCATCCCCTCCGTCAATCTGCTCTTTCTTGAGTGTAGCGCTCGAAGAAGGAAGAACTGTTGTCTCTGTGGTGACTTCGTCTGTTGAAGATAACCTGAAAGTGAGAGAGTAAGGCCACAGTTGAGTTAGTCAGTTAGTTTAACTCAACTTTGAAAAAAATGTAAACATCCTGTTATATTATTGTCCTTTTTTGTTTTGTTTTGTTGTTGTTTTTGATTACAAATAACCTGGCAAAAACTCAAACTACCCTGCAGTATACCTTGATGAAGTCTCAAACTCCACGTAGTTTGTGTGACAATCTTGATGAGGGTCGAATGCATCCCCATCTTTGTGTTTATCCTCTGAATGTGTCTTGACGTCTTGCGCTTGGCAGCCATCTTGTAATTTCCTGTTTGGCAAGCCGCTTCCCTCAGGAGCTGAGGTTGGATGTCCCCTCGTAGGAATCACATTCAAAGGTACCACTTTTTGGCGGTGGAATATTCCCAATATTCTTCCAATCCGACCCCTGTTGAAAGGCAAGTGAAACGAAGGATAATATTCATCAACACGAGTAAACTTTTCCGTTAGACTTTAAAAAAAGAAAAGCATTATTTTATCGATGGAGACAAAAATATTACTAAAAAGAGCTAAGACAATTCTATAGGAGAAGATGAGGCATATTCTGAAGATCCGAAAAAAAGATGAATAATTAATCACAGTACCTGATTGATAATTTCTTAGCCTTCCTTTCCGGCGGCTGCTTGTCGGTTTGTTCAGCCGGTGTAACATCCATGTCCCTTGATCTTATTAGCCTTTCAGTCTCCTCGTGTCCTATGAGGATCGAGGGACCTTCTCGAGATCCATGAGTTGACTCTTGTCCGTTGTTCATCTCTTGAGGAGGAAGTGGCGCTACTTTGGGACCTCTACGTAGCCTGAATAAAGAATTTGTTTCAAGATGAAACAACACTTTTTGAAAGTGAAGATTATTTTGTATAGTGTGTATGGTATAGTGAGTCCATATGGAGGTTTTTTTTAGATTTACTTCCTGGAGACTGTCTCTTGGTAATATCGTGCTTCAGCCTTCGAAATGCAATAAAAACACGACTTTGTTTTGGTTCCTGTGAATGATTGGTGTTAGTTGGCTATAGATATTCAGTTGTTTCGTTATTATACTTCTACACGTGCCGTTTGAACAGCTATTTCGTACGATACCTCGGCCGAGTTACCCAAGGTCTGGTGGTGCAACCTTTTTGAATGTCTTTTATAAGTTTTAACGCAATTTCAATGCCCCCTTTTTAAAGTAAGATAAATTGATTGCAACACAGTCTGTAACAATAATATGTATTTCTCTATATAGACAATTTTCTTTAGTCAGATCTGTATGCACAATGTTTAAACCTTTTCTAATATTAGTATTTAATGTCATATTTTGTTTTTTAACTCGGTAGGCCTTTAACCTTTGTTTTAAATGTATTTTTTTTTTAATGTAAATCACGTGCAATTCAGCTGTGGCTGCCATTCGTGATTTGTTAATAAACCATGTTGAATTGAATTGAATTGAATAAGCCATAACGAAGTTTCATGTGAGCAATGAATTGGTAGGACAGAATTCTGGTGACAGACCCGCGTGACACTGAAAGCTAGCCGTCTTTTGACTAGGAATGTGTGACGTGTTTTCTATATCCCAAAAATGCATTGTTGAAGTGAGTTGGCACATGCGCGAGCGAAACTTCGCTTTGGCTTATGATAGCTGACCTAATCGCTCCCTAAAATATTTCTTTACCTTTTTATGAACTTATTGCTGAAGGCTTCCTTCTGTCCCTCCGAGGGGACACTATCTCCACGACCATCCAGGTCAAGTGGCACGTGTTTCATTGCCATCGTCTGTCCAGTCCAGTCCATGGCTCCACCAAGCCCGTCAGGGGAGGCAGACGGGGACAACTGAGGGTCATTCTCCATATGGACGCTTTGAAGGTTGGAGGACAGGCATGGATGGCGTACTTGGGAGAGTGGGGGAGGCGGCGCAACTCTGCGACCGCTTAGTAATCTAGTGAAGAATTTAACATGGGCGATCTTGAACACAATGCATGACGAAATATTTGGCATTAATTAAATGGAATTTCATATATTGTTGAATTCATAAAATGGCGGCGAATGTTAATAATGTAATATAATTTTCACATACGCTATTGCACCGTGGGAAACACGGTCCTAAAATCACACATTGTACTGCCAATTTCTGACGTTATCTCATTTAATAAACTCACCGGAATTTAGCCGATGCGAACTTCGTAGCAAATCGAAACATCTTCGACGTTTTCGATGAAAGCTGGAAGCTATTTAAATTACTTTCTGAAATAACTGTATTTTTTTCAGCACTAGAGAAAAATATCCGAAGCGTGTTTTCTCAATGAGAACAGAGCATAATCTGATTTGTTGATTTTGCGCATATAGTAACCGATACATTTTGGCTGCTGGTAACACTTCATTCTCGCGTGTTTTATGCTGTGACGTAATAAATGTAAACGCGCTGCTAAAACGTCATCGCCTATGATCACGCTGGGCACCGATCTCTGTGGACCGTTTCCCGCCCCATTAATACATGGATGATGAGAGTGATTATGGGAGGAACTGGAACCAGGAACCAGTCTAGTAGAAAACAGAACGCGCAGCCCTGTAGGCCCTATAGCAACGCGTGCGTTGGATTACCACCAAACACGACACAAACAGACGCGGCACATGACGCGGCAGGCCCCCCCCCCCCCCCCCCCCATTTAGGGCCATTTCCCAAACCTCGGCCACTCTCCAGATTTGCTTTAGGCTCCAGAATATATATATACCGGGTGGTAAAAAAAAACCACCGAATGGCATACTTCCACTACCCTGAGACTCAAACCACATTATAACAATGCATGAAGAATCTTTTGAGAAGAAAAATGAAGCCAAGATCGCCCAATTTGGTCCAGTAATTTTTGTTCTAGAGCCTATTTTGTGAAGCAAGGTGGGGGTCATTTTTTGTCCCTTTGAATTACTAAACCGCGCCCGGGAATTTGACTTGCATTGTAATTTGATAGAGGGATTATGTTATAATACCCACATGAAAGAAATGCACTTCACAAAATAGGCTCTGCAGCAGAAACTACTGGAACGAATCGGGATATTTTGGTATCATAATTCTTCTAAAAGGACTCTCTCCATCAATTGATACAGGTGGTTTGAGTCTCAAGGTAGTAAAAGTATGCCGTTCCGGGGGTTTTTTGGTTTTTTTTGGGGGGGGGGACCACACAGTATATTAGAAACCAATATACCCTAATCGTCTAATACATACAAGAGCAGAAAAAAAAACTGCAGGACATGACGGAAATGCGGGATCGCGAATGGTCGCTTGAAGCTTCCATGCGTAGGCGGAGCGATCGACCATCCTCCAACCAAAAAATAAGAGAGAATTCTCACACACTAAATTTAAGTATCAGTGAAATACGACCTTTAATCACATTTTCTGGCTTTTAAGGCAGAAACGAAAGACGTTTTCAAAGCAAAGGAAATGTCCCTGCAGAAAATATTTAATATAAAATAATTGCTCGTTTGCCAACTTATCAATGATCTGGTTCCATTGAGTCACACACTGCTAATAAACACCTTGTCCGGATACAAACACATAGCCGTAAAAAGGCAAATGTTATCCATGGAATAAAATGAACAATTACAAGGGCGGATCCGGAGAGGGGGCAACGGGGGCCTCCCCCCCCCCCCCCCCAAAAAAAAACCCATTTTTTTTTTTTTTTAAGTGACGTCGCAATAAACTTAAAGGCAGGCAGAAATTGCCTAAGATCGCACCTAAGAGCATCTACAACCCAAATCGGGCCCCGAACCCCACGCCGTAATTTTTGGACCCACTTTTCGGGGCCCTCCCCAAAATTGTGCTCTGGATCCGCCCTTGAACACTGCTGAGATCAGGCAAACCTTTCCATCTCGACGTACAAAAGAGTCAGCAAAGATCAAAGGGTGATGAATCAAGAGTCTTAGTCACTATATACTGATTTTAAGATCCCATGCAGTAAACGCCTTTAATTGTATTGGATCTTTGAGTTTACAAAATTGTAAAGTAAGCTTTTATGTTGCTAAAATGTGAAGGAAATAATTGTCATGATCGTTCTGTTACAAGTATTTGTTTCAATGATTGATGGACGAGTCATTTATTATTTTACCAGATCAAACTAATTTTTGGGGGGTCAAACATTAAAATTACTTATACAAGCCAAAGTATCCGAAAGAAACCCACATTTTCGCTCTTAATTCCTTTTGTGACAAAATACAACTTTATAATTTATATACAGTGTATACGCATTTCATGCATAACATGTATTATACCAGCTTATACACTTTGAGCATGTTGCACATTTTGTAGTTCTTATAAATTACACCAGGACACACGTTAAACACAATTCACAAGGGCAACACCTATACCCCGGGCTGCTATGACGCGCGATTTACAAGTACATGTGTAATTCCTTTTGTGTGTTTTTTTCTTTCTTTGCAAGATCTCCGACAGTTAGTTTCAACATGGAGCTATAAAAAGGATGTTGTCATGATTGTGAGAGGATGATTTTCTGAAATTGCATTGGACTTCAAAACTACTAGGGTGAGTCAAAAAAAGGAAAACCCACTCAGCAGGACCATTTTTGTAATGAAATTCTGCATGTAGGCCTAGAAAGCCTACTTTCAAAAGCTAGGATATGAAACCTCAATTAATAAGCTTTCTTTTAGTACATGAATCATTAAATCACTTATGTTCTTAAGGAATTTTAAACACAACCACCGTTTTAAAGTTCTGTCCAAGGATCTCGATCACAAAAAAGGTAAGTGTTCTTTCAGCAAAACGAAAACAATTCACGTACATGTACATCCTATAATGTGAATTGTGGGTTTTTTTTTGGACGCACCCTGTACTTCTGCTTAGGGTGATCATGCATCTTCGGAGGGTTGTCACCTTTAAGTCATCATATTTGTGAGACTGAAAATCACATTAGTGAATCAAAAAGCCATTTGTGGTGCGTGTCCTGATGAACACCTTGAAGAGTTGTAATTAGCTTTCCCCTAGCCCTCTGACTTTTTAAAGTAAAGTTTATCACTGTTGTCTATGGCAATTTAGTTACTGGTCAGTAACCAGAACGGTTGCCGTTTGCGTACTCAGGGGTATTACAAAGTCCTTCTCAGAATAGCAGTCCTAAACAAATTCCTTTAATGTAATATGCGTTCATATGAAATCTCTAGCACAGCTTCGTGTCATCTTTTAAAAGCCTGTCATCAGCAGAAAGCTGTACGTTAAGAGAACATTGTGTAGCCTGTCATTGTAAAAACCCATGTGATCACAAAATTCACAATTGTTCAAAATATTGCTGCTCACAATTCTTTGGTACACAGCTTATACAATTATACAGATTATCAACACTCTCAAGTGGACACATACATGAACGTTTTAGTGTTTTGACAATACCCACATTATGCACAAACAACGATGTAGTTGAAATGCCGTTAATTTAGTACACTATTAGGAATACATCAGTTATGTTTCATGGGGTCTACCACTGTGCATGGTCGACTTTCAGGTTTTATCTGTATCAACTTTTTTTTATTGGCCAGGATTGGCCCAGTAGATCATCAACTTGTAAAGACTTGAGCCAGATATTAACCACAGGTAATGCTCTATGGTTTAGCAACTGGCGTCATGTTTAGGATTGGTGTCCCTAAACATGTACCTCACGAACCTGTGATTACTCATCTCAAATAATAACCCCGTAACCATTGCATTTTGTCTGGTAAAAAACTGTGCTCAAGTCTTGTGAATCTTACGGGGAAATTTCATCAGCCATTGCTTGACTGACGCAGTGCTGAAATCAAGTCCATCATTATTAGTCCCTGCAAGTCCTCACAAGTCCATCACAAGTCATCCAGTCCCAGTTCAACTCGCAAGCTACTCAAATAAAAAGCCAATTCTTTGTTTTTGTTCATCCACTGTGATCGGACTTGTGATTACTTGCAACCGGACTTGTAATTACTTGCAACCGGACTTGTGGTGGACTCGACAACAACATTGAACTGAGGATGATCTGTTCATGCAACTGAGTAACCTAGATATTGCTGACCAAGATGCAATTAGCCTGGGGGGAAATTCCCACGCAACTTTTCCGGGATTATCATTGAGATTACTCCTTAGTGTCTTTTGCTTCTTCACTTGTGTAATGGTCAGGAAAATCCGGACCTTGCGGGCCAAGAACTTATATTTCAATGGGCTAAGTAATATTTCCCTAACACAATTATACTATTGCAATGTTCAGTTCTTCAAATCCCACAGCATCCACTCTCCGGTGATCCCGTTTGGGAAAGGGATAAAACTTGCCTTCTTGTACCAGTGGCATAAATCTGTGCCGGCAAGTGGGGGATGGGGGATGACCAAAATCCAAAAATTGGCCGGCCGTGGAAATTTGAAAAGGGGGGTGGGGGTGGACACCACATTATACTAGGGGGCGATGTACAGGATACAGATGTATATCAATATGTGTACTTGCACTTACATCGAAACGGTGCATTTTAAAAGCTTTTGTTCTTTGTTTCTCCACTTTTCAGTGCTATTAAACACATTTTGGTTGTGGGGATGTTCGAAAAATACCTCACAATCCACATTTTTTTTCTCATTGCGAAAAAATGGGGGATGATTCAATAGCCTATCTCCCCCCCCCCCCCCCCCCCGATCAAAAAGTGGGGGGGATATTTACCCCCCCCCCCCCCATCCCCCCGGGATTAAATTAACGCCCCCGTCTTGTACAGCTCATCGATCATCACTAATAGCAGACGATTGATGAACTTTGTGGTCATCTGATCTTAGAGACACTTTTCAATTTTCTTTATTTTTGCTGGCCAGCCAACAACGTATGGTCCCTTTTGTACCTTACTGATCTGACTGACTGTCACTTCTGAATTAGATTTGCTCAAGCCTCATCTCAGCCCACAAATTTGACTCCGATGCCTACCTAGACCCTTTAGACCAAATTGGTCTGCGTGGGACCAGCTTTTTATACTAGACTTGCCTAGTCTTGGGTTTTTTGGGGGGCAATTTCAGTAATGCCGCCCACACTCAGAGTCTCAAGTGCATTTGTTGATAATTACAAATAAAGGAATGACTGAAGTCATGGGGAGGCAGCGAACATTACATTTTGCCAACTAGAACTGTTGTTCATCGCACATAGACCACAAAATAGTGCCCGGTCGCATCAATATGAAACCCTAAACCTTTGCAAATGTCGCAACCTCGTCAATCGCGACTGGATAGTCTTTGAACCAAGTTCCACCCTTCAAGATGCTCTGTTCTCGCAGTTCTTCCTTCCAGTCTCCAGCTGGAAGGTAGACGTCGCGTGCTCGGGCGTGTTTGGTCAGGACCGGCGCCACGAGAAAGGTGTCCCCGATCAGGAACTCGGAATCAATGTGCTGGGCCACTTCGTCAGATGGGGCGATCCACCAGACAGGCCTGATGATTGGGTGACCTGTGTATGGGAGTCAAATCCAAAAACAAACTTGGAATGAGCTACAAACTTGTATAAATGGAACTGGGACAAGTTTCATGACGCTGCAGAAAACTTGTTCTTGCTTTTATCCTTCCAATGCAGCATGGTTATTAATTATCACTAATATTTCCCCTAATTATACTGTACCTAGAAAGTGGAGACTTTGACTGCCAACACTAGTGGAACCAAACTTAATGATGATAAACATGAGTGGAGGTTAAATACAAAGCATCTATCAGCTACATGTGAATAACAAGATTAGGTTGACCTGGAAGTCTTCATTTAGGATGGTTTTATTCTCAATGATTCAGTCAGTCAATCAGTCAGTGTGTTTGTCTGTCAGTCGGGGAGTCAGCTAGTGTGTCAGTCAGTAATTTAGCCAGTTTGTCGGTCGGGGGGGGGGGGGGGGGGGGGGGAGTCGGGGGGGGGGGGGGGAGTCAGTCAGTCAGTCAGTCAGTCAGAGAACAATAGGCTGGCTAAAAGGCACCAGCAAAAACTAGCAATTACATTTGTAGCATCTTACCTTTTGTTATGACCTCACTGGAGAGATTTAGCATCCTCGAGGTCACAACCACCTCGTGGATTTTAACCATTTTCTGTGCAACTTGAATGACCTCTTCATCATACTGCCAGGGTGCGATGGAGAACTGCATGGAGGGGAGGTAGGCCATCAGCTCCACCCACCTAATGTAAAGCTCACGGTCTGGTTTCGTGCCGATGGCGTGGGTGTTGGTGCTGGGGTAACTAGGAAGGATGAAGGGATATCCCAGGATGCCCATCAGGAGAGCCGTGGGGATGACCGTCAGTAAACCATTGTTGTAGTTCCAATTAGCATCTTTGTCCACCATCCTTACAAATATGGGCTGGTGTTGGGTTTGGTGACCGCAGCGAACTGTGATCTGTCGGTTGATGGTGGCCACAAGTTCCACGTACTGGGTGCAGTAAACGTTGGGATCATTGAATGGAATGGTGGCATTGTAGATGTAGGGGATATAGGAGACCTCGCCGGCGTCAAATCTGAACGAGTCCAGGCCGTAGTCCGTCTGCATCTTTCGCAGTGTGCCGATGTACCACTCTGCAGCGCCCTCATTGGTGACATCCAACGTCGCACCGATGCCGTTCCACCACTTAATCAATGCAGGCACCCGTCCGCTGGGTTCTCGCATCCAATAGTTGTGAGAAATCCCCCTGCGGAATGTCGGCGAATCAATGTTGGCAAACGGGTGGGTCCAGGCAGATACACGAAACTCTTTATCATGAAGATCCTGAACCATCTGTCGAGCGTTGGGGAACTTTGTCTCCGTAAAGTCCGCCTCGCCGTAATGAGATGTGTACTTATCGTCAATTTCAATGTGACTGTTTGGGAATCCATTGTGATTGATCTCATTAGCATAGGCTATCACAGCTGATTGGTTGATGTTGATTCTAAATCTCGCCCCCGTCGACCATACAGGAGACCTGAACATGCGCTCGTCTGGCAAACCAGGGGGTCTGTTGAAATAATTTTGCAGAACATGTTCGTGCACCGTCCTAACGTTCTCTCCCATACACACCGTGTATTTCAAAGATGCATGCTTGTTAGCTGGGTTCTGATATGGCGAGTTGAAGTACTCGGCTTTCAAGCACAGTTCCCGACTTGTCTTTTTTGCATTGACAGACACATGTAGAGGTGTGTCTTTATCAACAATAACTGCAACACCGTTGGATGACAACCAGTAGCGTTCTAACACTGATCCAAAGGCGTTTCTTTCAGAGACGATATCCCTTGATACGTAGGGTTGCATAGGGATTCTGAGCTTTTCCAAAACCCAGTGTTGATTATGTACAATACTCCCTCCGTACCAGTGGGAATTATTCAGTGAGACGCAGTCCAGCGGAGCAAAGCTCAATCGTAAGGCCGTCCACGCGACATTGATACACTTGATGTTGTCTTTCTGTGGCACATACTCAATGTGCATTTCAACGAGTGGTAACTCATCCTGAAGCGTCACGTTTATCCAATTCAAACAAAACGAGGTGAGGGCGTCAACCTCCCTTGTACAATCCCTAATCTCCGCCCCTTTCGGTAGATTATTCCCAAGCTTGTCCTTAAACACCGTCCGTCCTTTGGCATTACTCAGGATGACCATACGCCCCTGCGGGTCAAAAGACATGGGACCGATGGACACGACCGCCATGCGGCCATGTTGGGTGACGTAGTACCAGGCAAGCAGTGCAAAGATAAGCACTGCAACCGAGAATGCCATAAGCCCATGTCTGGTCTTTTTACGGAGGTAGCAGAAGCCACTACGCACTGGCTCATCAATACTTGGTGTTTTTCTACTGCCAGAGAGGGGAGTGCTGTTCAGTGGGCCTGGCGAGTCCTCGTACGAGTATTTGCTATGCATTGATACAATTCCCCTGTTTTCCCCAATGTTGGAGAGAAATTTAAAAAAAAAAGGGCCACAATGTTTCAGGTACCTTCAACAACAACCAATTGGTACTCCACTCTTAAAAGATGCTGGTCTTTCAGCTTGACCTTTCCGAAGTCTACTTTTCATTCAGTCCAGCAGATATTTCTCGGTGCATAAAAAACTCAAGGATTCACTTGGGTTGACATGGATAATTGTCTCATGAACCAAATTCTCCCCTAAGGTGGAACCTGGGCTTGACTCTAGCAGATTTCTTCCAGTTCAAGAACAGAAATGACTACTTTCCCCTTGTCTGAATGCCGTAGATTTCTGCTGACAACTAAAGAGTCATGTTGGTCAAGCATATACTTCAGCAGAGTTGAAACCTCAATTTCTGTATCAGCTCAGTTTGTATCCACTCAATTTTTAGTAACTTCTCCTTCTGAATCAATACGTCGGGATGGATTTTCTGAGTAAGGCCACAATTTCAACAACGCCTGTCAAGATAAATAACCATCTGAAAAGTAAGAAAAGAGAAAACATATCTGTGAAAACAACTTTGTACTTTAATTCAGAGCATCATTTCACCTTTTGAAACCTTTATTGGTCAATTTATGTCAGTTGAGTCAAACAAAATGTGACTGTCCAAGACAAATATGCCTGCAGTTGAATAGGGTCAATCACGAATGGGTTTGCCTTTGCATCAGGAAAAAACGAGGCATCATCATCAATCTTTCACAATTGTTTAGTCGACCGCTGATTATTCTTTGCTGAAAGGAATGTTGTCACCGCAGGCGTCACTGCTATTATAAGAACAACTGGATAGGACTGAATGACGGGTTAAAAATAAACAATACTCTTGCTGGTAATCAAATGATCACAAATGCTGCCTCCCCCATTCACTAGCCAGAAAAACAAGGTACTATTAATGGGTTGTTTTGTCAAAAGATGAAAGGAGTACTGTGCCAAAGGCATCATAACTGGCTGTACAAACACTTTAAAAGACCTGAATTACAAGCTAAAAATAAACCAAGAATCTTGTTGGCAATTAATCTACGTTATTTTCCTCCAGTTTGGAAATTTAGTATACATGTATAGTGTACGTGTATTCTCTATATATATGTGATCTGGCAACATCTGAAACACATATTAGAACATATACTGAGAAGCACATATTAAGAACAAAATTTACAGTTGTACATTTTACAATTACATACATTATTCAGACAGCGTTGACAAGTTACAATACACATACAAAAGTTACAATACACATACATGTACCGGTCTTTAAAAACTAACAAGACAAACAGATAAAGGCAATAGAAATGTATCTCCTTTTGTCTACACTTTTGGCAATCTTCCTCTGTTCAAACTCTTTACAAAAATACGCGAGACAGTTTGTTTTACAATAGTATACATTACATGTCCAGACTTGAGCAATCGAGTCAATACACAAGTTCGCTTCCCCCTTCAAAACACACATAATGTGCACATGTATAAGGTCAGAATCCCTTTTAAGAGACGGTGGATTCAACCCCACACACTGTAACCTAAAGTGGCCCTGAAGGGACATGAACAAGATGTCAATAATGTATTTCACGACATTACAAAATGTTTCACGACAACACAAATGTGTTCATGACATCACAATTTTTTTTCACGGCATCGCAACATTTTTCACGACACTGCATTTTTCACGACAACCTAATTTTTACCCGAGTATTAAATCTTTTAAACTAGACAGTGCCCAAAAAAACCACCAAAAATCATCTCTTTTTTTCGCTCTACAGAATTTTCTAGAAAGACCCTTTAGCTCTTCACTTGAGTCAGCATCACACGCTGACATTGGATATGCTCCATCAGTGCTGGTGAGGATGCTAGACAACAGGTTCTCGTGAAATGGCTGAAATCTCATCAACTCTGCTTCAGGGAATACCGGTACTACACATCCTTTTGTGGGAAGGAATAAAAGAGGGGACTCAGAACTGATTGACATTAATGTGTTTATGGCAACATTTCACCCAAATAAGCTGTTACTTAGTTAGTCCAAAAACATGCAAAAAGCTCACAAAGCAGGAAGCAGAATTCTACTTTCAATAGACCCCTTGCAGTTTGAACCATGACAGAGGGCAGGTCTTTGTCCCTGTGTGATATACTTAAAGGGAAGATACAACATTTGCAAACATCACAAAACGAAATGATCAAATTATCACAAAATACCTTCTTGATTGTTAGGGAATGGCAGTCTAAAGCATCTTGTAAAATCGTGGCTCCTGGTGTGCTGACATTTTCAAGAAAAATCCAAAACTGCTCCTATTTTTTCATAATTAGTTATTCCGTGTTTTCTTTGCAATTGATTACACAACTGTGAAGGGGTACAAGCCTGCTAGATAAATTCTCCATTTCATCTTAAGTGGGGTCAGGGAATCAGACTACAAGAACATGAATGATTTTCTTGGTTTTTCTAGTATCTACAATGTACAAGCCCAAAACGTAAAACAAGTCATTTCAACAATATTTGCTTTAACATACTAATCCTCCAAATCCATTTATTTCTGAAAATTGCAGCAAAAGCAAATGTTGTACATTCCCTTTAATTAGGTAATTTGTGCTTTCATTGTAACTGATTTTCAATAACAAAACCTACCCACTGTCATGGGGCACCGTGGAAAGAGTCTAAATGTTTAGTGATGTATGACATGGCTAAATAGCCTAACTGTCAACTTGTTCAACATTTTTTCGACTCCATTCTCATAGATAAATTCATCAGCTTACAGCATTATTACTCCCCAGCCAAACAATAGACTATATTAGCAGGTTTTGTTTAAAGGGTCCATAAAATGAATTTTTCTTAAGGAAGATATTTTGTGCAACTTTCTACTCTTAAAGGGAAAATACAACATTTGCAAACATCGAAAAATAAAACTACCAAGTTGTTACAAAATACCTTACTAGGATGTTGGTAAATGACATGCTTAAGCATCCTGTAAAATTATGGCACCTGGTGTGAAGCCATTTTCAAGAAAATGGTATATTTGTATACATTTCCAACGGTGGTCGGCCGACCACCGTTGGAAAAACCTAACTATTTTTCAATTACTGCTCCAAATTGACCAATTTTACTTTATTCTAAATTTTGTTTTGCTAGCTATCATGGCTATTGGTTCCATGTTTTTGAACAGATGCAGGCCAGCTAGACTGGTTCCCTTACCTTACAATTATCCGGTATTTTTTATCCATTTCATCTTTAGTGGAGTCAGGGAACCAGACTGCTAGAATATTTTTGTTTTTCTTGGTTTTTCCAGCATTTTCTAACACAAAACTTCAAACATGTTAGTGTAACAATATTTGATCTGTTATACTAACCCCTCAAATAATTCATTTTTGAAAAGTACAGCAAAAGCCAATGATGTACATTCCCTTTAAATGTATGAAAACTATTTGACATCCTTTTTTGGGGTTAATTTTATTGTAAAGTGCACTTCAGTCATTTAAAATTGTCCATGCTTTTCAGGACAAATGAGGAGGCTGTTGCCATTATGTTATTTCAGGAAGTCACTGTTCAGTTTAGGGGTTTTCCGTTCAAATTGTGGACAAAAAAATTGTTCTTTGACAACATGTGTGTGAGAAAAGTTTGCTCATCATTGGCTTACTGCCATGTACTGACAAACCTACGCGTCACCACAGACAAGAACATTTACTACAGCAAAATATCCAAAATATCTAAAAACGTTTGGGGCTGAAGTAACTGTAACATCGAGGTTTCTGCCTGAAATGACATCACACTTTTGCTCATGAATATGGAAATTTGCATTGGCCAAAAAAACAAAAAAGGCACCACAACACCCCTGAAAAAGGCAAAACAAAAATTGAAAATAAGGTTAAATGAGATACAAAAGGTGCATTTTCAAGGACTGCATTAAAAATGTACATTGCATCGCACTTAAATTTGACATAAATTTGACTTTTCATTTCTGACATGCAGGTACTCCAAGAGGTTCCTGGCTGTCTGTTTTGCTTTAGGCACAATTAAATCAGCGTTTTAGGTGCCATGGATAGTTTTTCAATCTCGTTGAAGAGGAAATGTTTGTTTTGGGGGTTTGTTTTGGAGAGGGACTACACAGAGATACATTGTAAGGTTGATCGAGGCGAGGCCCTTAAAAGGGTTTTCCGACATTGAGAATGATGGTGGAAATTACAAATGACCAAATTCATGTATTGGTATGGGAATGACTTCAAATGGCCAAATCATTTAAGAACCAGTAAAACATTTCCCTTTTTTTATTTTATTACTTATTCCAATAATATATGACAAATATTAAACAAAATTAGCTGCTGATATTAAAGTGCAGTGAAGTTTAGGTGTCCTGTATTGGAGAAAGGTTGGAAACGGTTGAGTATTATTATTTTTTTTCATTTTATAAATATGTGACCTAGTACATTATACTTCCATTTAAAATGATGTATTTTTGCTCGCATAATTACTAAAAAAGAAAGATAATTTCTTGATCAACATGCCAAATGGAAAATACATGTAACATTTCAAATTTGCTTTTTGCAAATGATAACATTCAGTTTAAACAATTGGTCAATAATTTGGTTTATATGATTGTTTTTTGAGAGAGAGAGTAAAATAATCTCTGCGGTATCCAGAGGAGAAGGGCAAATTAAAATTCTCAACAGAAAGTTACATAGAATAATTCCCCCCCCCCCCCACGTCACAGACAGGAAAATTGCGAGTTGACATCATTACAAAGGAATCTTAACATGACGTCTGTGAATTTATGAACTATGTGCTCCCATATTTGCTAGCTAGGGTCCATAATAAGCTTGTAGCAGAGTGCAACACAGTCGAATATGACAGCTTGTCACGTAGCTCATGTCTCCACATGAATGTTCACATGTATGTTCAAGTAGGATACATGTACATGTATATGATAATCATGTACATGTACTGTGTGTATTTTCTGGGCCTCATTAGCTCTTACGGATGGCTTAAACATATCCAAAAGTCAAATTTTTCGTGCAATTACACTCGTATACAATCACATTAAAAATCATATGTAAACGACAAACGTGTACAAATACATGACAATGTGATTTTACATTTATTGGTGGACTGACGTGGAATTTTGTTGTTTTAAGTAAAACAAAAAAAATTGCATCAATTTAATTCATCAGCTTATTAGACTTTTAATATGCCGTTAAAAAAGGTCTGATGGCTAAGCTTCCTTTCGCCATGGTAACGGTCACACGCTTTGATGCATTTTTGATGAGTTTGAAGCTATCTGCAGCTACGCCCCACCGGGATGTGCTCACCCTTGTGTGACCGTTTGCAGCCACAAATAATTGGTCTCGCCTTCAGAAAAAACCCATCGCCAAACTCAACATTCGTTGGCTAATAATTGCTGAGTAATATGGGCGTCTCGCGCATTTGAAAGCAAAGCCAATTAGCGTTTTTTAAGGGGAAATTTTAAGGGGAAACATTTGTCCAAGAAATGTCTTCAATA